CATTAGATTTCCATCTCATGTTTGAACAACGTGATGTGGACATACCTGCCCAGCATTCATTTGATGGTCCCAGCGCGATTCCGTTACTGAGCACGATGCATTGATTATGATAATGAGTAGTGATTATGATAATGCATCCGGTGGGTTCAGGAATTCCATATGCTATGCTGACCGACGTTAATCAGGAAAATAACTCTAAAGCAATAAACTTGTATGTTTTTGTAGACTCTTTTCATCACTTTCTCATCACCCAGTCGTACGTGCGTGCTTATGTACCTACGTATGTACGTACGTCAGAAAGCACACACGTATGCTAGCGCCCTCCTTGGTTCCAGTTTGGTGAGAACAGTGACGTCACTCCAGCCAACCGAAGTCAAGAAAACGCTCAACCAATGACCAAAGCCGAAACACTTCTGGTCACAGTCATGAAAACACGCCCAGTCATTGGATAGACGACCGCGCTTACAAGTTAGTGCGCATGCGTTTGAGGGCGGTTACTAAGCAAATTGCGTGTGCGCACTGTGTGTTCATGCTGTGCAGACGTAGAAGTACGGTAGGCGCTAGCTCGTGTACGTGTTCGCACATACGACTTGGTGAGAAAGTGATGAAAAGAGTCTATAAATAGGTACAAGTTTAACGTTGCTTAGTTAATTTTCCTGATTAACGTCGGTCAGCATCACATAGCCTTTAATCAAGTCCCATGCGCCTATACCCGGACCATCTGGACACGTAACGCACCCTGGATGCTGGCACGTAAAAAGACTAGCACGAGCGGCAAAGCGGCGAGGGCCTTTACTATCTCGTGGAACTAATCACTAATTCATTTATTCACGTAATATAAATCAAGCAATATAAACCAATCATCTAACGGTGGTTTGCGGTTACCAGCAACAGCACGCGCGCCATGGCTGTCTGGCGCCAGACTAGACGATGGCTGCATGATTTATGTTAGTAATGCTGCATTTTCATTGGTCAATTCACAACGGGTAATGCATTATGCATGTCTACCAAATCGGTAGACAAATGTAAAGAAAAACATAAGCGTTCTCCACGAGATGGTAAAGGCCCTCGCGGCTACGCCGCTCGTCCTAGTTTTTTTACGTGTCAGCATCCGGGGTGCGTCACGTGTCCGGGTAAGCTTGTGGGACTTGACTAAAGGCTACATCACGTATGGAATAAGGACACAAAGAATACTAAGATGTAAAAATTGGCTTCCTGACAAGGTAAAAATATTGAAAATATTGGTCATAAATTTTTTCGCCCTGTTTTGAGCACTTCAAGTTCATACCCTGGACTCCCTCCATAATGTACCTGTAGGGAGGGAAGGGAGTCCACCTGGGCTAAGGGTCCTACTAAAATGCGTCAACAAGCGTCAACTGGCTTCAACAAGCATCAATGGTCATCAACCCAGGGTCAACAAATGTTGTATAAGTTTTGGAACATCAAAAACAGCTTTATATGGTAGAAATAGCATCAAAGAACACCTTCAGCATATAAATCAAAGTTAAAATTATTTGAAAAGGTTTTTTTTTTCAACCCGAAAAAACGTAGGACAACTTTGTTGATTAGTGTTGGCCGCCATCTTGTTTGGATGGCGTTGTTCACTTCACTCATGCGTAGTATGGCTAGCTCACATTAACAGATTGGTGGCCAACACAAACTCATCAAAGTCGTCGTACATTTCGCGTTGAAAAAAAAAAACTTTTAAAATAATTTTAACTTTGCATTTGAATGAAATTTGACGTAAAATCTGGCCCAAGAATTGGCAAGATCTCGATGTCCTGCAACCTCCTCCTGATTCATGTGATTTACTGGACTCACACCAACCTTGTTCCCAGTGCTCACTTTATTTCGGACCTCGTTTCTAATAGTAAGCAGGTAGTGGTGGGCGCGTACTGCTCGACACCTTGGACACCAGACTGGATCACACTGGTACGCTGTGCCCTTTACGTGCAAATTGGAGGAAGCCATTTCGGCTACCAAATTTCCCCAACTGACGTATGCGCATTGTATTAACTATTATACCATCTGGTTTTGTATGATTCAACGGCTGTTTTCTGTTGCAACTATTAAAATAGACGTTGTTTTAGACAAGTTTCCAGTCCTATCCTCTCACCGCACCACACACCGCACTGCTCGCTGCGACGCAAAAATAATTTGGCGAGACCGAAATTGGAAATCTTATTGTTATTTTCTGAACAAATAACAAGGACCTACTTTATAAATACAAGGAATTCCTCAGCAAAAACTGCTAAGCAAATTTACACCTTACTTTTGAACATTTAGCTCTTGTGCTTAATTGTTGGGGTTTTTTTTCAATAAAAAAAATATATAATAACAAAAACAGGTTAAATTGAATTCATCATAAAAGAATATTCTTTATATATTTTTCTATAATTTAGTAAAAAACAATGCAGTCATTAGTCATTACACTTTTGACCTCTGGTGCCATTACATTGACAACATTGAACAGTTGCTCTTCATGCGCTACACCTGCTACTAATACATGTAATACATGTAGCAGAAAAAAAGTAAAAATGCTAGGCATGGAAAGGGTCCTTGCTGATCTTGTTGGTGAGCTGGGATGTCGATTAAGTTCACCACAAAGACAATCCATAGGCACAAAGACAATCCATAGGTCTTCTTATTGACAAAAAAGATGTAGTAGCCGTCCTCCCTGGATCTAGGATGCGACATGAAACAGCCGTCAATCTCTCCAGGCGACAACCATAATTGTATGCGTCACATGAAGCAGACGGGTAGCTTGGAGGGCTCCAATAATTTGGCACACAAATGACTCTGGGTACTTGTCCAGTTGACATTAAAATCTTATTTCTACACGTTCGTATGAGTCTTCATTTTTGGCAAATTTCTTTGAAATGACACATCCTGAACGTACAGATAGGCACACAAAGATTTAGGTAAGTACGTAACATGTATATGAAATGATGAATGGCGGATCGATTTCGCTAGGTTTGAAATGATACCGGAGCGTGGCGTTGTATAGGTTCGCAGGTCTAGCCCAGTCCCAGACCCGTGAACGTGGTGTTGTACATGTATACAACTAGGCAATAACATACGGTCATTCTTTGGCCAATTTTCAAATATTAGAGACTCTACAACTTATTTTGATTCAACAAACATTTGATGGAAGAGTTTGTACGACTGTGGTGTATGAACAAAATATTCGAAATCAAGGAGAAAATTTATCGTCGATTTGAAGCTCCCGGATTTTCTGCAAACCGTCCAAACATGTCAAAGTGTGAGTCGGTTTGGGTTTGGCAGCAATTTGAACGTCAACACAATTGCTGCAGGACAGCGTTGGAGCAAAGGCTCTGTCATCCAAGGCCGAGGCCAAAGCTTTGACCCACCAAGGCTTAACCCTCAAGGCCAAGGCCAAGGCCCTGTTATATAACAACATAACTACTAATAAAAGCTAGTCACATCATCACAAAGAAACTGCATTGGGTTACACGCAATCATTCCCATACAATGTTCCTATACAATTGAATTTGGCTGCTTAGTATCAAAATACCAGTTCAGGTTTTTAGGAATTTTACCTTAAATATGACATGTCTTGTGTGTTTGTTTATTTGATTAATTGTGAAGGAAAGTAATGCAGCCTACATGTACATGTACATTATGTGTTAGAGTTTTAGATGGGAATGGAGTCCACCCATTTAAGACGCGGTACGTGTACATGGGGCCCTCAACAATGGGTCTTTCGTAATCACACTCCGCTTTTTGTTGTAAAAGTGGTTATTAAATGAGAAAATACCAATGAATAACTATTTATGCGCAGGTGAATGAGGGAATAATCAATTGATGTATTTTTTGTGTGGAAATTCCAAGAAGATGGCAGCCATGAATTAGAATGGGATATTGCAGGCATCTGCTGGGCCATTCCTCATTTTGTTGTGTCACCTGGACTTGTCCGGGAAAGAGACTATGCAATCACTATGTCTCTAGTTTGTATGTATTATTGGTTTTGGAATTGAAGGCCTTTGGGCCACAGGGTTTAGGTAAACTTTTTTAAGTTCTGGGCATATGCCTCTGGCTTTCTTTTTCTTGTTTTTTTTTTTTTTTTTTTTAATATTTTGTGAATATTTGTATGTGTTTTAAATGCCGAATGAATAATAATAAATAATGTATCGGCCTAGTACATGTATATGTATGGTACATGTATGTACCGGCATGTGGTATTTTAGTAAAGTCAGTCTCATCTAAGAAGGTGAGGTCGAATTAGAACTAACTTGAGTAAAATAGGCGGAATGTAAACTTGGTCTTATTTGAAAAGTTGCTGTCCAAATGAAACCAAACTTGGGTCATACACATGTACATGCAACATAACAACCTACATATGATAATGATGTCAAAGGTTACATACCAAGGTCAAAGGTCACCTGAGGTCAAATTGTAAAACAGGCTGAAATTGTCAACTTGGCCTCATTTGAAAAGTTGAAGTCCATTTGGAACCACACTTGGGTCGTAGATGCAACATGGCAACCTTCATATGAAAATGATGTCAAAGGTCACACACCAAGGTCAAAGGTCAACTGTGGTCAAGTTGTACGATATGCTGAGAATGTAAAATTAGTCTCATTTTAAAATTTAGTCACTCTTTAAAGATTATCGCTAAAGCAGGCGAGATGCATGGTTCAAGAACCACCTTGTTTTAATTAGGCCTATAGGCATGATAGTGGGCAGGTTCCAAAAACATTTTTGAGGAGGAAAAGGCTCTACTAGCGCTTGAATGAAAAATTTATCTTGGAGCCTACTATCGCCAGATCATGACCAATGTTATAAAAGTTAATTTGTAGAGTCCTAGTTACTTTGAATTCTGTTTCTGTATCTATTGAGTCAAGTTATCCTGCCGTTTTCAGACCAAAGTGGCAGTGAGTGTGTCCAAAAATGATTGTACTATTTTTTCCTTATGTGAGGGTCATGTATGTTTGTCCTTTTGATATTCTGCTTCTGTTGATTTCATTCCTGACTTGTAGGCACCAAGCATCAAAAGGTTGATTGGTAGAAGATACTTCTCGCAAGAGGTAAGCTAAGGATTGTGTTGTCTTTCCTCCTTCTGTTCTGTGAGATTTACCAGAGATTCACATAGAGCAAGAAAAAAAAATCAGACTGGCAGATTTAGGTCAGTTTTGCCTGGCTAGGTATGCATCAATTGTAACAAAGATGTTAGTTGTACTAGATGTGTATGTAATTGTATCTTGGTTCTTAGGTCTGCATGCACATTAAAATATATAAAATGTCTGTGGTGGGTGACTACATTCCTAAATTAGCTTTTATACTCTGGGTCCTAAGTACTTATTGCGAACTCGGACTTCTTTATGGCACCCTCTTTTGTTCAACGTCGCACCTTTGCACGTTTCTGTAATAGTATGGTGCCGTCCTCACTCTGCAGTTCGTTAATAATTCACTGTCAAGATTCTAGGCTTGCGATCGTAGTTTAAACCGTGTCGTTTACATTGACCTCGTACTGACAAACTTCTAGATTTGACACTAAAACTCAAAAGCCACATTGATAATGCCTTTGGACAGAAAGAAGCGTTGTGTTTGTAAGTCTGGTGTAAGAAGTAGATTTCATGCAACAGCAATTTATAAAGATGACTTAAAGGGTTGTTTTTTGCTTCAAGAAGACAGGGAGGGTTTTCTGTGTTCTACATGCATGTGGTGAGCTTTGAATTTTCGGCTTGACATTTCACTTAATTTCAATTATCGTGAAGACAGCAGGGGTCACTCTGGAAAATGCCAGATTGGGGGAAAATGAGGTTCCCTCAGTTCCCCGGTTCTACCTGGTTCCAATATGAGAACCGGAACCGCGAGTACAATCTTTTCGAGAACCGGATACCCGCTATGCTCAGTTCCGGCCCAAGAAGAATCGGTTCTATTAAATTACCTTTTCTCTGGGCACAAAACCCAGAGCCGAGAATCGGCTACATTGCAATTCAATCCCGTGAAGGCCAGGACCATTCACTCTGGCTAGTCACAACAAAAGCGGGGAAAACCACACAGACTCCCATATGTGTCACGGAGAGTCGGAGACAAAAAAACTGCCCAACAGAGCCTTTTTTGCGAGTTTGCGGTCAGCCACGAGGTGCGCATACAGAGCATTGAACCCAATACTGGCCCTGTACCATGGATGATTTCGTTTGGACAAGCGGTGTAGCGTGAATTAAGGTTTATGAAATATGGACTGCGCCGTGGTATTGCGCATGCTCATGCATAGATAATTGGAAAAGGACCGCTCACAAAAAAGGAGTCCGTTGTTCACATGAATCCATTTTCATATCGCACTGGCTGAAGTAGGAAAGAACGCTCAGAAATAGAAGTAAGATTGCTGCTGTGAATTGTGGGCATAGTTCCTCAAGTTCAGAACAAATTTCTTCAGCTGCAGGATCACCTTCTCCTAGTCAAGTCCCTACAGTCTCTCTTTTTTTAAAATAAATTTCACGGATAAGTATCTTGAGAAAACAAATGTGTCTACATTTCAGCATAGATGTGCAAGTACCCTTTATAGAAATGTTTAACACCCCCCTCCCCCCAATAAGAATGACATTGCTATGCCCCTGCACTAATACTGGATCGGTCTATTTAGGTTCATCTGCCGCATGAAAGTTGAATTACACTATTTAATAACAGTTGTTTTGCTCTCTGGAATTGCATTTTGTTCCATACATGTATCAGCAAAGTGGGAGACATTTGTGGGAAGTTTGGGTGTATCCAGTTACCACAACATACTCTCATCTTGGTGAACATGTACTATGGATCTGAAAAGAAATTGGTGATTTAATAATTGTGTGTTCATTTTTAATTTATTTAATTCAACAAATTAAAGTTCATCCACTTTGGATGGGGTCATGCTGGATGGGCCCGATGATCCATACATGTAGAATTGTTTTGCAACTTTAGGTAGTTGCCCACGCCGCATGGGATGAGGATTTTTCCACAACCATAACTTGCAAAAAGACACTGAAGACTAGTTCAACTTTTCACTTTTTCAGCATGCCACTATTAAACCTTCTATTCCATTTGTAAAAAATGTCCGACGTCACGCAGGTCGAGTCCAAGTCTGAGTCCGATTGGTCGAGGCGGAGTCTGAGCCATTTGACATCGTGACACGAGTCCGAGTCACCGATATTTGGATTCGAGTTGGACTGAGACTCGATACTGAATTAATTCGAAGAGGATACCTGTACATGTCCATTATGAAGTAAAATATATGTAATGTATTAAAATGTGGAAAATATAACGGCTAACTTCAGATTTTATGACATCACAGCATTAGGGATCCAAACGTCAACATTGTAACAGATACACAGGGAAGTTTCAGACCAACTTTTACATTGACATTTAAAACAAACATTGTATCTCTCAGGTTTAATTTTTCAGGAATTTTCAAAGGAAAACAGGTCTTTTCATTCAAACTTCTGATCTGATGATGTCATCAATTTCTTTTCACGCACATGTGTTCTCTGCATAAAGGTCATCATATATAATTTTGAAGCGATAACTGCAAACTTTGCTACACCATCCAACATCCAACTGAAATTCATTCTAAATTTTTTTTATCTGCCGCTAGAGGCGCTGAAACACTTTATGACGTCACTGGTATTTTTTTTCTTAAGTACAATCTAGCCAGAGACTAATATCATTGAAAGCAAGTTCACATCTTTTTTCACTTTCAAATTATAAGGCGCTTCCAGTTTGGACGTAATTTTGCAAATAATATCAAAAATGAAGACAGTGGATTATTCTATCAGTACCCGTAAAAAGCAAAATCAGATTTCTAACAATTGATTTTATATTGATTTTTCAAAGATTAAATCTAGAAATCTTTGGTTGCTTGTCATGCTTGTAATCTGATACTTGATTACCAGAAAGCTTGAGAGCTATGTTTTTATTTGAATAAAAAATCTGGATCTCTCGCGGTTGATTTTTCAGCAATTTTTAATGGTTTAACCCCAACTCCCTAGGCCTTTTTGCTACGATGTAGCCTCAATTCTGCAAAATCCTCAAATTGGCCTCATGTATCCTGCAAATTCCTCCATTATTTCTTGAAAATGGTCCGTGGAAGGTGACCACTGCCTGAATCCTGCAAAATCCTGTGGCAGTGACTGTCAATCTGTTGAAGCTTGGCCAGTGACATCCTGGAGCAGTACGGAGGATTTCAAGCATAATCCAGGCCTATATTTATGCATGGCTGAGCAAAAACAACACAAGGTCCGGCCCAAAACCTTGACAAAGTGCATCCTACAAAATCAGTAACGCACTTTTGCCATGTAACCTCAATCCTCCAAATTCCTTCACTTTGGCAAAGAGGATTTTTAAGGATTCAGGGCGGTTAGGGTTAAAGGTCTTTTCATTGTAACTTCCGGTCTGGCAAAATGTCTGGTGACATCATCAATATTTCTTGTTCTCAGCATGAAACTGATTAAATACATCAATTATAAAGTTATTTCAGCAAACTTTGCCACATGCATCAACTGAATATTCATTGAATACATTTTTCAACCTGCCTGTAGAGGGCGCTCTAACATATTGTGACGTAGAGCCGAGAGAGTTGCGACAACATCAAACTGTTGAACCAAAATAAGATGGCCGTTCATTATGTGTACAGTGCAGTGTGCGACTATTGTGTATGAATTACATATGTGCACTGATGCATAATCCGCCATTTTGGTTAACAGTGCGACCCTCGTGTCGCAACACTCTATACGGCTCTGTTATGACGTCACCTGTAATTTGCTTGTTAAAGGGAATATACAACATTTGCAAACATTGGAAAACAAAACTACCAAATTTTTACGAAATACCTTTTAAAATAGGATGTTGGTAAGTGAAAGTCTAAAGCATCCTGTAAAATTATGGCACCTGGTGTGAAGTCATTTTCAAGAAAAGTGGTATTTTGTATAAATTTCCAACGGTGGTCGGCCGACCACCGTTGGAAAAACCTAACTATTTTTCAACTACTGCTCCAAATTTACCTCTTTTTTCAGTCCAAATTTTGGTTACATGTTCATGAACGGGTGCAGGCCAGCTAGACTGGTTTCCCTACCTTACAATTTTCGGGCATCAATAAATTGATTCATTTCATCTTTAGTGAGTCAGGGAACCAGACTACTTGAACATTTTTGTTTTTCTTGGTTTTTCCAGCATTTTCGAACACAAAACTTCAAACTTGTCTGTATATAACAGTATTTGATCTATTATACTAACCCCTCAAATAGTTCATTTCTGAAAATTACAGCAAAAGCCAATGATATACATTCCCTTTAAGTACAAACTAGCCAGAAATTTACATTATTCAAAGCAAGTTCACATCTTTTTCCACTTTCAAATTATAAGGCACTTCTGGTTTGGACTGAAGAAAGGGTCATGTGGTTAGGCGCACACAAGATAAAATGAAGATCCTGGATTATTCTATCAATTCCTGCAAACACCCTGGATACTTGCGTTGATACAAAGTTATTTACAATGTACATGTATGCAATGCGTTCTATACATGATGTCATTTTTATTGACCAGGTATGTGACTGGTTTAGATACATGACCATCACAAGTGTTGAATCAATGACCCTATTTAATCCTACTCTTTAAATGTTATCTTACTTTAAAAAAAAAAAAGAAGAGAATAATACATAGTTATAATTTTGTATTTTTTCCAGCCGAAAACTGTTACACTTATCCCAGGAGATGGCATTGGCCCTGAAATATCAGCGTCAGTGCAGCAAATATTTGCTGCTGCAGAGGTAGGTACATGCAATTTCTGATCAATTCTACTTGTATAGCTTATGTAGCACACATAACACAGGATTTGCCAAGAAAAACCTTTTTGAATCCTTTTGCAATTACACAAAATATTGTATTTACTGTTCCTAAATGAAATTTATTGCCAGCTTCTTGCTGCCTTTCAACTTTTAACTTTCAAAATATTGTAACTGTATACCCACAGGCCTCGCAACAAAAATTAAAATGCAGTTGCCCTTCAGGCAGGAATGCTTGAAAACTGGTTGCCTGAATTTCATTTTCAGTTGCCTAATAACATGAATAAAGAACTTTTAATATTGCCCCAAACTGAAGGCAAATCCTAATGTACATTTTGTACATGGCTGCTTACCTGAAGTGGCTCAGGGCAGTCCGACATCCTGGGACAATCAAAATATTTTGTACTCGGCTGCTGCGCTATTGCCACATTGCAAGAGTGCGGCCGTGGCTGCGTGCGTGTGTACGGTACCCGCACTGCGCTGGTACATGGTGTAGAGTGGTCCAGTCATAATATTATTGGAACACACGCACACACACCCATGTTTGTTTTACATACTCTATGTGGACATTCCTTTCTTTTCGTGTAGTTAAGAAAACTCAATACAAAAAGTAACTTTACTAAAACTGTGAAAACTAATTCAATCCCAAATTTGTTTTTTGATTTCCTTGAATGTTTCTCTTCATTCTGCGACAGATAACCCTAACCCGAAAATGCCTCTAAACCTGTTTTCCAGAGAAGGCGAAAAGTTATGTGGACACGGCTTAGTCCACATAACGTCAACACAACCTGCATTATGTGGACATCTTTTGTGCACATGTATGTCCACATAGTGACTGTAAGACAAACTCATGATGGCATTCGCTACCTACACACATTACGTACACGAAATGTTATTGCATGATGTAGCCGGACTGTACGTACAGACTGTGATTGACCGCTGTTCTGTTTTGGCTGGTACCCGTTATTGGTTTATGCGTAGATTACCAACATCAAATGGCGAGAGCGCAGCAGCTGAGTACAAAATGTCAATATTATCATGATTATTGTTCGATACTGTGCACATGTATGGGATTCTGCAACTTAAGAAAATCCCATGGACTAAATTAAAGTGTGAAAATGTGTGAGTATTGGTGAAAAAAACAGTGGTTGCCCGTCGGGCTGGCAACCTGGAACTTTTGGTTGTCCGACAAAATATTTTGATTGTCTCGGGACATCGGACTGCCAATTTTGTGAGCCTTGACCTAGACATTTTAAGATATTTACCACATTCTTCTTTGCTAAAATACTGTCTCTATTTCAGAAGCTGCTTGCTTGCCTAATACTTGTTTTTCCATGTATGTACAAATACTATGTATGTAATTATGTAATGTATTATCTGTAAAGCTTGTTTCACAAAGTGTCTCTATGTACAATTACTTGAGAGATTACGAAGAGTTCTGTGTTACATGAATATCCCAGGTTCCTATTGTCTGGGAGTCGGTGGATGTGACCCCAGTTCGAGGACCTGATGGCAAGACAAGGATACCTCCTGAAGCCATCGACAGCATGGGAAGGACCAAGCTGGGTTTAAAGGGGCCCCTGGCCACACCAGTTGGCAAGGGCCACATGAGTCTCAATCTGGCTCTGCGCAAGTAGGTTCCTACATTATTCATCATAGTATAGCTTGAAAGTGACATACAGTACTCCCGTAGTGAGCTCAACACAGTGCATGGTAACCCTTGGTAAATTCTAATCCATCATTCTGGCGAGTACACCGAATATTTCAATATTTGATCATGAACCAAATATTCAAATAGCATTTTTATATTCGATTATTTTGAAAAAATGTGGCCACGAGGAGATGATTAAAAACATCTATAATGTTATTTTAATTGTTGTGTAGTTTTGTTGTTTACTAAATGCCACACTTTAGTTGAAAGCCACTTTTGCATATGATTTTCAGAGCTTTCATGAGACTATTAAATGGTCAAATATCGGCCATTCCCTCTACCTGCTCTCTTTACTATTAATAATAAGCTCTTTGTCAGTTTTCGTCAAGCGCAAACACATGCAAATCCCGAGCAGTGGCCAGTTTAGGCACATTTCAAATATTTGAATAGTTGATCAAGTCCAGCTAGGGTATAATTTGCAAAGGGCATTTTTTTGGGGGGGGCCTCATATATACAGCAGGGGTGAAAACTTAAAGAAATAAACATCTGTTTCAAAATTAAAATGAGTGGGGATCTTTGCTGTTCTTATATTTTAGGACAGTTTTCTTTAATACGTGATGTCGCTGGTTGCAATGGAAGATCTTGAAGTTGTGGTATTTTATAGAGGATCAGCTTCTCATGCATCATAAAAAACACAATGGATATATTTTAAGGACCAAAGCAATGTTAGAGTTCCTTGATTTTCAAGACATCGACCAAGTATTGTTCTTTCCTATAGTATTCTGTTAAGAAGAGGAATTAATCACTTGATGGTTCTGAATGTTTCTGACACCTAAACTTCTCTATGAGTGGATACTGAAGATAGCTTACTTCCCAGTTCTTGACAAGTGAACTGTTGTGACTGTATATACCTACATGTCCATGCGCACAGTATCACTGATTGGTGGGACAGTGTCTGCTGTGGCTGTAGAGTCCTATTCTAGAGTGACAGTCTCTGCCACAGGTGCTGTATGTGAAGGCTTATCAATTCCTCAGAGCTCTTCTCTTCTCTCTCCCACACTTTTCCTGTATACTGCAGCCCTCCATGCTTGGCAGTTGTTTGCGACAGGTTCCAATTTATTGGGTCAATGTTGCACTGTTTCATCTCGCACAGGTCTGCAGACATTTATTAAGCTGAGAGCAGGGCGATCAGTAGCTCCGGTGCCAATGGCAAGCTGGCTGTTGAGAAGAGTCTTTGGGTATCCTGCCATTATTCATGCGGTGCCTATGGCTGAGCCATGGCAGGCGTCGCTGACACAGGAGGGCGTACATGCTGGGAATGTTTGCCTCCTCAAGGACCTTCTGGTTTGGCACACAGTTTAGCCACTTGATGCCAAGGATACGTCTAAGGCAGCGCCGATGAAATGTGTGAAGGCAATGTCCTTGTTAGGTGTATTGTCCATGGCTCGCTGCCATAGAGTGCAGTGATGAAAACACAAGCCTGATACACACAGACCTTCATGTTCTGTGTGAGGGCACAGTTTTTCCACACCCTTATGGCCAATCTTGACATGGCAGAACCAATGCATTTGCTAATTTCAGCATCGAGGGACAGGTTGCTGGTGAAAGTTGAACCCATGTGAATTCCTGGACCACTTCGAGGATGTGGTCATTGATGGAGATGGATGGGGCAATGCTGATGCCCTGCTCCATGATGTTGGTCTTCTTGAGGCTGATGGTCAGGCGAACTGCATGCAATTTCAAATCTGTTTATGAGACACTGCAGGCCTTCCTCAGTGTGATGTCAACGCAGCATCCATGGGCGTTGGCAGAATTTTTTTCAGAGGGGGGGGGGCAAAGCACATTTTCTCCCCAAAATACCTGTACTTGTCCAGCATATTCTCGATTTATCATTTTTTGAGGGTGTGCAGGGACATTTTCCCCCATCCCATTAAATCAAAAGCAATATGACTTCGCCCCTCTTTTTCTTTCTTATTTTCCTTTTTTGTGTTTTGTTTTTCCAGGGGGAGGGGGGGGTCAGTGCTCCCCCCCCCCCCCCCCCCCCCCCGGATATGGTGACGTTGAGTTCTGACTCTGTTGCTATTTCGTCCGGATTTGGACTGGAGAGGGGCAGTTCTCATGATGCTTGGGCTTAAGGTTTTTTTATGCCAGCATACGTTCCCTAGATGTTTGCGGTGTCTGAGACCAGCTGGATGTGGCTGCAAAGTTGTTGTCAGTAGTCATTTTAACACTGTGTGGCCGTTCTTTGTGTTGTGCTTCTTGCGGGTTTTAGGACTGCAAGTGTTTTCTTGCAGGTTTTTTCTTGTAGTTCAGAAGTGTGGTTCATTTACAGGATGTGACTGATTCCATCACATCTGGATGGGCTTTAAACCAGTCTGCATGTTGTTTTTCACATTTGCTAAAGACTGACATTGCTGTGTTGTAGATGGCATCTTTGATGTGGCTCTATTTGGTCATACCAGTGTCTCCTTCAGGTGTACTGTAGAGGGCTTTGTCAAGGGTATCAGCAAACTCCTGTGCCAGCTGGGGATAGGAGACCCTAGCAGTGTTGATGAGAGTAAGGCTTTCTGACTTGGAATGATGGATCTTCTTAGCCTGTAGCTTGACCTTACTACATACTGGTGAGTGGTCAGTGTCGCAGTTCATGCTGTGGTAGCTGCGTATAACTAGAACCTTGTTGATGGAAGCTTGTTTAGTAATAATAAGGTCCATCGGGTGCCAGTGCTTAGAATGCGGATGTCGCCATGATACCTAGTGGCAGGGTTTGGTGCAAAAGACGGTGTTGGTAATGCATAGATCATGGTAAGTGCACAGTTCCAATAGTCACTGTCTGTTCTCATTTATTTTTCTGGTACCAGATTGACCTAGACAGGAAGGCCAAGTATCATGATCTCCCCCAACCCATGCATTGAAGTCACCCAGCAGGAACAAGTGTTCTGATTTGGGAATGTTACTGAAAGTGGTTTTGTGTTCCTTGTAGAACTGATCTTTGACCGAGGGTGGAGAAGAGAGTGTTGGGGCATAAACGCTGAGTAGGTTAACTGGGCCTACTGAGGTGGACAGTTGGGCCGACGGTATGCATTCTGAGCCTTTGGATGGTGGTTCGATTGCGCTCAGTAGACAGTTTTTGATAGTAACCTACTCCATGCAATCGTGGTTCATCTTACTGTTTGCCTTGCCAGTACAAGTTGTGTTCCTCCTCTCTCAGTGATCCACTTCCAGCGAGACAAGTTTCCTGGAGTGCTGCGATGTCTACATTGAGCCCAAGAAGCATGTTGTTTATGACAGCGGTCTTTTAAACATTGCTAATTTGTGTAAGATCTTCAGACAATCCTGGACACATACATGTAGTCCTGACGTTCCAGCTTGCAAAGCAAAAGGCTTGATTCTTCTTTCTTGTATTTGACTTTAATTTGCTTAGTGCAGTGATGCAGTCCACTTGACAGGGCAGTTAGTGACCCTAAGCTCCAAGCACCCATTGAAGCAGATGGACTGTGGCAGGCCAGCACCTTAATGGCCGGGGGCTGCCCGGCTTGAGGTGGGCGAAAGCTTTCCAGTGAGAAATATAGGATTTTGTTAAGCCTATAGAACTACGTTTTTAATTTTCGGTGTGCAGGTAAGATTTGAATTTGCTGTCTGCGGGTGATTCTGAAATACCTAAAATGAACTGTAATGTATTGATATAGAATGAAAGTAGAAAAAGACATTGATTCAGATTATGACCTTCTTTATCTCCATAGAGAGTTTAATCTGTATGCCAATGTCAGGCCCTGCAAGTCAATAGATGGGTACAAGACACCATATGATAATGTGGACTTGGTAACAATCCGAGAGAACACAGAAGGAGAATACAGTGGTATTGAACACGTGGTGAGTATTACAACCCTGCATGTCCCTCTCCTCATAACCTCCAATCCCTACCAAAAATCCAGAAGTTAGCCAAAGTCACATTGTAACCTTAATCAGGGTAAATAGATGAATTGACAATAGTCTAGACGTTGTCTTTATAAACCAATAGTTAAACTAGAAATGTGTTTGTGGACAAACACAAGCTGTTTCGGATGCTATGTACATGTACATTAGATTTGAACCAGCCAACCGATCCCGTTAGCCTGGTGGTCAAGTGGTAAGACATCTGCACTAGAAAGCAGGAGGTCGTGGGCTCGAGTCCCACCCAAGTGATTTTTCCAACTTTCACTTGGGAGGTAACATTAATTAATTTCTTGCTATCAAAGTTTTGAGCAAAAGGAATAAAAAACAATGGTGGTAATCATGTTGTTGAGGACCCAGTTTCCTTATAAAAGAAGAAAAATTGTCCACGTCCACTGGCCACATCCTTTGTATTAATCTGTGTCACAAAAGGAAAAGTAAATTGCTACCAACAGTCAAGAATGAGTCTGCGCACTACAATTTCTGGCACACGGTCTATGTCTGGGGAAAAATGAATACAATTTTGAAGTTGCCAAAACAAAAATGTACAGTAGCTAGGTGTATATTTTGACCTATTTTGTGACTTTTGGGAATGTTGTTTCCACTGGATAGGGTCCCTGAACAATTAAACGTGTAGACAATTTGTAGCGCCCAACTGCTGAAAGGATCTCTCAGTTTAAAATATCCCTTATTGGACATCATGGGCTTATTATCTCATTACAGGTTGGTTTAGGCCTATCACATTACACTTACATGTAAACATTGTTACTCTTTCAGGATGGTGCAGTTATTGCATTATGGGCTCACTTTTGTTACATGTGAGGTCGATATTGCATATTTAGTATGTTACAAGAATCTGCACTTTTCTAGATGTCATACCATCTATCAGCCCACAGTTTGTTACATGAAACATACATGTATGGGGTTTGTTTGATTTGTGGTGTCTGATCACATTTAAAATTCTTGTAAGTTTGAATACCGGTACATGTATCTGGAAAGTAACGGTCAAGTGATTTTATCCTCAAAATGAATATTGCACGGGAAAATGATGAGCATGTGTTTAGTTGTGCTATTTCTTTAATACTATTGATTAAGGAAACTGTGTGTTTCTTCTTGCTAAAATCGCTCACAATTTGATAATCAGTTTGGTGAAAGAAAAGTAGGTCCACATTCAATCTACTGATCTAAGGTCTTTTGCTGTGTTCCACTTGCTTTGTGTGTCACAGATTGTTGAAGGTGTTGTCCAGAGCATCAAGCTAATCACTGAACCTGCCTCAAGAAGGGTGGCCGAGTTTGCCTTTGAGTTTGCCAAGGCTAACAACAGACAGACAGTCACTGCAGTGCACAAAGCTAATATCATGTAAGTTAATGCTAGAACATTGTCTCACTGTGGGTTCTCATGACACCAGCTAAAATTATTGTTTTGGTGTTCGTCACTCAGATTGACAAAAATCGTTGGGGAGTGGAATTTGTATTTCATATTTTATAAATTCCACTTTGTCACATCCAAAGTAAATTGAGGGAGTTGAAGTTCAATTTATGGTTATAAACCTTGAAGAAGACGCAACTATTCATAAGATGGTATTTGCTTCGGATTGATATTGAATACTGAAGATTCACAACAAACCTGAAACTACAAAATATTAAATACCAGTCAACTGTTTTATGACCTCAAACCAAATTTTTTTTCCAATAAATCAGAGTTTTCACTCACAAACATCGCTCTTTCAACACGTGGAAAGTTGCACATGCAATTGATGCGATCGCCTGCTTGCAGTAAAGTTATGTTGTGGGGAGGCTCGACCATTTTCTAAAGAAGGGGATTACCTTTTTTCAGAGCGTGTAAAGGTGATGTCGATATGACTGGGAAAAAAAAGATATATCCCCTTCTTTACACAATGGTCAAGCCGCCCCACAGAATAACGTTACTGCAAGCAGACGATCGCATCAAGTGTGTGTGCAACGTTTGCGGTGTGCAAAAAGTGATGTTTCACTGTTTGCTTGTAGATCAATGGGACTGTGCCTATGGATTTGGTGATTAAATTTGTCTGATAAAAAAATTTATTGGAGAAAAAATAACACCTTCAGAAAAATTAATAATAATAAACTAGAGCTACATGTATGCCTGTTTAACAGTTTAATGAACAGGACATAGGCTTTTCCGCATTTTGTTTTTGTTAATATTTCAGAAATCTATTTGGAAATTCATAAAAAAAATTGTAAAGAAATCAACCGATTACATCATTATGGCGTCACATTAGATTTTGCCTACAAATAACATTGTCTGACTTCCCGCCAAGTTTTATGACGATCCAATCAGCCCTTGCATATGAAAACAATGTCATCTTTAATTAGTAAAGTTTATTATCAAATTTGTCCAAAAAGGCAGAAACGAGCAGAAATCATTTTACCCTGATGACACGTGTCGGACTACCTTCATAAAGACTTTTGAGCCAATCAGTCAGATAGTTTATCAATAGAAAACTTTGAAAAATGTTCATTCATGATGATGTCACATGTCCTGTGATGACGTCATCGTAAAGTCATTTCAGATTTTGTGTGCTACTTACTATTATCTACCAACTCACCAATTTTTATGATGATCGATTTTTTTGATGGCGTTATAATGATGTCACACAATTTTCACAATTTTGTGAATATACCTATTACCTAACAAACATGATACAAAAAGGAATATTGAATTTAGCATATTGCATCCATGAGATATGGCTTAAAGGTCCAAAACTTCAAAAATTGATATAAAATCACACAATGATGTCATGATGACATCACCTCAATTTTTGCCTATAACTACATCCCGGTCTACCTACATACCAAGTTTTAACCCAATCAGACTTACTGTTCTTTAGATGTAGGATCTTACAGTTTGTACATTTAAGATGACCCATGATGACGTAATCATGACGTCACTCTTCTGGACACAAACGCACTTTGGGGTCTTCACATACCAGTAGGTTAGGTTTCATTAGACATGTTAGAATACATCTTTGTTTAGGGTTAAAAATGCTGCGGTTAAAAAAACTTGTACGAAGTCTATGGGATTTGGGGTGGAATAAAAAGAAAAAAAGAAAGGAAAAATCAGAACAAAAACAATGCTTTTCTGCTTTCATGCGGAAAACAAAAAAATATCGGGGGTGGGGGGGGGGTGGGTAGTAATGAAAACCTAAAAATTAATGTTAACTGGCCTTAGGTTTTAGATTCAGATTTATTTTCAGGAATATGGCATTTTCTTGATAGGAAACATTTGAATACTGTAACATTTGGCCTTATAATACAGGATGAGTAAAAAAATAAAAGGCACCAAATGGCGCCCCCTATTTTTTACGGAAGTTCTGCAAGTATCGCTTTCCAGATCTAGGATGTGAAAGCCCAGTTAATAGTTCATTCAAATCACTCATGTACTTTTCCAGTTATGGAAATTTGAACGTTTAAGGTACGTGATATTTCAGTAAAATGAAACCATGTCATATCATTAAAACGATATCAGAATAATCCCATGTCTCATGGTAGCCAAGTAGAAAGCACGGCAAGACTATAAACTCTTGACATTATACAGCTTGTTGTTTTAACATTGGAAGCAGAAGGTGTATAAATGTTATGATAAGTGCGAGCTATCATGGTTATGAGAGTTTTTTTATGTGTCTTTTTTTTAATATGAATTGTCTTCATATTTTGCTTAAGTATCACTTACCTTTATTGTGATTCGTAGACAAAATTATAAACTGTGTTTGTGTTTAAAAGTCCATAGCTGGAAAAGTACATGACAATTTGAATTATTCTTTTACTAAAAGAAAGCTTATTTACTTGGGCTTTCACATCCTATATCTTGAACGCGCTACATGCTGAACTACATGTACTTCAAAAAACAAGGGGTGCCATTTGAGTTCCTTTTTTTTTAGTCACCCTGTATTACTGAACTACCTGTACACCATATGTATTGTTCAAATCAAATTAGGTTTTTCCCTTCACCGAAGTATAAACACTGTATACTCAGTGTGTTACCTCCCCGAGTGAAAGTTGGAAAAAATCACTCGGGTGGGACTCAAACCCATGACCTCCTGTTTTCTAGTGCAGATGCCAATACCACTCGATCCCCGAGCTAACGGGATCGGTTGGCTGGTTTGAATCTGATGTACATACGGTAGCAGCGGGTACTGCATTAATGTATTGCTTATCCAGTGATGACTTGGATTAAGTCTCCCTGTGCAGAGATGTAAATTTAATAAGGAGTTTTGCCTTCCACCGACATTTTAATAATGCTGTTCAAGTGCTTGTGATGAGAAAAATTACATGCTTAACAGGGTGGGATTGAACCTATGTACAAGTTTCTGCTTTTCACTGCAGATGTCCGATAGATACCAATTTGACATAACAGTGGCCGTGTGTACCATGATCACTCTTTTTTGATGGGATTTTGGTTTCAGGGAGATGTTTATGTTAATGGTGAAAGGTAAATATTAAATTATGTATTGATGCTCATTATGTGATATGGCCTATAAATTGTACCAAATACAGAGTTTTTTTTCTGACTTATACTACAACAAGCATCGACATGTAGTGATAACAACCGTGATTCTGCTGGTTATTAAAGTGTGGGATGCCTGTTCTATAGAAAGCTGAATTGGCTGGATTGAAATGCCAGTCTCAACACATCATATGCACATTGTTTACCAGATTAATACACGTAGGTAGTAAAAGTGTATGTGAATGCAATGTGTTTTGTAGGAGGATGTCAGATGGTCTTTTTCTCCAGTGCTGCAGAGAAGAAGCTGAGAAGCACAGGGACATCAGATTCAGGGAGATGTATCTGGACACAGTCTGTCTCAATGTGAGAACTCTTTCCTTTCACTTTAATAATTCAACACTCACTCGTTTTTGTATCCCAAACCGAAAAGTAAACACTTTGATATCATTTCTGCTTCAAAATTCACTTGAGTATAAAACTCCCCTTGAATATACAATGTATAAAACTCCCCTTGAATATAAAAAAAATTGAAATCTTGTATAAGTGATCTGCATTATTACCTGGGTGTAGACCTTTACCGTACATGAGAAGTGGACGAACAATCTAACGAAAAGAGACAGGTGAATGGAATTACCCTCACAATGTGATCCCAATAGTGTGTGTGTGTGCTGAAGAGATGCCAAAATACAGAAAATAAAGAAATCCCCCAAAAAGCATGGACAAGCAAATGACAGTGACTTGAGTGCAGTCATGCCATAGACTTAGTGAAGTTGAGTCATTGACACTCACAGTGACTCAAGTTGCGTTGCAGAAAGATTGATTTCATTCTATTCTGTTTCCCGTAGTTGAGTCATTTGCTTGTAGTTGAGTTGCATTGTTTACTGGTAATGAATCCATTCAACAACAAAACTTTTCACCTTTTAGTAAATCAAATGGCAGAATTTGTCGTTTTCTTTTAATTCTGGGTTCCGGCATGATGTCATGTCTGGTCACTGACCTTAACACGGGGGATGAATTTTGACCGTGTGTGTATGTGCGTGCTGAAGTGCTTTTGGTGCTACGGCATGCCATTGTTTTCACCCAGTGGATAATGGCAGTTCGCCACTTCCAGTCACAGTACCCCAGTACTTTGATGTTGGATCTGAAAATGGATTATTTGTTCTCTAGTATCAAGCATCAAAGTGAAAGAAATACACAGAGTTTAAATTCTTGTTCGGTTTCATTTCATTTGTTTGATTTAGCTACATTATATAAGTATGTACATGTAATTCATAATTTTCTGATTACTTTTCTTTAATATTTTGTTTGGTCATAAAATTGTAAATTATGTTGTATCATGTTGACTAGATGCTAGAGGAGAGGGAATACAAATGTTTACACTCTTTCCTCTTCCAATTTTGTCACATTCCAAGAGTAGATCAACATGTAAGCAGAGAGTTGACCGATTTCGGCCTGGCCACACAATGGACGATCGCATATTAGCATATTCATTAGCGTCACACGGCGTGACTTGGCATGGGTCTCGGTATTGACCAATGGAAGCAGGCAAAGGGTGAAATTTATCAATAAATAACTCATGAAGGAGGCTTTGACGCAAATTTTTACTGCAGAACATAATGGATAGGAACCTTACTAGTATTTGTGAGACTTGAAAAGATGGACAGACATTGCTAATGCCTGTGTTACAGCTTTCAAATATGCACGTAGCAGGCCTATTTTTCCATTATAAAAAAAGTAAAACTTATTTACTACGATTTTTAGCACATCATTGGATCAAGTTGCATGAAGATACAGTCTTCCAAACGGGAGAAATTAATTTTCAAAGATTTTGCCCGCCAACGTGAACATGTGTGTGTACATGTAGTTTCATTCAAAATAAAGTGTTACGTAACCTTTAGAAATCGCCCTTCGCAACCAAGTGTGTGCTTGGCAGGTATTAAACACTCTGTTTAAGACCGGCTGGAGTCTGGATGCTGATACATGTAAATACCAGCATTCTAGACTCCAACCGGTCTTAAAAAAAACCAGAGTGTTTAATACCGGCCAAGCACATCTCCATTCAGTGGCGTAGCCAGGAATTTTTCAGTGGGGGGGGGGGGGGGGGGGGGGGGCGCTGGGGGGGCTGGAACATTTTATGGGGGGGGCGTCATGCAGGGGCATCAATCGCTTCTCAAAAGTGGGGGGAGGGGACATACCTTGATCAGAACTGATGCGAGCGCGAAGCCCTTACGGCGTGGGGTTCGGGGCCCGCTTAAGGGCACCGAAAAAAAAATTGATTCTAGATGTTCTGTGTTGTGATCTGAAGCAATTTCTTACCACTTTCCTCCATGCTTTAACTAATATTTTCTTAGCAAAAGATAATTATTGGAACATCGTTTTCAAGGTTGGAGTCATTAAATCAGCTATCGGTATTCTGAGCTATAGGCGTGGGGTTCGGGGCCCGCTTAAGGGCCCCGAACAAAATTGGATTCTCGATGCTCTGTGGTGTGATCTGAGGCAATTTCTTACCACTTTGACCAATAATTATCTTAGCACAAAAGATAATAATTTAAACATAATTTTCGAGGTTTCTCAGCTAAAGGCATAAGAAAATTTTTTGAACATTGTTTTTGAGGTTGGAGTCATTGAATCAGCTACCAGAATTCTGAGCTTTAGGCGTGGGGTTCGGGATTGGATTCTAAATGCTCTGTGGTGCTATCTGAGGCAATTTCTGACCACTTTAACCAATATTTTCTAAGCAAAAAAATACATTGTAGTACATAATAGGGCCCTGTAAATGAGACACGAGTTCAAAAATCTGGGGGGGGGGGACATTTGATATTGTGTCCCCCACCCTTCAAAAAGTGGGGGGGGGGGACATGTCCCCTGTCCCCCCCCCCCCCCCCCCCCCCCAGGATTGACGCCCACGGCGTCATGTAGATCAATGATAATTTTTTTAGAAACTCAAAATCTCAGTGGGGGGCGACTGGGGGGCGACTGGGGGGCGACATATTTGGAAAACGTATGATATTTTCCTTCCTTGCTCCTTGGATATCTGGCATTCTTGTCTTTGCAGATGGTACAAGATCCTACACAGTTTGATGTGCTGGTTATGCCCAATCTCTATGGAGATATCTTAAGGTATCTTGTAATTATTTCTCTGAGTAGTTTCCACTGTATAATCTCTAACAACACATCTTTGCTATGGAATCATATGTGACAAAATTCATACAAAAAAGGAAAACAAATTTGCCTTGTTTGTTTGTCAATTAGGCTTTCACAATAAACTGTGTGTTGTTATTCTTCAGTGATTTATGTGCTGGTTTGGTTGGTGGTCTTGGTGTAACGCCAAGTGGCAATATTGGAGCTGATGGGGTAGCTATCTTTGAATCGGTGAGTGTATCTGTCAATCATGCTATGGCATATATTACACTAGTTATTAACCTTAGTTTTGAGGATCTTTTTCATCAGGATAGTTGAGATTTAAAAATACTGCAAGTAAAACTTGCGTGATCCCCCTGGTATCCTGGCAGTTTGTATACATGTACAGGCAGCTAGTAAGGACAAATTTTCAGGGACGGCTTGATTGTCCACCCGGCAGGTACCAGCTCTCAGTTGAATGGGGAGTTTGGGTTGAATGGAGAGTATCAGTGAGACACTGGACTAACGCATGTTAGAGTCATTGGAATCTCTCCTAAGACCTCGTAAATATCCATATTGGAAAGGATTTTTTTTTACGTCGGCCTTCTCTCCACAGACCACCTTTCAAGTTTGGTTGAGATTGATGACTGAAATGGAACACACACTCACCCACGCACGTTTGTTCATGGTGTAAATCAAGGAGATTATTTTGTTTCTCTTCCCTTTTCCTTTGTTTGTACTCTAACTTTTTAGCAACAGCTCTCATTGGTTTTGTACACGTTTTCCAACTGAGGAGTCCTCGATTCGGTTTCAGTCCTCGATTCATTGATGATGTTGCACGTGTGTGTCTTCGATTTACATCATAAACACGCACACACACCCTTGTATTTGCCTGCAATCGGGCACCCCCTACATGTATTGTCCCTCTTTTGTTTGTACACTAACTTTTTAGGAAGACCTCCCATATGTTTTGTACACGATTCTAAATTGGGGAGTTTCAGGAATTGGGGACCCTATTGTCCTCTATTGTTCAACATCAAGTGAATGCAGAAACAGACTCGCACACAAACACATGAAGGAATACGCAATCGCAATATCCCCTGTCTATCTTGAAAGCCAGGGGGATAAAAATGAATTGCCTACAAAACAATAATAGTTGGAAGGATCATTAACAAGCAGAATATAAAACTACCGGTATAAAAGTGCACACAGTATACCTTGAAATGTGAGGTTTTCATATAATAATTGGGCAAAGAAATTTCAAGGTCCAAAATTAGGGTGCAAACAAATCCAGCCACTTTAGAACTGATTCCAGATACAAATTTCTTTTCATAACTGGTACTTCAAAGACACAGAATACAAAGGCCTATTTCTTGATGTTGATAAGGTGATTTATGCGGGGCACTTTAGTAATGTGCATGTACATGTAGACCTTATCTAAAGTGTCCGTCTTGGCAAGTATTCTATGTTATTTTGATTAAATAAAAATAAATTGATAAAGTGTTAATTCATGCATATCCAAGTGTTAAAAAGCATTTCCAAATTCCAGCCCAGACCAGCTGTATGTATAAGGTCCGTATGGTAAGGGTGGTCATACTTACAATCGTTGAGATATCTGCCTCTTGCATCATTCACTTATAAATTAATTACACTAGCGGGATGCCACGCTCTAGCTGGTTGACCCCAATTTGCATGTTGCCCCCAATGTGCACACATGAGAAATTTAAGCCTGTTTGTTAATCTGGTTCAGGTTCTAACACTGCAAGCCATTTCACTATTAAATGACCAAATGGCACTCCATACCTCAAATTGTGCGTGGATACTTCTCAGGCTTTTTTCGTAAATTTTTGTAGTGGTAGGCCTAACAGTGTGAATAAACTTGGCGGCCAAACATACCAACATTTCGCCTGTCCGAAAAGTAGTGAATTAATTTGTGTTGAGAGTGTTCTGTGTGTGGTTTCCTGGTCGATTCAAGTCACCAGCATGGAGTAGTTCCTTGTAAACAAAAGTCGTCCATGGTGAGGAAAGGGTTAAGAACCTGCATACAATAATCGTTGTATTTTGTGCTTATGCACACTCACGGGCCTTTTACAAAAAATGTGACACACAAACATCAGACAGTCATCAGATAGACAGACAGCACTGGATTCTTTAAAATAGGATTTTGCTTATGAGGCATTCGTACCAGAATGTTGAAGTGCTATGCTTTAAAGCAAAAATATTGAAATACCAAAATTGTAAAAATATAGAAAAGATTTGACATGCCAACCATGTTTGTTGCATCACAGGTTCATGGCACAGCTCCCGATATTGCAGGCCTAGATAAGGCAAACCCAACAGCATTACTACTCAGTGCAGTCATGATGCTCAGACATATGGGTTTGAATGAACTAGCCAACAGGATTGAGTCTGCAGCCTTGACAGTCATCAAAGAGGGCCAGGTACTGTTAACTTGTGTTTTTTATGGGGAGTAGAAAGTTGTGTTTAGACAATTTGGAATTGAGTTTATTAAAAGTTATGTCAAAAGATTTAGCTTTTAGTTTTATTTTCTTTTTTTCCTGTAGTACACACCCTATGCAACTTGGTCTCATTTATCAATGTATTTGGACTATAGAATCTGTTTAAATTAAATATTGGAATTTGGAGAGAGAAAAATGGCGCCCCCTCCCCCCCCCCCCCCCCCCAAAAAGGAGTTGCCCTTCGGGCAGGGGTGCTTGAAATCTGGTTGCCCAAATTTCTATTTCAGTTGCCCAATAAAGAACTTTAATATTGCCCGAAACTGAAGGCCAAATCCTAATAATGTACATGGCTGCTTACCTGAAGTGGCTCAGGGCTTGCAAAATTGGCTGTCCAACGTCCCGGGACAAATCAAAAATTTTGTAATCTCCATTTTGCAAGTGGCGCGTCAGGCAGTGGCCGACTGTGGTTGCGTGTTTGTGTACGGTACCCGCGCTCTGTGCCGCGCTGGTACATGGTGTACAGTGGTCTGGTCATAAAATTATTAGAAACACACATACACACACGCGTTTGTTTTAGATACCTAGTGTGGACATTCCTTTGTTTTCGTGTAGTTAGGGAAAAAAATAGTGAAACAATTCTCTCAAACTGTGATTTTCTCTCAACCCCAATTTTTTCTATGATTCCCTTTAGTTTTTCTCTTCATAAACCTAACCCCAGAATGCCTCTAAATCTGTTTTCCAGAGAGGGGAAACATTGTGTGGACGTGGGCAAGTCCACACAACTTCGCGGCTACCTGGTTTATGTGGACATCTTTTGTTCGGAAGTCCACACAGTGAAATGTAATGCTTGTCCAGGATTGCATTTGCTGTCTACACACATTCAGACATTACGTATGCGAAACTTTACTGCATGATGTAGCCGGACCATATGTACAGATTGAAATTGACCACTGTTCTGTTCTGGCTGGTAGCCGTTATTGGTTAATGCGTAGATTACCAACATCAAATGGCGATAGCGAAGCAGCCGAGTCAAAATGTCGACGTTATCATGATTATTGTTCGACACTGTGCACATGTATGGGATTCAGGAACTTTCAAAAATGCCATGGACTGAAATAAAGTGTAAAAATGTGTGAGTTTTGGTGAAAAAAAGTGGATGCCCCTCGGGCTGGCAACCTGGAACTTTCGGTTGTCTGATACAATATGTTTGTTGTTCCGGGATGTCGGACAACCGATTTTGTGAGGCCCGACAGTGTTTTCTAATTACAAGTAATTTATGAACTTACAAAAATTTATTAGAGTGGTTCTTTGGGATTTATTGGGATTTTAAGTGCACCATATTAGGCAACCCTCTGCCTGATTTGTGCGTGTGTCCATTTTCTGGAAACCACCTGGGCTTCCAATTTTGTAATTGGATGTCATCAGCGCTGTAGCAGAGTTTGTCACAAGTTATCATGTCACAGGCTGTTCAGACGTACTGAGATAAAGGCACTCTATTGTTCATCCTGTGTTACTTGTGATAGTCGAGCCGCTTAGATCCACATTTGGACAAGATCGTGACCGACTGGTCCAAAGCACCAAACTTGGCAGATATATTCTTATAGCCCTAGAGAAGATATTAAGAAGGGGTGACACCTGAAATTCTTTTTGGAAGGGTGCCTAATTTGCACAATTGCCGGGTAATATATTGAATTCCCACCTTTTGAAATATATGACATACATGTATAAGTGACTTTTCGCTATTTGTTTTTATAACTCACTTATTCCATACCTAACTCTACCCAGCCCTGCTCCTCCCTACCCTGCCCTACCCTGTTCCAACGTTTGCCTCATTATCGGACCCTCTCTTTCCATGCTACCCCTCTCTCTCTTCCCACCTCTCACCTCCCCCCCTCCACTACCCTCAGTCCTACCCTTTACATTGCCCGACCTGTTTCCATCCTGTCCCGTCATATTTTCCTCATATTCTTCCCCAATCACCCCATTGCCCTGAATTCTACTTTACTGCTGCCCATGTTTTTATGATATTTTGATATTAAGTACAAAACTTATTATATTTTTAGCTTTGTCATATTTTTGTATATTTATAATGTATTGTACGTATAAATTAGGTTTCCGTAAATTGGGCTAAAAAAAATGGCAAAGGGTCGCCTAACATGGGGGACTTGAACAAATTCAAAGAAATACCCAAATTTACTTGTAAGAAAACTTTTTTTGACATTGACATAATTGTTATAAACAACCGTAATCTCTTATTTTGTGGATATATATAAATCTCTTCTTTTTTTTTAATCAATCAATTTTTATTTGCATGGACAAAGCTACACAAAACAACTCTTAAAATTGTGAGGCAGTTTTCTAACATGTGCTGTCTGGATATGATTTGTGAAAACTAAAGGCTATCATGTTTGTCTATTAAATCTTTAATATGTGTTTTTTGTTGTTCTTCCCAGGTGCTAACAGGCGACTTGGGAGGAAAGGCTAACTGCTCAGATTTTACCAAGGCTATATGTGATCAATTAGCATGATAACCCACTCAAATGTACAACTCATTTCAGGATCCATCCAGGTCATTTCTGAAGGTAAAACAAGGTCTCCTGAAGTCATTTTTTATTGTTTTATTTCTGTTCACTATCTTTGATTACAATTCCTTTTTTAGCAGAGTATTTATGGAAAAGATGGACTCATAAGTTTGATAGAAGAAATATGGTAGCTGCCATCACATTATATTGCTAGAGGAATTGGAGTGTTGCTTGATTTGACATTTGAAAATCATTTATAAATATAATTATTTGGATACATCTACATGGACACTGAACACAAGTCTCCCTACCAAGGTATGGGTCAAGGCTCAACTGTATTCGTAATTCAAAAAAATACAAACTTAAAAGCCGTCAAAGTTGAGGAATTGACATTGAAAGATGATTGGCTCTTCTTTGACATTGTTGTCAATGTCGGCCATCAATTAAACTAACCCAGTGTTTGCAAATAGTGTTTGAAATCTAGTCAGAATGTAACTTGGCAGATTTGGATCCCTTCAAATGAATTGCATTTAATCCATGGGGTTCATACAAACACGTTTTTGGTTGGTGTGTATTTTTGTAAAAAGTTTGGAACTGAGTTCATTGATTTTAGTTTGTAAGAGGAAAGTTGTCAAAGTTGTGCCTGTAAATCACGTAGTAGACATGGTATTAAAGGCATTTAGGATCTTTGCAATCGCTCAAAAACCAAACTGACGGGTGACGGATGACGGGATAAATCGTCAGGCTTCCCCCAGTCTCTGGCGGTGGACATGTACACGTTACGTCAGTGGTTGCCATTGGTTTTGTACCCATCGTGTGTTGAACTTGGCTGCTGTACACGGCCTGTGGTTGTAGCCAATATGGCTCCCTGGCGGGGCCTCAGAGTGTTGCAAAATATGAAGTACCAGAGAGAAGTACCATACACATATGGTACAAATGACTCTCGAAAGTCAGAATTTGTGGTGGTTGACTTGATTGTAAAATTTGGCCAATATATTTAGTCTTTATTAAAAATGGTGTTTTTGGCCAAACATAATTCCACCATCAAGTGGTTTGGAAATACCAAAAAACAAAAAACCTGGAAAAGCTTTTATTTCACGGTTGCTTCAGCCCACAGATATATAATATAATACATGTATCCTGCAATTACTTATAGACTGGTACCTGGTCCAGTATCAATGTTATAGGGGCAGAAACAGGTCAACCCTGCAAGAAGTTAATAATTGTTGTGTTTCTAATGAGTAATTTTTCAGCAACACGGGTATGTTTTATTGTTCAATGTCTCATTCAAAAGTGACAACTTTGTATTGGCTAGAAAATTGACCTGGCAGTCCATTTGAGTGATACCATGGTTATCTACAGGGTGTCCTAAAAAAAAAAGGTAACGCACAAAGGGACACTCCTGTTGATCTCTCTGTAGTTACTTAAGATTAGCAGTTTGGCACATGTTTTACTGTTTTTTATTGATTTTTTTAATTGAACCTCTCCCCTAGTACATTACATTTTAACACCCTTATCAGATGTACTCTTTTAAATACAAGTTACATGTGTTTCTACTGTCAGTATACAGTTGTGACAATTTGGATGTTAAATTTAAAGTGTATCCCAGGCATGATCCTGTATGTTTGCCTCTCTCAATTGCCATAAAACCAGTGTGTGTTGTTAACAATTTTATGCACCCATTGTAGGGTGAAAAGTTAGTTCTTGATCTTATTTGTGCTATTTAAGAGGTTGTGTTAATATTAAAGTTTGAAGCTATAATTTACAGTATGTGGTGTTGCATCTTTCCCCTGTTGTAATCCCAATGGTGAAATACAGGGTGTCCCCAAAACACGATATATATTAAAGGGGTAATATTAAACTATATATCACTGACATACAGATCCTTGTCATTTGATTGGTGGAACTCACATCACGTGGTATTCGTTATTGCTCCCATTCACGCCACGGGTCAAAACGTACTATCCACCCATGGGGAATGGGAAATACTATTGAACAGTTAGTCCATGACGCGGTATCTGTGTGCAAATGCATGCTGGTGTGCGCGTTCAGCGATGCGCGTAGCGCGTATTGCATTGGGTTCAAACATTTTCATGAAGGGGTGGTTAGGAAGAGAGAAATACATTTTCCTCCAGTTTTGTATTGAAATAAAAGATCAAATATATCAAATGACAAGGATGTATATGTCAGTTATATGAAACAAATATTGAGTGGCTTTAAATTGTGAAATGGGAGGAATATTATCGCTCGGTAAAATCTGGACTTTTCCAGTTCATTCGGCTTTGCCTTGTGAAATAGAAAAGTCCAGATTTTAAGTTGCGATAATATTCCTCCCATTCCACGCTGAGCCACTCAATATTTGTATAATAAACATTATCACCATAATTATTGTTTTATCATAAACTATGGGCGGCAAGCTTTCCATTGAGATCTTGGATGCATCGCTTCGTTCCACTGTTTTGAAAGAAGCATGTGAAAACAATTCAAAACTGCAATTTAGATACAAGCACTGGGGACAGAAAGTAAACTACCGGTAAACAATGATCATTTATTTATTGAAAACCCTAGTACAAAAATACACATTGTAAAAAACACTGGGTACAAAATAATTTCCTCTCACAATTAGTACTAGATGTTGCAGTATACTGTACTTCTCATTACATTTAATTGCATAATATAAGCTTACACCATGCCAGTAAAAACAAAAACGCAAAGAAAAAAACAATTAACTAAAATGGACTACCATTCTTTTTAGTTAAATTAAGTCATATGCTGTTAAAATCCACTGACAAAGGCCAGTGTTTTAAAAAAGTTCGCAACTTCACCCCTATCTGTGGCTGCACAAGGGGCAAGGACCTACTGTAAACCATGTCATCAAACATGTCAAAGCTTCAGCAATAAATATAAACTGGGTTTAGCTCCTGGAAAAGCTACATGTGTTTGTTACTTTTGTCCTGTATATTCTTTTTCACCGATTCTAACCAGAATTGTACATTTTTTTTCTGGATGGGACTTTGGTCACTTCTACAGTTGATACATGTATCCTAATCAATTTTGGCCCACAAAAAGATCAACAGTGATATATTCTGGAAGCAATACTGTCATGATGACATCTTCATGTGTCATATGACATTGACTTAGATATCCAGAGGTCCAATATCTCTAGAAGTGAGTTTGAGTCAAGCTGAAATTTTGTGTAAACTAATACTAAATAATCAGTACAAAATAACAAGTGATGTCATGATGATGTCACATTTACTTTCCAAGTTGTTCAATATTTCAAAAGTCTGTTCGTGATACCTGGGTATTTTTGCATACCTACTTTATATTGTCACAACTTTTTTTTCCCATTAAACAAATTGCTGAATGTTAATTCTATTTTTTTCTCTTTTCCTTCTTTTTTTAGACTTAACATGGCATTGTGATCGTTTCTAAAACACCACCACAACTCCATAAAAAATATATGCATCAAAAGTCGCATCACAATGACATCATCAGGATATTTGTCATCTTCTTTTTTTTTTAAGTATACGTTTTTTTCTGAATACATGTACCCATTTGAAATTTTCTGAATACTACATGTAGTTTGGACTCTTCACCACATCTGATCTCTGTCAATCATTTTAAGAACATCCTAAAAAATACATCCATTTTGGGTGTGTTTCAGATTTAATAAAGCAGTGCGTTTGATTACTTCCCCCGCGCTTACTCATGCAAGTGCGACAGCGTTCAATTAATCTCTCACATGACTTCTCGCACTTACTTGAGCCTGGCCAAAGTGACCGACTCGCCGAGCCGGTTACCACCCCCCCCCCCCCCCCCCCCCCCCCGAAAAGAAGAAAAAAAAGGAAAGGAAAAAAAAGGAGAAAACAAAAAAGAAAAGAAACGAGAAGTCATATTGGTGTAAATTTAATGGGGGGGGGGCAAAATGTCCCTCTTAAACTGATAAATCGAGAATATGTTGAGAAAAACAGGATTTTTTTGGGAAAACATGTTGTGCCCCCCTTTAGAAAAATCCTGGCGACGCCCATGTTTCCAGCTCTTGCACGAAACTTTACCCAAAACCGTTCGTTTATTTAACTCCATTGCGCATGTCTGTCATTACGCGAGGAGCCAGGCGCGAGTAAGATGGGGGGAGAAATCGAACGCACTCAAATGACAATGATGTATAAGTTTGCTAGATTTTTAAATTATTTGCAAACCTTTTGTGTTTTCATGTTTTTCTCAGTAAGTAGAGTTCCGTGGATACCCATTATGGAAATGGTACAGGTACCCAGGTACCCATTGCCATAAGGGGCATCCACAGAACTCTACTTACTGAGAAAAACATATAAACACATAAGGTGTTCCAACATTATCTCTAAAAGCACACCCCTAATCAAGGTATGGTGTGTCAGATTACAAATTACGAACACAATTAACCATTTTGTTCATGAGTATAAATAATACAATTTGCTCATTTTTAAAACTGATATCGATTGAAATTTGATTAATGACACCATTGTGACTTTACAGTAAAATGCGCATTGTGGGATCAGGGTTGATGAAACTGTTTAGAAAACAGTTGTGGGGAGAACGCAAACTTGTTTGATAACAAATGTTTATCAGAAATCCGTCCGATCACCCACTCAGAAAACCCCAGTGTTTTGTTGACACATAGGCACCCCAAGTTTGAAACAAATCCTGGGAGGAGTATAATATCATTTCCAATCAAAAGCAAAATTCTGTAAGTGTAACAAATGGCCAAAAGGTTATGGAAAAGCTGTAAGAAAAAGTACCAGCTGTTATAAATTCAAAAAAATGATTTCTGTAAATGAGTTAATAACTTAAAGGTGTACAATAATTAAGAATAACATGTTCCCATATTTATTGTTAAAGTGCTTTCATCTTCATCAGTACTGCGTACTCTACAAGAACTTATTAAAAATGAAATATACATACATGTAACACTCCACTTAAGAAAAAACAAATCTAGTACACAAACTTTTTTACAACCTGCATTGAAAATGTAGTTACTAGAGTTAATACAAATGTTGACCATATAAAAGTGATTTTAATACAGGAAATTTAAGTACTGCAATCACGACGAGACATGTTAAATGATATAAAAATACTCACTATTAATTTTCGAAGAAATTACTGCTTAAAGGGAAGATACAACACTGAGTTGCAAACATCAAAAACGAAATGATCAAATTATCACGAAATACCTTACTGGATTGTTAGGGAATGACAGTCTAAAGCATCCTGTAAAATCGTCGCTCCTGGTGTGCTGACATTTTCAAGAAAAAAAACTGGCTTTTTTTTTCAAAAACTGCTCCTAAGTTTTCATATTCAGTTATTCTGCATTTTCTTTGCAATTGATTACTCACTTGTGAAGGGGTACAGGCATGCTAGACTGATTCTCTGACCTTACAATTCCCCAAAGTCTATAAATTGCTCTGTTTTATCTTAAGTGGGGTCACGGAACCAGACTACAAGAACATGATTGGTTTCCTTGGTTGGTTTTCTTGATTTTTCCAGCATCTACAAGCCCATAACTTGAAACAAGTACATGTAAGGGTCTGTAAAGTCATGTTTTGGGTCTGGTTTGCACAACACTAATGTGGGGAGTGTAGATGATACTGTTGGACTTGCTCACAAGAGCCACGTCTCTCCTTCATGGGTATCATTCTAGTCCATTTTTACAAAACAATTTGTTTGAGCATTTTGTTCATCAATAAGAAATAAGCAGCAATATAAGTAGTGACATAATTAAATGATTCACTTTGGATATGTAATTGGTTACCATTTCCAAATTCCAATGCTTTACATTGTAAAGTAGACTACTGTACATCTCTTTTGACACACGTATCCCACGTGTATGTTACCCAATCACATGGTATAAGGTTGTTATGACTCTCTTCTCAATCACTACACCATTATTAAACAGTAATCTGAACACACAAACTAATACACTCCCCAGTAATGCTACACAGGTTTAATGACTAGGCTAGATAAATGCTGAATTTCATTATGTAATGACTGAAAAGGCACTTCACTTCGGCTAACTGTTCATCCTTACAATGGACCAGACCCTTGAATCTGCAGCCTCTGCTACAGTTCATTACAGAATCTCTTGATGTTCATACATGAATGCTTTCCATTTTTGACAATTCTTCCGCAAAGATGCCCTTGCTGGCAATACATGTAATTGTTGTAAGGGTCTTGATAAAATGGGCAGTGGTTCAATTGTACAAAATATTTTGCGCTTAGCAGAGTCAAGTCATTATGCACTACCACTAATGCACCTGGGGCCGATTTCAAGAAACTCTAAAAAGAGTCTCAGGAAGGGTTACTCATTTTAATGGGGCCGTATCATAAGTCGGATGCCTCATAGGTCCGATGCCTCATAAGTCCGAAATTTGGAGTTATGAGGCGTCGGACCTATGAGGCATAACATTTATTTATTCCGCCTCATAGGTCCAACGTCTCATAAGGTGTGCCAACCCAATGTAAAAGACTGCCAGTTTACGGGTACTGTACCCATCCTGACAGATTCCAACAAAACATGCTGTTGGGGTTTGATGGGTTGCGTTCTGTTAGGGTTAATGTCAATCATCGCTAATTCTAACAATAAGGCGCTAACATTCTGACATTTTATGCAATGTTTGTATTAATTAATAATGGCTGTCGGACTTAAGAGGCGTCGGACTTATGGACAGAAATAAAAGTAATTTAATTGTCGAACCTACGAGGTGTCGGACCTACAAGGCGTCGGACTTATGGGCCTTTATTTGGTTAGGGGATGCGATTTTGTCGGACTTATGAGAGTCGAACCTATGAGATGTCGGAGTTATGAGCGGACCCCATTTTGATTTGTGACTGGTCCTAGGATCGATTTCACCAAACTTAAGACGCGTTCAACACGTCATAACTTCCTTAACAACGCGGCTGAACTCGTCTTCACTTATGATCTTTCTGCGGGTTGTCTTACCTCATAAATACATGCATTAATTGTAATAATTGTCTGGAAATCATTGCAATATCTTCTTGTTAAAGACGAGTGTCGGCCTGGAGTTACAGTTTCGAGGAAGAAAACTGCTGTAGAAACAGATTTGAAATGATTTCTGATATGTGGGTAGGTTTCATAAAAATAACTTATTTACAAAATGTTATTATACGCCAATAACTAGTCAACCTTTTTTAAAACGGGGAGCAAGAATGACTCCATCGCATCTTGTGTAGAACTACCTTGCATGTGATATTTCTTAAGTAGAGTTATGTTTCTTGCTAAAGTTTGTGTTTCGTCTGCACACAGGAAATTGGTTTTGCACGTTTTTGAATGACTGGTTCATCAAGCGGTAAAAACAAACATAAACTAGAGGTTCACATTTGGTGTTACAAATGCAGAGTGGTTGGGTAGACAACTATTTCATTAGACTTTGTCCAGTTAAGTTATGAATATATTTATGTTAGAAAAAAGGATATAGAGCTTTAACATTTGGTAGTTTTGATGCGTCTTAGCAAAATCAAAGTTAGAATGCGTCTTAGCTATGATCAATTTTAGAACAGGGACTCGTCTTAAGTCCCAAGACGTCCAAAGATAAGACGAGTTTCGTGAAATCGGCCCCTTAATCAGCCCCTGAACCCAAACCCAAAGGCATAGGTAGACTTTTGCAAATGAATCTTGTTCCTATTTGAGCCAGGCTTACTGTGAGCATGAAGGTCATTCCATGCAGACTGCCTGCAGGTGGATGTCCATCTAAGATTTGGAGGGGACTTGAAAAAAAAACACATTCCACAAGTCCTTTGTGAGAATTGGCCTACTGATAAAAAAGTCACACCCCAGTTTGCTGTTGCGTCAGTTACATGTGCATATTTATCATTATTCCCCAATATCACCGCACTGCACTTACTTGAAAATGGTCAGTGGGGTGAATGAAAGCAAATTAATATTTCTGGAATTAAAAAAATCTAAAGATATCTCTTTTCCCAAAACCAATTTTAAAATGAAGAATTTGAGACATTATTATTTTTTTTTTTTAGATACTATACAAATAATGACTTATTTCACATCCATCCAATGGTAAGAATAATTTCATGAGATGACAGATGGAATGTTCCATTCCACAAGGTGAAGCCAAATTTGTGGAATGTTCCATTCAATCCATCACCTCGTGAAAGGTTCTTTCCATTTGCATGAATGTGGAATGTTCATTATTTGGAAAGACAGGGATTTATTCAGGCGTTGTATCAAGTATTTTAACATATAAAAGTATTAGCTACAGGGGTAAAGGACAACCTGGTCAACTACTCATCCAGGAAGTGTAGTTTATACATTTTTCTTAATGGACCTATTATCAGACCCTGACCGGCCACCCCCCCCCCCAAAAAAAATCCCCCGAGTCGTTGGTCAAATCTATTAAAAAATTAAAGATATGCACCTAGTGCATATGTACAACTAAACCTTTTTGAGTCTCCATGGAGCCTCCAGGGTGTTCCAAAAATTAAAGAAAATAATAACTGTTGTCGGTGTAATTTTGGGGGGAAGATCTTTATATCAAGGGACTTTCGATAGCAGATTTATAGAAAATGTATTGCATTTACTGCTCATATCATTTCTAGTTGAGTCCCGTGTGACAATTTTAAGGTAGGCTTTCAAGACTAAAAAGAAAAACTTAGATTGTAAGGTAAGGACCTTACAAACGACTTGGAATGATAGCAAATTTTCACATGGTTGAATGTGATTCACGGGAGTATTTTTTTAAACAGTTCTTCCAAATCTGAGTCTTTCACCTGACAGTTCTTGGACAGTTGGCACAGAATTAACCCACAAAAGATCAAAACAAGGCTGGCCAAGATCTTTGATATATTGACACATTTCATAAGAATGGTGATTTTTGAAGGGATGTCCTTAGGATGAACATGATATTCAAATCTGTGGTCTAGATGTCACCTTCGCTGTCGTCAAAGTAGTCATCTTCATCACTACTAGGCAAGGCATTTTGTCTGAGTGTGATCTTGGGCTGCTCTCCTTTGTTGCTGTAGAATGCTGGTAACTGCTCATACGTGTTCTTCCAGCAGAGCTTCTTACGTGAACGTGCTTGCAGGAGGCCAAAAAACAGGCCGAAGACAGCCAAGACCAGGAAGCAAACAAAGACAATCGCACCATGGTTAAGCTTGGGCCCGACCACAGGCTGCTCACTATTGTCATTGCCTTGTAATTCCATGCACTGCTCATCTGTACAGATATCAATTTGTTGAAATGAAAATTTAGAATGCAATATAATGATGAAAATATTTAGAAAATACACTTAAGCATACACATTGTGGACATTTTGACTGGAGGCTAATCTTAAGTCATGTGATAGAGCAATTAAGTTTAATGCACTTTCATTTCACATTTCATGTTTAATTTCTGCACATTTGTTTGTAAAGCAAAAACAGAGTGGGAAAACTGCAAGAAATGTCACCAAATGACTATACAGGGGGGGGGGGGGGGAAACGGAGATATTATTGCTAATTGGAACAGAAGTAGGGCACATGTGAATCAAAGGGAGATATCCTCTGTTAGGGTTGAATCTCCTCTTTAGAATGACACCCTGGTCATGTCATTACATTTCATGGTTGACTGAGCTGTGACCGTCATACCAACGGACAACCGATGAGCAACCAACGGGCGACTCAAACATTCAACCATAGTTTGCATGTTATTTGCCTACATTAAACAGTTTATGTTGCCACTTTTACATCAATCACATTTCTGCAGTGCAGAAGAGAACCGTTTGCTGAAAGCTGGCATCACATGACCACAATATCCAATTTGTAAACACATGTAATATGGTTTATACAAACACTGCTGATTCATTATTCTATTTTACATGTATAATACAAGCCAGCCAGTTTAACATTTTTTTATTTAGAAATACAGAGAGCATTTTCTAGTTTGATATTCAGTGGTCATTCAAGAAGATTATTGAGTATTAGGCATTCTGACAAAAAAGCATTGTATACGTATTAACGAGTCATTCTGTGTCAAATAATTGCACTTCCCAAGGTCAACCTAACAAATGTTCACGCAGCTCATTGATTCACACCGTGTGCGGTCAATTTCTGCTGCATTTTCTGCCTTACAACTCTGTGAGGCAAATATCTGTCCGGTTTAATCATTTTTGCCTTGGGAGGCAAAAACTTCACCGGTGCGAGCAACCTGAGCTACGTGCTGAGCCAAAAAATTCACTAGCTTTTCTTTTTCTTCAACATCACATTTTATTAGTTTTCTCTTTTACATGCTTGGTTATGTTCACACTTTATCAGAATTAAATCAGCATCAAAACAATTATAAACTTTCACATAGAAAAATCTTGGTTAGATACAGTTTGTCTTAACATCTTCCTTCAGCATGCGTGCCACCATTTTGAACAAGACACGTGATCATGTCTATGCCACAGAATCGTCATGACAACAGTCAATCGGCTAAATAGTTGTACTATGAGTATGGTTGCGGTTATTCTGTGTTGAGATGCCACTTGTTTCACAATAATCTCACGATTTTCCAGTTTTGTGGCACGGCATGTTTTGTGTGCTTGTTGCAAGTGGAATCGGGGATGACCTAATGCCGGTTTCAAATTTTATATTTCTTTTAAAATTATTAAAAATCTTACCCTTGTTACACTGACAGCAATTTGCTTCATCTAAGCCTTCTTTACAGCAACTCAAGCATGTGTAGTGTTCATCATCTACTTTGGATAGTGACTGGCCACTGTGACAAGCAATACAGTGCTTGTCAGTTGCTCCATAACATTCCTGGCATTTTGGGTCACAAGGCATGCAATGCTGCGTCTGGAGGAAAAGAAATTATGCCGGTAAAAGTAAAACAGTGCCAGATATACTGTAGAAAACATTTCATGCATTTAGCCTGCGGTATCAGGTTAATTTTTTAGATTTTAATGCCACTTTTGTTAAACCTTTCTAGAATGATGTTTTCAACACTGTAAGCAAACTCCACCCCCATTAGCTGATTGTAGTCTTGGGTAAGGTGACAAATTACAACAGATCACTTAAAACAGCTCTCATGTAAAACAACGACACAAATAGGCACTTTGGTGAAGAGCCACTTTTACAGAATATCTGAACAGTCTTTGGGAACAGGTCTTTCATGCAAAACAAGTAACTTTTTTTTTCAAAGTTACTCAACTGAGCAATGAAAAGTGATTAATCCAGCATTAATTATTATGAAGGAAAAAATGTACATGAATTATAGACAAACCTAATGAGGTCAATATTTTGTGAGGTCCCTTTTTGCAGCAATCACAGCTTGGCATCTTGCAAGCCTATATATTGTCTATATATTTGTCAATCTCTTCAAAGCATGTCATTCCATCACTTCTGAAGTTCAATCCAAAGACTTTCTTTGAACGTTTCTTTCAATCTGTCAATTTCACGTGCCAATAGGGTCCCATATTTGTTCAACAGGGTGCAGGTCGGGACTTTTGGGGTGGCCATTCCATCATATTCAACTTCCCAGCTGCTTCTTTTTGGTGTGGGTAATTCCAACAGTAGTAAGAGGTATGTTTTGGCTACCCCTACACTACTAGTCGGTGTCTCTAACAAGCAGGTTTTGTCCACTGATCCATTTTTTTTTTTTGGTAAATAAATCACCAGTTCCTTCCGTATAAATTGCAGCCCAAACCATTTCCACCACCTGACCACCATGCTGTTTGACAGTAGGACAGTTGATTTAATCAGCTATGAGCCTTGCACTATTCCTCCTTCACCATACACTCTCTGCTTGCTTCCGAATAGGTTGAGCTTCGATTCATTAGTCCATAGGACTTTGTGCCAATCATCCCTACTCCAATGTTTACATTCTTCAGGAAACTGATGTTTGCAAGAGATCCACAAGACATCAACCCAAAATCTCATAAAGGCCAGGCAAGAACAAAATTGTGGAGCTATGATATCTGAATTAAAGTACCTGGGACAGGAGGCTGATTAAGACATTGCTTGGGAAGTGTCATAGCACTTCATGAAAACAGCCCAGGATAAGTGACACAAGCCAGCAGCTGAGCATTTCAATCTTGTACAAGTTTCCTTTCATGACTTGTTTACATATATTAAAGCACAAGTGGCATAAACCCAGACAGTCCAATTGTTCATGTTCACTATTCTCCTTAATATACATTCTACTAATTCAAGAACATGTATCAAGTACATGTATGCCAATGACAACAAATTTCTAGTTTTAGGATAGTTTAAGCACACAACAGTTTTGATAAATGATGTTTCAAAATGTGTCACTTGTTTGTCACTGCTCGACTAAAAAGAGCACGGCCAAATTTCATGGCTTTAATATGACCATTAGTGAAAAATTCCTGCTTACTGTAGCAAAAAAATGTGGCCTTACAGTAAGCATATTTCCCTGCTTACTGAGGAATTATACTTGCAAGGTTAACACAAATTTTTTTCTGCTACCTTTGTTAGCAAAAAATAGTGAGGATAAGTGTGGAATTTTTGGTTAGCAGCCCCATGAAATTGGGCCCAGGTCTACACTGATAAAAGCACTTACATGATTGATATAGTAGGTGCCAAGGTCACATCTGCTGTAACACACATTGTCTTCAAGTTCATAACCCTCATGACAAGACAGACAATTGAAGGGGCCCATGTCTAACAAAAGGGAATGAATATAAAAACGATGGAATTAATCAAACATATAATCAAATTAAAGTCAGATGGCTATTTTGATACAAATATGCATTTGGTTCATATTCAAAGCGTGCTTGCTTTTTCCTAACTCTTCTCTCTAGAACAGAAGTCAAGGTAAGTTGAAACAACTGCAATGCAGTCTGCAATCCAATCTGGACAGCACACTGCCAAATTGGGTCAGAAAGAAATTAGTTATTGGAACAAAAATCACACCCTAAGTATTTTTATCATAGAAAACTTAAATACTATGAATGTTGAATTAAAATTTGAAACATTTGTACCAATTACATACATTTGGATTAAAAAATAGCAGAAATTATACTGTTTTTGACCAAGCATTGGCAACAATGTGAAAAGTGCCCTCTCATTGTGACCACAGCACAACCAAATAACATCATAATAAAAAGTATGGGCCAACCATCATTTCTGCCAAACATTAGGTAATCAACTCATGAATATAAACTACAAATGGAGTGGAAGAAGGACGCTGCTTTCCTCCATTCCCTACCCTGATCTGGTTTAGCTTTGAAGTTATAGTTAGATAAGTGCAAAAGTGTTAGTCCTAGAACCATCTGGTTTGATGGTTTTTTAGCTGTCTGTAATTTACCCTAAACAATGTGCCAACATTGTATTCTCACCATAACAGGTCTTGCATCTGACGTGGCATGGCTTGCACACAGCACCAAAGTCCAGGGAAAGGTAATGGTCCAAAGGGCATTCATCCACACAAAGACCATCCAACAGTTTTTTACCATTGGCACAGGTGATGCACTGGTTGTCCCCATTACCCCAGCATGATATGCAATCAAAATGGCAGGGCTGGCAAACTGACTGCTTTCCAGGGTAGTTCCTGGGAAAGAGGTGGAAGGGAAGACAGAAAGTCAATAAAAGCAATTCTGCATCCTGAAGACATTCTGCTGAAAAGAACAAAGAGCAACGAGTCCATCCTGACACTGCACACTCCTTAGACCAGAAATTTAACATTAATGGGCCAAGGAAATATTTATATTTTTGGGGGGGGGGGGGGGGGGGGGGGGGGGGGGGAAGGGGTGTTTCTCATTTGACGCTTGGGTGCTGTTCAAAATAATTTATAGTCACGTTTTTTGGTCATATCGATAGTCTTCAATAAGGGAAAAGTGTGTGTTCGGAAGGTATTATAACACTCTGTTTAAGACCGGTGAGAGTCTGGATGGATGATAATTACCCGAGGTGAAGCCGAGGGTAATTTTCACCCATCCAGACTCCTACCGGTCTTAAACAGAGTGTTTAATACCGACCGAACACATATTTATTCCCATTCATAAATACCTTTTCGGTCAAAGAAACAAATCTTTTCGGTAAAAAAATCAAAACAAGTCAAAAACTAGACGTTGCCAACCATTCTGTTCAACAATTTTACTTCATGTTTTACAAAACACCCCTCTGACTATAATATGGAATGCCCCTCCACAAGTCGTTTCCTTATAAGAGCATTGGCGTGCGCGTACTGCCCGATGTCGTGCAAAACGCAGCTTGGCAAGTGTAGTGTGTTTTTCGGACCATGAAATACTGATTCACTGGTAGTATCGCACATGCATACGTGAGGAATGTGAACGTTCAACCAATGAAACGTTAATAGGCACCGGATTTCATGGGAGTCCAAATTTCATGTGACACTAGAACAGTGTTAAGACCTACTAGCCATGTCTTGATTATCCGTTTAAACCCGGCCACGTGACAGGCTCTCGACCAATAGGAATGCGTAAACTGTCTTAGGTATTTATGAATATACGTTAAAAGTGACTTAAAATACTGACTTCCAGTCCATTCTTCCTTTTTTTATATTTCTTCATCCGTTCTCTTGTCCTCCTGGTGGGGGGGGTACAAAATCGCCCTACCCCCTACCCGTTGCGCCACATTGACAGCAGATCGGGTCACAACATGATGCACTCACCTCACAAAGTGGTGGTCACGTCCACTATGACTTCACATTCAATGAATCTGTGTCCCCCACCATACACCCCTTCCGTTCACTAAAAAATGATATCTCTGATGAGTGTTTTACCCAAACCAAATCCATTAGAAAATCGGCCATTTTTCTATTGGGGAGGAGTGGCCATTGTCACTGTTGCCAACCGGCCTGTGGATGGGGATGGAAGCAGAAGGAGGAAACTGGGCAAACACTGAAACAAATACTGATATCGTACGAACAACAATGAAACTGCCTCTTAATTTAGATCCACATAGGCACACTCAGCCATCCAATGTCACTGACATCTGGCATGTCAGCAAAGGAACATACTTTGCAAGTTGGAACTCTTAACACCAACAGTAACATGTCTTACTTCACTGATACATGAACGAATGATGGAGGACATTATTATGAATTAAAAAAAAGGACAGGGAATTTGAAAAAAAACTTTACTCCAATGCATTGCAAAGCAAATTGTGCTCTACTTACCATGCTTGCATAGAACTGATTACACCACCTCACCCACAGATTCTGTGTCTTGATTGGCTGAGAGCGAGTCACATGGTAATTTCTATTTTTGCTATGTTTCAGGGCACGGCCGAAAGTACTATACCCGTAGCAACCAAAGTACTCTACCATTAGCAACCAAAGTACGATTCCCATGGTGCAGTTTTGGTGTGCAAATGCATGCTGGTGTGCGCGTCAAGCGTTGCGCGTGGTGCGTATTGTTCCCAAGAGAGCGCGCCACAGAGTTGGGGTCAAACATTTCCTGAAGGGGTGGTTTGGAAGAGAGAAATACATTTCCCACCAAATTTGTGTTGAAATTGAAGTTTCTTTTAATTGTGTTCAGATTCAAATACTTTAAAATATTAAAATCAAGCAGAATCTGTGGGTGAAGTGTTATAAAACAAATACTGAATGCTTTATCTTGATCTCGTGGTGAAGTAAAACTAGCCTCCCTTGGTGATCCATGAAGCATTTTATTTTCCCTCGGCAAATAGAATGGCCATGGATCACTTCAGGAGGCTAGTTTTACTACACCACTCGAGGCAGTCAATATTTGTATAATGTAGTGAAATGGTCTATTTCTACAGCTTACCCTGTTCCACAGTGTGCCACACACTCGTGGTCCAGACGGTACATACTGTCATGACATGTGGTGCATTCCCTTTCCAGTGGGCCATAACAGGTGTTACAACTAGAGTGACAGGGGCGACATTCAAACTCACTAGGAGAACCACTGTCATCATCAGTAAGGTAATGGTAGGTACCATCAGGGCATGTCTGTACACATCGCTGATTCCCTACAGAAAGGAAGTACATGTACATGTATAGGACAACATTCATCTAAGGGCAATTCCATCCAAGAGTTACGCGATGAAAAAAGAAAACATTCATGACACTTGAACGAAATGAAAGCTTAAAGTCCACATTTTGTAGATCTGACTTTCAAATTTAAATATTCACTGTTTTAGGGGTAAAAATAATGCATTTAATTATAAATCCTATTTTTGTTTATGTAGGGAGACCAAGTGTGTTCTCTGTTGTAATCCAAAAGTTTCGCGAGTGATTCGCGCGGGAAGCACAAAGGCAACTTGTAACAAGTTTTCTCCTGTGAGACTTGAACAGGGAAGACCACCACAAATTTGGGGCATCTATTCTCCCTTTTTGTAGGGAGCATGGCTCTGGCCATGCTCCAAATTTATATCATTTTGGAAGGTTAGTATTATAGACTCATCCCTGTGAGTACTTTAGTGTATAAGGTGATCATTTTATGAGAATATTGTGTTCATTTTGAGGCCGGATGATTCACGATCTGTAATCTGTAATGTATGTAGCCAGCCATGTGTTGACATTTGACCTTTATCCCTGTGCTATTTTATTGTGCCTTACCTTTATCATGGATTATTGCCTTGTGTAAAGAATATGATCGTCTTGATTATTGTGTAGAAATAAATTTAAATCTAAGTTCGGTAGCTCATTGTCGTCATTGTCATTGTCGTCGTCATAGGTAAATAATTTTACTTGCATAAAATTTAGAACAATGGTCCTCTTTAACTAGAGGGCCAGCCTCCTTTTGCCGTCCTGCTACATTTACAAAAATGTTAAAATAGTTGTGAAAAAGAATGGACTATTTTACCCATAAATGAAGTATAATTGACTTTAATTCCAAGTCACATGGAAGTAGGGATACTAAAATAAACTAGAGGTTGTAGGAACAACCACACGGTGTTGTTGGGCCATGGATTACCGCAAAATTTTCCACATACATCAACTCAAAATGCATGTTTTAACCCTAACCCTCCAGGGTATGTTTGCTAGAACCCTGCCAAACGCAGCAACATGCAACACTTGACTAAGTGACAAGCCTGCCAAATGTAGCAAGATGCATCAGGGGAAAAGTCTCAAGGCCACACTGCCTCAGAGTCCGTGGTCACTGCACGCAGCAGGATACAACTGTGGCATTGTTCAGTGGGACTTAGCTCTCATCATTTCAGAGCTGGCCATTCATGCACTGGTGTTGGCAGCTGAATGAATCAAAGTGCACCAGTTCTTTTCCACCTGGTGCACTGTGTTGCGTCTGGCAGGGTTAGGGTTAAGCCATGTTTAACTTAGTCAACATGCCGCTAGAGGGCGCTTTCACATTTTATGACGTCACCTGTAATATTTTTGTAAAGTACAGCCTAGGCAGAAATTCACATCGTTGAAAGCAAGTTCACATTTTTTGCCAATTTCAAATTATAAGGCACTTCCTGTTTCAACCAAGAGGGTCACATGATTTTGCACTTAATACCAAAATAAAGACCCTGCAATATTGTATCGATTGTCATAAAAAACAAAATCAAATATGTAACAGTTAATTTGATATTGATTTTCAAAGATTAAATATGGAAATCTTCATTTGCTTGTAATATGACACTTGATGACATCATTGAGACGTCATTACCAGAAACTTCCAGAGTTATATTTACTGGGCTATACATAGCCACATCTTGATTATATCTCTCATGGTTGATTTTTTAGCAATTGTTTAAGGTTTAAAGATTGTTTTAAGATGGAATTTGCATCGGGGTGATATAAATCAAACTGGGCTTTGCCCTTCAACGACGTTAGAAAGCAGGAGGTCGTGGGTTCGAGTCCCACCCGAGTGATTTTTTCTAACTTTCACTCGGGAGGTAACACGCCGAGTATACAGTTTGAAAGATTGTTTTATTTAACTTCCGGTCCGATGACGTAATCAATTTTTTTCGGGTCTTGTCTGCATTATGGTCATCATGTACATTAATTTTGAAGTGATTACCAAAAAAGTTCGCCACAGACATCAAGTGAAAATGCCTTTTGTTTTTTAACCTGCCACTAGAGGGCGCTCCAACACCTCATGGCGTCACCAAATAATTTTTTTGAAAGGTTACTACAGGAAGACACTAACATCGTTAAAAGCAAGTTTATATCTTTTCCCACTTTCAAATTATTAGGCACTTCCGGTTTCGACCAGAAGGAAGGGTCAAGTGATGTTAGGCAAACAAGATAAAATGGAGAGCATGTACTATCATGTCGATTCCCGCAAAATTCAAGTTCCGGTCTCTCACGGTTGATTTTAAATTGAAATTCAAATATTAAATTTATTATTTTTTCACGTGACATCACGTGACCCATGATGACGTCATGATGATGTAATTGTAAAAATAACAGCGTTGCTGTTGAAACCCATCAGCCAGAGTCAAGTTATCATCCGGAAACCATTAACCTTTAGGGCAATTCCACGGATACTAACTCACGTTACATTTTCGTAACGTGAGTAACCGATATTGTGCATCTTGTTTATCACACATAACACGATTTTCTGGATGTCATCTTTGGTGCTGAGGTAGGTCTAGGTCTATACTCTATCTACCATGGGGATAACAGTTATTAAACCTTTTCAGTAAGGTAATTACAGCCCAAGGAAACTCAAAAGTACATCAAAAATGTAACGTGAGTAACCGTGGAATTGCCCTTTAACTGAACATGGTGACCTTGACCTGTGACCCCAGAACCAATCTCAACATGCCTGTACTTTTTGGCAAACCCCTACCGAAGTTAGACACCAAAATTTCATTTCTAACTCAAGACCTTTGACCCCAAAACCGATCCCAAATTGCCTACTCCCAAGGGCAACCAAAATCTCATTTTCAACTCAAGTTATCATCCGGAAACCATTTACCTTAAACTCACCACAGTGACTTTGACCTTTGGACCCCAAAACCAATCCCAACTTGATTGTACCCAAGGGCAACCCCCTACCAAAGTTAGACACCAAAATCTCATTTCTAACTCGAGTTATCATCCGGAAACCATTTACCTTTAGCTCACCACGGTGATCTTGACCTTTGACATTTTGACCCCAAAACCAATCCCAACTTGCCTACTCCAAAGGAAAACCCCCTTCCAAAGTTAGACACCAAAATCTCATTAACAACTGAAATTATAATCCGGAAACCATTTACCTTTAACTCACCACGGTGACCTTGACCTTTGACCTTTTGACATCAAAACCAATCCAAACTTGCCTACTCCTAAGGGCAACCCCCTACCGAAGTTACAATCGTAAACAACATTTTCTAACTCAAGTTATCATCCGGAAACTAAGCTGCCCGGACAGATGGACGGCCCGACATACTCTCAGGGCAGACCGACGGATGGACGCCTCAGGCGATGACAATACCCCTCAAGCCTCTTGGCTGAGGCCGGGGTATAAAACTACATCTTCAGTGGGTTGTGCATTCATGTATTGACAACTGAAGTTCATAAATGTTTTCATTTTGACAAACAGTTCTGGAGAAGAATTTGTCTTGAAAAATAAAAATAACAAAAACAAGAATATTGAATTCATAGAACAACAATAAAACCTAAAAATACAATTAAAACTCTTTTTTTTTCACGGAATTCTGTGGTTAGCAGAGCCAAGAAATTGGGCCCAGTAGTGGAAATGTTTGTATTTTAGATGTTGATTGATAATTTTATTTTTGTTGTGGACTAACCAAAACCGTTGCTGCAACTCCTTTGCTCAAGTTTACTGTCCAACTCAAAATACCTCCATCATCAAATCACAAAACCTGCCGAAACACTCTTTGTTTTCGTCAAGATTTTGTTTTCTTTTTCTGTCATCTGCCCATAGCATTGGTACACGTTTTCTTTGTTCCCAGCACTTTGGGCACTTACATCGATCCAATTGCCTTTATACTTGGCACACATGGAACATCACTTGCAGATGCGTGCCAAACACTGACGACATCATTAAAGGTGCATATTTTGAGGGCCTATATCTACAGAACTACAGTTCTGATTGGGCAGAAAGTTGGTATGTACCTAGACCGGGATGTGTTATAGATGAAAATTGAAGTGACATCATGATGGCGTCATCACATGACATGTGATGTCATATTAAAAGTGCATATTTTGAAGGCCAATATCTGCAGTACTGATTGTGTTGTAACTTAATTTTTACCTAGACCGGGAGGTGTTATAGATGAAAACTGAAGTTACGTCATGATGACGTCATCAAGTGTCATGTGACATCACATTAAAAGATGCATTTTTTTAAGGCCTATATCAACAGAACTACAGGTCCGATTTGGTGATAATGTGGTACATGTATGTACCAACATTGGGATGTGCAAACTATCAGGCTATAACATGACTTGAACAGCCATATGTTTGTCCACAAACGTAAGTCTAGTTGAACCAGTATTTGCTCTTACTAACATTAAAATGTATTCACTGAGATATAAACTCAAACCTTATTTGAGTTATTGTTGTTCTCTTTGATATTTAGAAAATACTCCAGTCAAAGTCTCATGTTTGAATTACTGTTTGGCCAAAAATCAGTTTTGACCAACATATTTGGTACATCTCATATCCTAAAATTTGTGAGGGCACAATCACATTATGATGTTAAAGTTACATCCTTTGGATATTAGTGGTTATCAGTTTGACATAAATGGACAAAGGAGACTCACTGTCATAAACTAGTAACTATACCAAATACCTAGATTAAGATTAATTAGCATTTGCTTTGTATTAGTTGACTTCAGCCATTTGCATTTCATAATCATTGTGTACACTCTTTGTACAGGGTAAACCTTTAGTCATTCCATGGCTGTCATTCCGTTACCAAATCTTCATCCACAAAAAGGTCCGTACTTTAATTAAGGAACAAAAAACTTTAAATGTCAGCGTCATTCCATTTACAAACCTCATTGTTATTGGTACTTTGTAAACGAAAAGAAGTTTTGTAGAAGATGAGTGGAAATAAAGGTACTGGTTTGAGTAAAAGATTAGAGACATTGTTTTGATTGTGAACAAAGGTACATGTACCTGTAGTGCACATGCCTTGAAGTTGCAAAAAGAATCTAATTGATGTACATCAATGGACAATTTAGATTTCACTAACTGTCGACTCTTCAGGGCAGTAACTGTTGAATTGTTTTGAAACACTACAGGGATAACAATAAAATAAGTTAACTTGAATATTCTCAGAAGTGCAAATTTGGCAGAATCTCATCATGTCAGAAATTTGTGAGCCATGTTAAACGTGACAAATACTTCTAAATGTGATTGAAAGAATGTGGTGCTCCGATTCATTTGTAAACTTGTTGGTCGGACCAACAGTCACAATAAGATTTACCTGTCAGGAAGAAATGGGGTTTGCAGCTGAGGCAATTGTCTTGGCTGTTGCCATCACAGTTCTGGCAGGTATCATGACAAGCAAGGCATTGGTTCTGATCACGGAATGTTCCCTCAGGACATCCAATGCTACACTCTCCCAGATTGGAGTTGCTGGTGGTATGGACCATGCCTTCTGGGCAGGCTGTGCACTCATATGGAGATGGACCTTCACAGGTTTCACAGGAAGGGTGGCATGCTATGTTTAAGAATAGAACATTTAAACTACAGATAAGAATTCCCTTGTAAATAAGCTTCAGGTCTTGGAAATATTGGTTTAAGGTTTGAATACTTCGTCTGGATATATAGTAAATATTTCAAGTTTCATGTTGCATTAAATTGTCATTGGAATTCCGATAACTAGAAGTAAGAGTAAGGTGATTTTGAACTCGGAGGATAATCCCTATTTAAGACTTACCACACCACAAAATATTATCACAATATCTTATTGGATTTGCTAGGTATGGTAAAAATATAAAACCTTTTTTCATTTTTACCATAAAAGAATCAATATTAGGTTTTGCCCTTCACCTAGGTATGAACAATGTATACTCAGTGTGTTACCTCCCGAGTGAAAACTGGGGGGGGGGGGGGGGGGGGAAGCAGTCGGGTGGGACTTGAACCCACAACCTCCTGCTTTTTAGTGCACATGTCTTACCACTCCTCATCTTATGAATAACATAAAAGAAGTTGCAAACTGATATTTCAAAATAACACAATGATTATCAAATCACACACAGTCCCATGTCATCCCATGAGTATTACGCAATCGATTAGGTATGCATTTATGCATTGTTTGGATATAGACTCCCTTTACATTATAATTAACCTTACTTTGAACTCTGGTAATATCAGAAGTAAAGGTCAAGCAAGTTTGCTCCCAAACGAAAGGTGTCCATGTCTGAACATTATATTTGATTTAGTTCATCATTTGTGGATAAAGTTGGTCAAAATGTTGCCCGAAATTGCTTCTTATTCAACACCTGATGACATTACCACATGACCAGTCATTTCAGAATGAAAATCGGAAATTCATTTCGGAATGAAATGAGTACATGTAAATCTGTCCACTTTTTAAGGTTATTTAATGTTCTATTCAAATAAAGTGCATGTTCAACATTTTGATTTAAGATGTCAAAAAGTTACCAGGTCTTTTATGAATATTAGAGAAAGACAACTACATCTCACCAACACAAACACCATCTTGGTCAAACTGCTTAGCATTGCAGTTTTGCCTGCAATGTCCATTGTTAAGCTGGTAGTCTGTATCACATGCTAAACACTCATCGGGACGTGGTCCCAAGCACCGTTTGCAATGAGCAATGCAATCCCGACATAGTGTGTTGCCACTGGAGTCCACAGCCCGGTATTTGTACTCAGCGCACTGTGATGCTGGTTGCATACATTCACCATAATAAATTTGATATCCACCTTTGCATGCTGCAGAATAAGTGGAAATATTTGTGTTATTAATAGCAAATTTCATAACACCATCATAGAGTTGAAATTTTTGCACACATCTGCAAAGTTGTGCTAAGCAAACCTAGAAACCAGCTCAAATGTTATGTGACATTACACGACTGTACACATTTGTCATGTTTGTGCATTTTTCCTTGAATAATAATAAGTTAAAAAGCGAACTCTTTTATTATTATTTACTGTTACTTTGTATACTAGACTCAAAAATACATTAACCACGATAATAAAAACTTTGAAAGTTCATTGAAAAGTAGTATATAAATAGGGACACAGTTATACCCTTGACAATTTGCAATTTTTGTAATTATCGACAAGTTGTATGTCCTAAAAAATCAAGCAGCTAGAGTGCCAATCTAAATTCTACACACGTTTCTTTTCACAAACTTTGCTTCAAACACTCATGTTCTCATCACTATGGGACATGATTTGCCGCTTGCTTGGTATGCAATGTGTGTGGTGTGTTAATATTGATGGCTTTATTCACTGTTGGAAATGTGTACGTTCAAGGCCAAACAAAAACTCCGTCAAGTTTAAAAATGGCAAGACACCATGTGGGTATCCTGTTACCTTGACCTTCAACATGAATCCAGCCGAATCCTGAGGCAGTAAAGCCCTAGGTCAGACTTGCATGTGGAGTACAATCACATCATGTTTTCCCGGGTATTTTTTTTTAAAAATACTTTCGAACGTGAGGGTCAAAAATGTCCTGTCTGAATTTAACCTTTGATTCAGCATGTGATTGTGTAGAAAATACCGAGAGTTTTGCACCACCTTTGCATGTGTTCTAGATTTGAATGCATATATGAATGTACGGTTGAATATGGGGTTGCATCGCAGGCTGGTAAAGCTGAATTGCCTGAATAAATGAATCACATATTGAAATGAGTGCCAAGTTCTGACAGGTATTCATCCAAGTAATTACGGCAATGACTTCACCAGTTTCCACGGCAGATAACTTCCAGTCCCTTACTGTGTACATACCAACTACACAAAGATGTAACACCCAAACTACATGCACGTTGACATGGTGTATGCGATAATTGGTGCGCGTATTCAATATGTACGGCTTGACATACGTGATCATTGTACAATGGATTTTCCCTCATGTTGCGTGAGAAAAGTGAGTTGGAAATGACACCAATAACAAAATTCTACACGAAAATCGAAAATATGAATTAAATCAAGAAAATATCATACCTCTACTTTATAAAAAAAAAAAAATTTGTATTTCACCTACCTAGACATTCACCCCATTCGTTGCAACTTGTGCAATGCAGGGGACAGATTCTGTCCTCGACTAGGCACCGATTGGACTCTACATCTTCCATAAATCCCCTGAAAGCACAATTTAATAGAGAAAATATGAACAGAGATCCTTAAAGGTAATACACAACATTTGCAAACATCAAAAAACAAAACTACCAAATTATTATGAAATACAACGCATGTCATAATAATTTGGTAGTTTTTTGATGTTTTGATGTTCACGATAAGTCAAATCTCAAAGGAATGGATAGAAAATTCAAGATATCCAAAGTTTGAGTTATGCAAAGTTCCCAATTTTTCATTGATTACGTACATGAATACCATGAATGTATACCAATGACCATAAATGGCTTTCACCATAACTCGCTATGCGTGACACGTTATTTGGCTCACTTTCCTTCTTTTTACTGGTATTAATGATGTATTTTTCAATCATAAATCATCTTTTTGCTCAGATTTTATATTTTTCTTACCTAAAAGTGTCTGTTCTATAGATATATCATACAACAATAAACCACTCAAATTGTGTAACTTTGTCTAGCAAATCTTTGTTTCGTTTGTCAATCGATGTTAGTCTAGCGATCACACGACGCATTGCGAGCACCACCTGATGCATCGCTCGGGGTTTTCTGTTGTGAGGCCACATGACCGGTCCTATTGATTGATAGAGGCCATGCTATTGTGCAAGCTGCAGCTAGCTGGGCCAGCCGCGGTAGCAATCAGCCTACATTGTAACTCGAAAGCCAGGCATGCGTTTCCAATAAGGTCATGTGGCCACTGCAAGGAGCCCGCGGTTGGACCACCAGCGCGCTGGCTGCAACTGGGCAAGCGGTAGCGATCAGGCTAACTCGAAAGCCAGGATTTGTTGTGGTTATGGACTGGAGTCTGATCGCAATGGCATTGTGTACGCTGTATGCAATGGCATCCCAAGTGAAAAAAACGAAGTGGGTTTGGCAATAATGACTTACGAAAAACGTTTCGCGATCATTTTACGCAGCCTGTCCAGGGTGTGTAGTACTAGGCGCACTTCTTCAAAGGATTACAACGACCATTGCGGCCACTTTGCGTCTTCGGCCTTCCTGTGAGATTAGTCACGGTTCACTTGGAACGTAGTCAGTTGCACTGCAGGGTCATTCCGTGTCAAATCACCCAAACATTTTTAACATTTAAACCCCACCCCCTTCAAATTGGTTCATATTTAGTTTATTGGGCAAGTTAGGCTGAAAAAGCTAAAATTTTAAGTTTAAGAGCCGTCGGATAAACGGTTTCTGCGCTTCCGCCCGCCATTGTTTGGCAATTTTGGTCAAAATGGGCGTGGCTGCCAATTTTCAAATGACCACATCTCCATAACCTGTACGCCAAATTTGTTAATCTTGGTTTCTTTTGAAAGGTAACATCATAAGGAATCCAAATTTACCATTATTTTTCATGTCAGGGTTATTTGAAGTATAATGACCTTTTTACCTTTACTTTGACCTTGAATTTGACCTTGTGGATCACCCGACTTTGAGACGAACTTGGATGAAAATTAAACCCCACAATGTTTTCTACAAAATGTCAAAAAAATGGGGGTATAATATTTTTTGTTTGGTTTCTAGCTCATGTCAAAGTTGGCAAACGTGTTGCAAAATGTGTGATATCCCTATGCAGTGTACTAATGGATTTAAAGTAGGGATTTTTTGTCCCTGAAATATGTTCAAGTACAGGGATATCACATTTTTCAACACGTATACCAACTTTGACATGAGCTAGAAACCAAACAAAAAATATTATACACCCAATTTTTGGATATTTTGTAGAAAACATGTTGGGGTTTAGTTTTCATCTAAGTTCGTCTCAAGGTCACGTGATCCACAAGGTCAAATTCAAGTTCAAAGTAAAGGTCAAAAGGTCATCATACTTTAAATTACTCCAACATGAACAGTAATGGTAAATTTGGATTCCTTATGATGTTACCTTTCAAAAGAAACCAAGATTAACAAATTTGGCCCACAGGTTATGGAAATATGGTCATTTGAAAATTGGCGGCCACGCCCATTTTGACCAAAATTGCCAAACAGTGGGGGGCGGTAGCACAAAAACCGTTTTTCCGATGGCGCTAAAACTTAAAATTTCAGCTTTTTCAGCCTAAATTACCCCACATACTAAATATGAGCAAATTTGAAGGGGGTGGGGTTTAACCCATTGGGTGATTTGACATGGAATTACCCTGCAGTGAAGAGGCTTCTTCAACGATACTACGGACGCTAATAGCCTCTTTGTTGCTTTTCTATAAGCGAGTTTGGGTTGATTGATTGCGGTTGTGGGAGATTTCTTAACTATGCAAAATGATTCCAGTTGGGTTTTTTTCTGTGGCCTTATTACGCAAGTTCATTTCTGCATCTGGTGATTTTTAGTTCAACTTAACCGGTGTTTACAGTCCAAAATTTCGAGTTAGAATGGGCATATTTATACATGATTTGCCATACTTGGATTTGAAAAATGTTTACTTCGAGTTAACGAGGTTCTTGAGTTAACAGTTTTGGCTCATCGAGATTTCACTGTACCTTACTCAACTGTATGTGAGGTTCAGTGAACTATTATTCACTGCAAATGAATACTAGTCTCAAGCATCCTGTGAAATCATGGCAACCAGTGTGCTCTCATTTTCAAGTAGTGCTCCAACTGATCCTCAAAGTTTGGTTCGGTTCGGTTCGGTTGGGGTTCAATTTTTTTTCTCCGAAGTTCAGTTCGATTCGACTTCGGAATTGCATACAAAATGTACATGTCCATGGTACAATAGGGATACAATGAAAAGCATATGGGCCGTTCCCCTGTTCAAACAAACGCACGTCTGACAGAAATAGGCACCACAATTTCCACATGCTATGCAACACAAGTTGAAGAATGAATCTCATTTTTGTTGTGTAAACAAAATACCGTAAAATTTTGAGTTTATGACGTTGAGAAATGACCATCGTAAATTGCTACATATATGTTACTGATACCTATCACGGCCCTTAGGCTATCCCGGCCCGGCCCCACACGTGCTGATTTGTTTTCCTGACAAGTTCCGTCCGAGCATGCATTGAGCACTAAAAACTTGCTTTGCGGCAATAATTGCTGATTAGTTTTGTTCTAAGAACAAACAGGTCCTTTTACTGTACTAAACTTATGAAATCATAATTCTTTTTAGCAACAAGCTGAAAAATAGCTAACGTAAAAAAATATATCAACTTTTCGATTCGCAACTTTCATCAAATTCTCATTCTGTGGACGGATACATTAATTTTGTAAAGGGGTGCCCCACCCTCTTTTGGGAGATTACATCGTTTCTCGTATAAATTCTTTACACACACAAAAAATTGCAATGATTAAGAACTTATTCTGAACGCGGGAAAGGTTTCTGACTCCATAAAATTATTATTTGTAATTTTGACACAGTGAAAAAAAATGAAAATGCTGGTAAATTGTGCAGAGGAAAACACACCCTTCACCGCAAATGGTTTGGTCCAAACAGAGCACGCTTTTCATTGAGAGAATTGCAGGTGCTGAGGTGCGTACGATTTTTTCAAAGCGTATTCGCCCCGATATCCAATTGTATGCCTGGCTAGAACATCGCAAATAATGAAGATGAATGCGGTGACTTTTCAACACGGTAAATTCAATCATCCGTGCGCGTTAATTCGCCCTTTCTCTGCAAGCTTTAGCATTCTTAGCACTATTAGTCCAGCGGATATGTGAAAAAATTGTGCACTTTTGCATAAAAGCGTGAAACTTGGCACAGATGTTTATATTCTACGAGAAAATGTTTTAGACGTACGTGGAGCCATCGCAAATTTACCCTTTTAGGGGCGTGGCATCCTTTTTAAAAAAGGGGGGCGGGACTTGTCGTGCCCGCAGTGAAAACAGTTTTTCCCACTTGTTACAAAAGCAGGAAACTTCACAAAGACATAATTATATAGATTATTAGTGTTTTCCAGATTCGGAGCCACCACAATAGTACCTTTTTGGGGGCGTGGCAGCCATTAAAAGAAAAGGGGGGGGTTTAATTATTATGCCCACTTTCGAAAACATTGTGCCCATATTTCATGAAGGAATAAAACGTCCCACAGACGTTTATATTCATGAGAAAAAAAATTCCAGATGTGGAGCCATCTCGAACACACCCTTTTAGGGGCGTGGCAACCATATCAGAAAAAAGGGGGTGGGGTTTTCATTATGCCCACCCTGGAAATATTGTTCCCACACTCATAGAGAAATGGAACTTTCCACAAACATTGACATTCATGAGAAAAAAAATTCCAGATGTGGAGCCATCTCGAACCAGGGGTGTGAGTGGAGTCCAAGAAAATAGCTGAAAATAGCTGAACCTGTAAATAACCGAACCTTCGAGCGCGTAGCGTGAAGCCCTTATGGCGTGGGGTCCGGGGCCCGCCCAAGGGCCCCAGAAAAATTTTGAAATGTAGATGCTCTGTGGTGCATTTTAAAGCCTCCTGGCATGCCTGGGCCAACTATTGGTCGAAAATGTTTTGCAATTTATGCATGTTTTTAAGTTAACTTTTCCTTCATATTGGCTTGAAACTGCCTAAATGGCCAACTTGTATATGAAAACTGGGAAATTCGACCATGTTTTCCATATTTTTACTCCTTACTGCATGTACTGCAGATGATACACATCGTCATCGCGTGTTCCGGCTTCTGATCGAGTCGCCTAATTTCTGCCCATTAACCATGTGTTCCATCCAAATCCATTTCCACGGATTCGTAACCTGAGGATCGGTCTTGTCAATGTCCGTATCAAACTCCGAACCTCTTTGGATAATAACACATTTGTGTTGCACTGACATCTTGCGGAATTAATAATGTCAAAATACGTTCGAAACATTTGAAACGACACACTAACGTACGTATCAGCATGCAGCGAAATACGCAGCATAGCAGGATGCGTACATGCAATGAAATGCACACATGAACTTTGCCCCGCATGATGCCCTCTACCGGCGCGGCACGGCGACAATTTACTAGTCATATTTCAAGGCTTTATATTTGCAACAAGACGATGTTTACAACGAGTTATTGTGGAGATCATCGCGTGTCACTACATGCATAGACACAGGAACGGCCGCAAAGAGTCCCAACGCGCTTCATGGCGCATGTGTGAATATTCATATTTATCTGCAGCCAATCACAGCGCAATGACTGTTCGTTCCCCTGATGCTGTTGTGTACACATGCGGCTTCGAGCTGAAAAATGCATGCACATGGCATCGTATAGTACACACGTACGTACAATGTACGTACAGTACATGTACATTGAATACTCGCTTGCACGCACCCCATCTCAGAGCTACGTGTATGTTGTAGAGAGCGGATTGCGTGCGTTCGGCGGCGGCGGCGGAAAATAAACGGAAATAAAATCAATGCTTACGCGCGGCGGAAAAAGCGGGGGGAAATCTGGACCATCGGAAGAAAAAAAGCGGAAAACAAAATGTGGCACGCTGAACAAAAAAGCGGAAATCCGCTAAATAGCGGAGATTTCACACCCCTGTCAAACACACCCTTTTAGGGGCGTGGCAACCATATCAGAAAAAAAGGGGGCGGGGTTTTCATTATGCCCACCCTGGAAATATTGTTCCCACATTCATAGAGAAATGGAACTTTCCACAGACATTGACATTCATGAGAAAAACAATTCCAGATGTGGAGCCATCGTGAACACACCCTTTTAGGGGCGTGGCAGCCATATTGAAAAAAAGGGGGGCGGGGTTCTCATTATGCCCAACATGGGAAAAATGTGCCCACATCTCATAAACGAATGAAGCTAATTCCCACAGACATTAATACTCACGAGAAAAAAATCACACGTGGAGCCATCGTAAACACACCCTTTTAGGGGCGTGACAGCCATAATAAAATGGGGGGGTAGTCATGATGCCCCTATAAAAGAAAGTTGTGCCTACCTTTCATAAATGGATTAAATTCCACTCGGACAATATATTCATAAAAATCTTTTCTTTTTTTTTAATGTGAAGCCATCACAAACCTACCCTTTTAGAGGCGCGGCATCCATTTTTAAAATGGGGGGGGTACTCAATATGCACAACGTGGAAAATTTTGACCGCGTTTCATATAATAAAATCCACCTCAGATAGCTGTTCAATGTGTTGGAGTAGGGCCGCCTTTATAGTTGGAAGTTACTGTTGGCAAACCCTTTGTTACACTATGCATTCTTGCCTCATCTATATCAACCCAGTTACTGGTTCCGTCATCTGTAGAATTATTGGTAACCTTTCAACTGCAGCAATATCTGAATTGGGGTATAAACTGGGGTACCTCAGTTAGTCCTGGAAAGACTAGTGTTACTTCTTCAAATACATTGTTTCCCCTGCCTTTTTTTCTGACAGACCAAAAGGCATATGCAGTGTCGCACCTGTATAAAGTATAAATTTTTTTAATGGATTTGGTCTGGGTAAAAAAAAACCACTCATCAGAGCTTGATATACCATTTTTAAGAGAACAGAGGTGTTGTGTGGTGGGGGTACACAGATTCATTGAATGTGAAGTCATAGTGGATGTGTCCACCACTTTGTGAGGCGAGTACATCGTGTTGTTACACAATCTGCTGTCAATGCGGCGCAACGGGTAGGGGGTAGGGGGATTTGACACTCCCCCCCCCCCCCCCCCCCCCGTTAAAAAAGGTTTTCCATGTCCCTTAAATGTTAGAGCTGCCATTGTGTGCTGTGTATTTGTAATTATGAAATCACTCTGGAATTTAGATGTGCATGATAATATGGGTGCAAGTACACACATTGAACCCTATAACTGGGGTTAGCCTACCGGTACTTACCCATGCTCTTTGGTGTAAGTCATTGTATTACCAAATAATATAGGTTATGGGCCAATCAACATTATAAGAAATCAACAACAAAATATAAAAATTGCAATTGTGGGCACAGTGAGTAGGCTCCTCACACCTCTAAAAGGATGAGTTTGCTGTAGCTCTACATATGAATGTATTATCTTGCACCAAGTTTGTGTGAAGTTTAGTCATTTATGAAAGTTCGATGGTGGGCAAATGATTAGTAGCACCCCCCCCCCCATTTTTTTTAAAATAGATGCCATGCATCTTAAAGGATAAGTTTGTGATGGCTTCAAATTGAAAAGAAAGGAAAGATTTTCATGAATATATTGTCCGTGTGGAGTTTAATCCATAAATGAAAGGTATGCATGACTTTCTTTTATAGGGGCATCATGACTACCCCCCCCCCCCCCATTTTACTATGGCTGCCACGCCCCTAAAAGGGTCTGTTTACGATGGCTTCACAAGTGGCTTTTTTTTCTCTTGAATATTAATGTCTGTGGGAATTAGCTTCATTCGTTTATGAGATGTGGGCACATTTTTTTCCATGTTGGGCATAATAAGAACCCCGCCCCTTTTTTTTTCAATATGGCTGCCACGCCCCTAAAAGCGTGTGTTCGAGATGGCTCTACATCTGGAATTGTTTTTCTCATGGATGTCAATGTCTGTGGAAAGTTCAATTTCTCTATGAATAATATTTCCAGGGTGGGCATAATGAAAACCCCGCCCCCTTTTTTTCTGATATGGTTGCCACGCCCCTAAAAGGGTGTGTTCGAGATGGCTCCACATCTGGAATAATTTTTCTCATGAATGTCAATGTCTGTGGAAAGTTCCATTTCTCTATGAATGTGGAAACAATATTTTCAGGGTGGGCATAATGAAAACCCCGCCCCCCCTTTTTCCTTATATGGTTGCCACGCCCCTAAAAGGGTGTGTTCGAGATGGCTCCACATCTGGAATTTTTTTTCTCATGAATATAAACGTCTGTGGGACGTTTTATTCCTTTATGAAATATGGGCACAATGTTTTCGAAACTGGGCATAATAATTAAACCCCCCCCCTTTTCTTTTAATGGCTGCCACGCCCCCAAAAAGGTACTTTTGTGGTGGCTCCGAATCTGGAAAACACTAATAATCTATATAATTATGTCTTTGTGAAGTTTCCTGCTTTTGTAACAAGTGGGAAAAACCGTTTTCACTGCGGGCACGACAAGTCCCGCCCCCCTTTTTTTAAATGGATGCCACGCCCCTAAAAGGGTAAATTCACGATGGCTCCACATCTAAAACATTTTCTCGCATGAATATAAACATCTGTGCCAAGTTTCACGCTTTTATGCAAAAGTGCACAATTCATCGATATTTTGTCACATATCCGCTGGACTATATCAACAAATAGGCCTACTTGCTGAACTCTTCCGAACCGACATTTGGGTTCGGTTCAGTTCGGAAGGCCAAGTTCGGCTATTTTTAGTTCGGTTCTGCGGTTCGGCTGCAGCACTATTTTCAAGAAAAGTGGATTTTTGTATCACTTATTATTGTTGGGAAAAAAAGAGACTTTTTTCAAATACTACCCCAAGATTTACCAAGATTTAGTAAGTCCACATTTTGTTTGCAATCAGTTTTACACATTTATGAATGGGTGCAAGCCAGCTAGTCTGGTACCCTGAACTGACAATTCCCCACATCTATAAATTGCTGTGTTTCGTCTGAAGTAGGGTCAGGGAACCAAGACTACAACAACAACATTTTTTGTATTGGCTTTTTCAGCATATATTAACACAAACTTTATACAGGTCATTGCAACAGTATTTGCTATAAAATACCAACCCCAAATCCATCCATTTTTGGCATGACTACTTTAAATTTTGAGAACTGGCTGTAGCTGATACAGATACATGTACACCTTGCTGCAGCCTGCCCTAGTATCAAACTCAAAAATACATAGAACATTTGGATCAGAACATTTTGGTCGTCAGAACTGACCAACAAATGGTGCATGTCAAACAGAACATGTAAGATCTAAGTTTTGAGACCACTTACTACAAGTAATGAAATTTGCGTGGATCCGAACAGAATCCTAGTAAGATGTTTAAGGGCTGACATCAGTCAATCTTCACACAAGGTCAACTCACCCTGGGCAGCTGGGAATGCACTGATCCCTGAAAAGGAAGGTATTATCCCTGCAGCTTATACAATGAGAGTAGGAACTGCTACAATCCAAGCACTGAGGGGAGCACATTTGACAGGTCAAGCTTCTGTCATCATCAGGACCTTCCTCAAGCACGTAGAAGCCCTCCGGGCAATGGTTGACGCAAAAAACACCATCTTCATTGGATAAGATGTACATGCCTGTACAAAAAAAAAAAGATTTATCAAATGCTTTAATGTTCATCCTACAGTAAATAACGAACAAACAGTAACTCAACCCATTTTGAGACATTCTCAGGGCTCCACGTTGAATTAAACAGGATCAAACCACCATGCAGTACAAGTTCACTATAACCAACGTGATGGGGTCCACAAAAGATTGTTCGTTATAAGTGGTCATTCATTATAGCAATTTTAGGCCACGGCGACCAAAAACAAGATGACGACACCCATGTTTCCAAGTGCACCCTCTTTGAGAAGTACAAGAAAGCTAGTTAAAGTTCATCCTCTTTAGTTAACTTATGACAAAATGAGTAGGTTGGTACAACATAAAAGCACATGTAGTGCCCTCAAAATAATCCAACAGACTTAGCCAAATTTTGAAATTTCTTTATCTTTGCTAGTTCCAACTTTACCTTTATAAAAAAATTCGCGCAAGGTGCAGGTGTTCTTTTTAGAACTGTATAATGGGAGTTAAAGTCGGAAAAAAATATAGCCACACAAAGACGTCAGAAATTAAATAAAGGACGTGAAGAATCAAAGAGAAGTATGGGACTCGGACAATTAGAGGAAAAGGAAGAGGACGCTGAAAAAAAAATGGTAGGTACAGGTAGGTTAAGGGATTCTTTTATTTATTTTTTTCATTTTTCAGGAAGTGTCTATTATTCAGAGATGAAACTGGCATATAGCAAAAAAATCGGAAAAAAAGGCCGAACAAAATACGTGTCCAAAATCTGGGCCGCGCTGCAGTTACACACATGTACATGTACATGCATGTACAGTACACTTCATGCCCATTTTCCGGACACCAACTCCTGCTTTATTTTCGATTCAAACAAAATTTTACGATGAAAAAAAAATGGTCAGTGTTTTCATTGCATAAAATGCCTGAATTACGGTTAGAGTAATGGAGTCATCATTAAGAAGTTCACTTCTTACTTGAGAAAGTCGAGGGAAAAGTCCAAAAGACAAGGGCACCGTTCATGGTGCTTCAATATGTCCATGATTCATCCACACAACTCCACTACTCCACTTGCATTCATACGTGGGTAAAAATCAGGCATTATATTCTTTCTCTTCCAACAAATGCCAGTGAAATGTTTTGCTAATGCTCTCTTCGCTATCCTCGAGAGAATCATCACGATCTTTAAAGCATTGCATTTTATACAACTAAATCTGAAACCTCCGAAAATCGCACAACATAATGATTTCATCCACTGGATCGTTCTCAAGGCTACCCGTTCCCGACCGGCGCCATGTGCTAGCGGACGGTATGGTGCGGAACGTACGCTGGTAGTACCATTGCATATTCGCACGCACGTGCGACACAGTGATTTTCCATGTCGCCTGTCAATGTTTAACCTTTTGTCCAGCCGGAGAAGGCTCCAATCAGTGTTATGTCCTGTGTTTCTACCGTTGAAACACTCCAATAACGACTGGTGAAAGAGATTAAAACTACGTTCGCGATGATTTTAACGTGCCATTTCCATCGACTTTTCATCGAAATTATGATTGAAATAAAATGACATTTTGTGAAAAATCGTTACAAAATCAAATTTTGTGGGACACACTGTAAAAAAATCGAAAATTGCGTTGGAAAATTCAAAAAGTCGGATTTCCGATTAAAATCGGAAAAGTTTCATCTCTGATTATTGGAATGTGCGTTGATTTCTGGCAAGAACTAATTGGTTTAGTTTGTTTGATGAGTCTATCCACGCGTTGTTGGCTCTTGTAGACTGCAAGTTTTCTGGTTGACATGATGAAAGCACCGTTGGTTCCTAGCCTTGCCCACCATCACAATCTTCCCGGTCTCTTTCGCATAGCATAAAAGCGTGGCGTACGCATACTCCTTTGCCTGTTTGTGGCCCTGCCCGGGCATGATTTTCACCTCCGTGCGCAAGGGCCTTGTATAGGAAGGGTCTTGTATAGAAGATTCATTAATAATTAGAAGTTAGCTTAATTTCCACTTGAATCAATATCTGAAATATTGAAAGTAACCAGGAAATTTAGTTGGAATTGTTAAGATGAACGATTTTTTCATAAATATATCAATGGGTACATCAATTTTCATATCACTTTGCAAGTGGTTGCATGATTGCTAATATGAGTATTTACATGTATAACTCTTGAGTACTAATGATGTTTGGGAATGAGAAACACTTGGAGGAGTGTGGACTTAACTTCCCATGCAACAAAAATAAAGAAAAAAATGGTAACAAGGAATAGGGCTTACATGTTACACTTGTGTCACAACATGATACACATCCGATACATACCAAACGATATGCTACGTATCACGATTTATCTTAAACTCATACCTGCGTGCTGCATGTGCTTTCAACATGTATCGATATATTGTTTCGTCCCTAACAAGGATTCACATAATTATCCTCTTGATTATTATGGGTATGAATGACTCTTCACTAAAAGTGAGAGAAAACACAATTTCTCTAAAACAATGTAAAATAAAAATACATATACATGTATGTAAGCTTAGCCCTCAATTTACACTGGAAAGCTTTCCAGGCAGTGATTGACAGCCTGTAATTGACAATGTATCTCTTTGCTGATTAAAAAAGTGCTCCTTAGGAGTCAGCAAAATAAAGTGGCTTGTTGCACATCTCTGATGTTATGTAGTTGCAGATGAATTTTTTTAGAGGAATGGGAACTGAAATTCACAAGCAGTGACAATAAAATTACACATCTGGAACTGCACTTAAATGTTCCATGGTGGGTGGGAGGGGATGCATCCATGGTGGCGACTTTGGCTCGCACAATATGGTCTCAGAGATTTTGCGGGTTGTCAGGTATGGCGCGGGCAAGGCGATCTGAAGTATATGAAGAATGTGATGGTTGTCATTAATGCTTTTACGGAGGAAAGGGAAATCAGGGTGAAAGGTGGTGACCAAGGGAGTTTTGGGGGTCTTTTCCCTGAGAGCCAAATTTCTGAGGATAGATCTGGCTCTGGCAGTGGCACGTTGAACTTGGCGGGAGCTGTGAGGCCTGGCAACCAACTTATTCTCCAGTACCTGTGCATGATGGGAGAAATCAGATTCATTAGAACTAATCCTTCCGAGTCGCAGAACCAGGTTGAAAGCCATACCTGTCTTTCAGTGCCGAGGGTGACAGCTGGAGGAGTAAAGGTACTGGTGGGTGTCTATGGGCTTAGAATAGAGATCAGTGGATATTGAGATGTCTTCCTTGCGGATGGTGATGTCCCGGAAATGAGTCTGATGAACTGAGGACCCTGTGCAAGGAATTAATGTCATTAGTGAAAGTCACGAGACTGTCCTCATCACTGGTCCAGAAGAAAAACTACAGCATCAATACGTCTCCACCAGAACCTGGGGCAACATGGTTCTGTGGTGAACATGCATTCTTCAAGGCCACCCATGAAGAGGCATGCAAAGGAGGGGGGCACACAATTGCCCATTGCTGTCCAATGTACCTGTAGAAAATGTTTACCCAGGAAGGAACAATTTTTGTTCAAGAGTTTCTCATGAGGGTGGCTATATCACTGATGGGAGGAGTCGTGTGTCCTGTTTTGGCCAGGGCCAAAGAGCAAGCACGAATGTGCTAAATAAACTAGAAGAAATAAATAGTTGTAAAAAAAAAATCAGACACGTATCTTGCTAGCCACATACAATGGACTCCATTAACAATTTCAGCTCTTTGTGGTATAAGTTATGTTCCTTCAACTTTGAACAATATTGTAATGCTTAATCATGATGCATCAACACAACAATAGCATAGTTTCCTGGCTTTTGACTTCTTGCCACCTACCATTCTCACAATCCATGCAGTCCTGTGGCCCTTCCATCACACATGTCTTGCAGCTACTGTGGCATGGCCGGCAGATATTGTTCTCATAGTCGGGGTAGTAACCAGGATTACACACCTCTATGCATTGGTTCTCCTCATTTAGGAAACGGTCATAGTCACACATCTGGCAGTCATCTGCCTCCGGTCCCTTACATGTCTGACAGGTGTCATGACAGTCATTGCAGACATCACCTAATGAAAAGGAGAGGCAGGTTACGAGTGTCAAATAGCTGTGTGATCAATTTATCACATGTAATTCATGCGTTTCTGTGACACTAGTACAAACCCACCCCCATGGTACAATTATGACCACACTTGATAGTGAGTACCTTGCTACAATTTTGACCACACTGTATCGTGAGTACCTTTGGTGGTAAGATGTGCCTTTACTTAGAAGGCATTTTTGCAGTGTTGTAAACCAAGTTAATTTTCACAAGTCAAGTCAAGTCGCAAGTAAATTTTTGTTTCGAGTCAAGTCACTAGTAATTTTTTTCCAAGTCAAGTCACAAGTCTGAAGTCAATCTTGTTTTAAGTCTATCTGAACATAGCAGTAGAGACGGGAACCAGACTAAGCTACATGTGCGCAATGGGACTTGTTAAGTGTGCATCATGTAGAGAGAATTTGAAAATAAAATTTTGCCATTTTCAAATTTGCTTTTTCAAACACCTTATTTGCATTTAAAATAGTCTGAAAATGTGATTAAATATCTACAAACTTAATTCCCCCCCCCCCCCCACAGAAGTGTGGATGGGGTCTACGAACGGATACTTACCTGTAGAGCAATCTACTTATGCATATTCCACATACCAGCAGGTATTTATGCTAAGAGTTTGCATAATAGCGCCCTTTCGTGTCCTACCCATAAGGCCCCGCGGCATGTATGCCTTGTGAGCATCCTCTTTTCCTGAGCGCTAAGTTGGAGCACCCATAACATCGAGAATAGTGGGGGAGGGATGCTCTTCAGGTAAGTATTCATTCGTAGACCCCATCCACACTTCTGTGGGGGCAGTCTACTTCACTCAACTTACCTGTAGAGCAATCTACTATGCATAGACTAGCACCGTGTATAGGCAGTGGGCCATGCGAGATGGTATTGTATAATTACAGGGGCACGTGACATGAGGCGTAGCCCCAGTAATTGGCTATGTCAGCAAACTTGCTGAAACAGCCTTTGTTTTTTTTTGTTTTTTTTTTTTTCACCCATTCCCTATAGCATTTCTACACGTTTTTATCGTGCATGGCACTTTGGGCACTAAAATCAATTCGCTTGCCTTTATACATGGCACACACTTAGACCAGCACCTGCAGTTGTGTAGAACATTGACGTCATCATGATGTCATCACGTGTCATGTGACATTAAAAGTGCATATTTTGAAGGCCTGCCTTAATCTACAGAACTACAGGTCCGATTGAGGTAAAAGTTGGTCTGAAGCTAATCCGGGATGTATTATAGATGAAAATTGTAGTGACGTCATGATGACGACATAATGGGTTGCCTGACGTCACGTTAAAGATTTCTAGATTAAATTTGAAAATCAATATTAAATCAAATGTGAGAGACCTGAACTTGACTTTTGCAGGAATTGATAGAATAATCCAGGATCTTCATTTTATCTTGTGTGCGCAAAATGATGCGACCCTTCCTTCCGATCCAAACCAGAAGTGCCTTATTATATGAAAGTGGAAAAACATGTGAACTTGCTTTCAACGATGTTAGTGTCTGCCAAGGTTGTCCCTCACACACAAAAAAATTACCAGTGACGTCATAAAATGTTGGAGCACCGTCTAGCGGCGGGTTGAAAAATGTTTAAACTGAATAATCAGTTGATGAGTAATAGAGTTGAGTATGTATGGGGGACCCCCCCATGCAAACCCCCCCCCCCCCTCCCCAGAACTAACTTTCACCTATTTTTTGGGGTGCCTTTTAGGGTCCTAAAACACATTTTGGATGTAAACAGTAAAAAAAATCCGATACGAAGGAGATATCCCAGATGACCGCCAAAAATGGTAAAAACTGGAAAAAAGGCATAAATCAGCCAAATTATGTGATAAAAGCATAAATAAAATGGCTAGTTATATGTTTTACACCTTCAAAAACTCATTTCTGGTATCATGTTTTGCTATTATGTTTCAAATTCAAGATGGCGGCAAATTTGGTGGCCACAATGAAAAAAAAAAGTCACATACATGTATCAGCCTACATGTAAATAGTATGTGAATTTGTAGCGGATACCTTTGTACTAGAACTGAAGGAATTCCCGCTTTGCCTCAGCTTGCATGCAATCATCCAGGGACTAGAATCTTTTGTGGGTGCCCTGCCAGGATCGTTTTAACAGATCAAGCACTGAGCAAAGACCATGGTCTACACAGTGCAAAGCAGCAGTCAACAAGGAAGGAGTCCGAGCGCATGCCATGGCGAGAGGCAGACAGCACCTCTGGTGTGCGGTCCAGTGGCTCATACAAAAGTGGTGTTTGCCACAGTGCTGGGGGGGGGGGGACACGGGGGATTCAAGCCCACTGAACTGTTGAGGCTATTTCCCTCGGGCTGCCGCTTGTTTGGGGATGGGACGGAGGGTGTAGTGAAACCCGTTTCAGAGCCACGTTACCCTGTTGACCCTTCTTAGGTTTGGTTCTTGCACAGGAGTATACATTTTATTTAGTAACCTTGCCAGACCGCACCTTCTGTTTGGTTGTTCTGCTTGTGCTGGCCAGAGATGGAGACAGTCTCATGTCCTCTTCTCGGTCAACAGAACTGCCAGTGCCTGCAGCCGACTGTGGCTGAGGGTGCCGACAGGAGGCTCAGCGCTACCAGCAGCGACTCCCGAGAACTCAGTCTGTCCCCCAGATGTGACAGGGCCAGTCCTCTCCAAACGACTCATTTCCAAGTTATAATCTCACAAGACAAAACTATAACTCTACTGATAACTCTCTAATCAAATCTTCTCTTAAGTGATAAAGGGTAGCAGAAATAATGACGAATAATAAGAGCATATTATAAGCACGTCCTACCCGACCTGCCACCAAGAGTAAAGAGGACGCTCACAAGGCATACATGCTGCGGGCACTATGGGTAGGACAAGAGAGAGCGCTATTGTGCAAACGCTTAGCGTAAAAGGGGAATATGCATAAGTAGATTGCTCTACAGGTAAGTTGAGTGAAGTAGACTCAATTACGTTGAATTTTTTAAGGACTTTTGACATTCATTTGCGAAGTGTTTTTGTTTTTGACGAATAGAAAGAATTCTTGCTACAGCTCAATTCTGTATCAGAAAATGATGATAGTAGATGATGATATCACTTTCTCCAGCTTCTCTACACACGTCAGTAATGTACAGCACGGCAATTTGGTGCCTTGTAGCACAACTGTAACCAACGGCACTGATTTCCATGGCCTAAACCAGCATGCATCGCACAAAAACCACCTTGACGATCCCCGCATACATATACACACACTTGCAGGAAGCCTAGCTCGCTACATGAACACCAGATTATTGGCTTTCTGTTCAACCAATTTTTGCGTACGCCCGAAAGTTTGTGTTTTTTTTACAAAAGAGTTAATGTCAGCAAGTCGAATTTATTCAAGTCAAGTTAAGTCACAAGTAATTTTTTTTCCAAGTCAATTGAAGTCTCAAGAAAATTAATAAACAGTGACTGAAGTCAACGACACTGCATTTTTGTCTAATATTTACTGCTATGTAAAGACCTTTTGGACAATTCAATCTTGCTCTTCTAGGTTTCCCACTTGCAGAAGTGGACACTGTAAGCAAAGCTCCACAGACTTTACATAGTCTGGTGTCATTATCATGGTACCTGGTGGCAGAATCCCTTCACTACACTTCAATAAAATTACCTATTTTATTTCTGACATGAAACGATGTTTCACAACAAATGTAATGTAACTTGGCCTATGGTGCATAAAAATATGATGAAAAGTGTATTCCATTTTTTTAAAATTTGTAAGGTACATATAACAAGAAGTAAAAATAATAACAGTGCTCACCGGAAAATGACTCCCGAGCTTTCGGTGCGGTGCACCTTCTTCAGGGGACTATATATATATTTTTGTTTTAATAAAATTGACTTTGCTGCATATGGTACCTACTACCTTTCACACTTACCATCTTTATAGGTCCTGTGAGGGCAATCCCCTTGCTTGCAAATTGAACCAGTCAGTTTCAGGCCAGCAATACAAGTCAAGCAGTTTTCAGAGAGTGGCCCATCACAAGTTTTGCAAGTTGGGTAGCATTTCATACACTGCTGCTCACCTTCATCACCATATGTGCTATTTGGACAAGCACTCACACACTCATTGTCTGAAAAACAACAATGAAAAAAACACAAACAATGGGAATGTATTATTAACAAATATTTACCAATTGGTACCGTTACATAACTTAACAAAAATGAAAAGGTATTTGTCAGGATGTGTGAGCTTTTACCTTAGTTTCTAGCAGTGTTTCCCCTGCCCATTTAAACGTGAGGTGGCCCACCTCGCTACTTTCAGTGACCACCTCGCTCAATTTTTGCCAATATCACCACCTCGCTGAGAAGATTGGCAAAAAAGGAAATATCAATTGAAAAATGTTCAGTTTGTGTAATATATGCGCATTTTCCTTTACCTCCATGTATCAAGAACTCACAATTTCGATGTGTTTTTGGAATCATCGCGCATTTTTGTGAGCGCTGCATTCTTTTCAGTTTGCAGACTGTAGGCCTATAAATTTCGTTTCAATCATCAACTTGAATTGTTACCACCTCGCTCAGTTCATTAGCCTGGGGAAACACTGTTTCTAGCTCTGGTTTGTATGCACACATAATGGGCTCACCTGCCATTTATTTTGGGTAAAAACCCATTTGAAAAGTACATTAAAAGACACGATACAGTTTCGTATTCATGACTATAAATCTACATGTAAGACATGTACCTGTAACTTTATAGTTTGTTTGTTTGAATATTATATTCTTTATACTGTTTCACAGTTCTTTTCTTTTTGAAATAGTGTGTCACAGTTCTTTAATAAGTACAGAAGTACATAGGTTTTTCTGTTACTTTGAGATACAACTCTATATGTACCCTAACCCTAACTCCCTAGGGGTTGTGCAAAATCGTATTGAATTTGGAGGATTCAGGACTGTTAGGGTTCTAATGGAGACATTCGTTAGTTATTCATCATACCTTTGGGAGACAGCCGACATTAGGGAGCCATTTCGCTGTCTCCCTAAGGTCACAAGTCCATGTACCCATTAGGGAGGAGTTTGGGGTTGCTTTGTAGGAAAGTCAGATAGTATTTAAGTTGGGGGAGTCATTTAGAAAAAGGGAAAGTTGAGTTGGGTTAGGTCAACCGGGTCAATTTTGTGCACAAGTCTATGGGAATGTCTCTGAAGTGCACCATTTTCGGCTGTTTTATTATTAATACCATTATTATTACTTATTTGACCTCAACAAACAAAACACAGATAGCCATTCAAAAGCAAGAAATTCCACAAAAAGTAGCTGAGCAAAACAACCGATGATGAACTGAACAGAATGTAAAAATAACAATACAAAAAATCATGAAAAGGAGGGCATGCATTCAGTGAAAGAACTCCTCTAGGAGGTAAACAGTCAACAACAAAACACATGTAAATCTCATTGAAAGGAAAGGAGGCATATTGATCCATTTCCCTTTTTGAGGGAGAATTTTAAAAATATATCTAATTTAATTTCCTGCATCACTTCTTTACATTTTCTTTCATTAACTTAGTTGTCTTGAAAATTTGGACTTTTTAAATTAATCATGCAGTCAATTAACAACCTCCTTTCTTGCATGTACAACACATTTCCTTAAAGTTCTCATGTGAGTGGTCTGCAACAAATTATACTGGAGTGTTTTATTTTATGAAAAAAAAAGGAAATAATTTACATTTTTGGGAATCTGCAACTCTCTGGTAAAGTTTTTCCTTGGAGGATTACTTTTCTGCACTAATATATCCACCTTACAATTATACTAATTCCTGGTCCCAACATTATGGATTCTGACACGGGGCAAGAAAAGGCCTACCCTGTAGAGAATTGATTTATTATCAGGCTGCATGCAATCCCAAATTTGTTAAGTCATAATTCCATGAAGCAATGTGGGCCGATTTGTTTTAATTTTGATATATTTATCTCTTTCAAAAGTGAACAGCAATTTCAAAACAAAACGTGTGCTTCAAGGTGAAAAGCAAAAACAGCACAGACAGTAGGCCGCCTATGTAGCCTGATCATGGAAATAATCATAAGTTGTTTAAATGTTTGTGTTCACAGCCTATGTTTACTACAATAACCAAACCGAAACTAGATGCCTGACACAAGCTCGAGTCTGGATATCCGGACGGTATACATCGAGTTGTATATGATAAAGGGCCAATCATGAACATGTATTCCCTTTTACAGCAAGACAAAATCATATAGTGTGGTTGGGGTCTACTTCACTCAACTGACCTTTAGAGCAATCTACTCATGCATATTCCCTAGATCGGCAGGTATTTCCCCTGAGAGTTTTTTTTTTTTACAATAGCGCCCTCTGGTGTCGATAACGTTTTTGGATAAGAAAGGCATTGAAGAGGTCCTGCTTTTCAGGGGTGTTAAAACAAACATCCCCTTAATTAACAGACTGGGAGTATGACTGTCTAACACAAAGTAATCTACTGTCGTGTTACAAGTCCCTCAAGTGCAAGCTGCAAAAGCCGCAGCTTGTTTGAGAAAGGTCTGATGTGCAGAGGAATTGCATTACAGCACCCAGCACATCAGGAGAAATTCCTGCGGAGCCGGGTGAAGAAAACCTAAGCTGCGCTGGAACAGAATATTGTTCTCCTCGGAAGTACATTTGTACCACTGACTGGTGAACCAAGGGAATGGTTATAGCCCTGGGAAACCAATCAATGGGACCAACAGGGAGTTAAGAGGAAGACCTTGTTATCCTTCTGCTCCAGTTGATTCAGTACCTGAGGGATGAGAGGGAATGACGGGAAGGTGTACGCAAATAGCCCGTCCGTCTCCATCATCTGTGTATTCGTCTGCCACGTGCAGGGGTCAGGAACCCTCGCGCAGTAGACCGGAATTATGTGACTAATTCGTGAAACAAGTCAGATTGACATGTGGTTAGCTGCTCAACAGCTACCTCTGTCGGGAGGATGCACCACCCTTAAGGAGGGCGTTAGAAGCAATGTCGTCCTTGCTTGGGAGGTGGACTGTCGAAAGCAAGAAACTGTGAAGCAAACACCAATGGGGGAGTTCTCAAATGAGAGTACACAGTTGAGCAGGCTGCCTGCCCACCTTGTTGTCGATGTAAGCCACAACCATGTCAATGTCACATCGAACCAGGATCATCTGGCACAGCACTGATTATAAAAAAATAACATCAGAGTTTCTCCGAGACTGCCAGCATCTCAAGCATGTTAATGGAACTTGAATGATGCTCACACAGGGCCTCACCAATCTGCCACTAGATGCGGGTGGTGGGTAGTCAACCACCAGGGTAAGATGTCTACCATGACAGTTAGTGAAGGCTGCGATCTGTGAGAGGCAAACCCTTGTGAGGTTGGCAATGTCGAACCACCGGAGGCGCTGCACAAGTCAGGGCATGGCCTGCACTGGATGCAGTGATGACTGGGCTGGTACAAGGAAAATAGGTGAATGCCACCAATCTCTGTTTCTGCAGCACAGCCAAATTGCCTTTACTATCTGAGCAGAGGCCAGGAGTTATGTGGAAAAGGCTGGATGGTGCCAACATGAATTTGCAGCTGGAATCTTTGTTTGCAGTTGTGTACCCTTCAGGTCAGGGCTCTTTCCCCATGCTGATGTACATGAAAGTCAACTAAATCCCATAAACATCTCCCCAATGGAAATACGCGAGGGGCGCAACACTGTGTTGGCCAGATGGTATTGATGTCAGCCTCAAAGTCTCTACAACGAGCTCCCACGAGACAGACAGGTGGAGGTCGTCATGAGTCAGGTAAGTCACTTATGGAAGTCATCAAAACAACTAAGTCGAATCAAAGTCGTTGTTACCAGTGAAGACCTATGTGGCGTGGCACACAGAAAATGTTGATAGCGCGGCCACACAAATCACCAAGAGCAATCTTCAAGAGGTATGCAGCTGAGAAAACAAAGAACAGTTTGTTCTTTACCTGCGCTAGCCTGACCATGGAGTTGATGGCTTTCTGAGATTGACCATCTGAGTAGTCGTCATCGACCAATATGGATGTAAACATCAATATCCCCCGCAAATTTTTTTTTTGTCCGTTAGAAGGTACAAATGTAAGACTTGAATCTTTGGCGGGCGCCCTTTGATGGGAGAAACAGTTCCATTAGGAACTGCACTCTTTAGGGTCTGCACTCGTGTAAACTAATAGAGTACCGAGTGCAGACCGTGGAATTGACAGTAAAAATATGGGTCAACATGTCCGCTGAGACTGTCGAGTTAAGATTAAAAGATTACGCATAATTGTACTTCATGAGGATAAATATACATATCGCCGAGTCCACTTTAATTCTGCTGTAAAGTGTATTCATGATGTGGTCCCTCTACCGCTGGCAGCTTGTCCTTAGCTGCATTGGAGAGGGAAGGTGTGGCGACAAAATTACTGAAATCGGCTAACGGAAAACGGTAATGATCACATTCTTGCTTGAAGAGCAGCAGGCATTTTGGATGCAGGCACAATCTTGCCAATGTGATCCACACAAGCCTGATCTACAGAAGCATCACAACCAGTCGCTGATGTTATGTTCAGGCTGGGGTTCATTGTGAAGAGCAGCTGCCATCAAATGAACCATCCTAATGCAAGGGTCGAATTGACTCCGTAAACGAAAACCTTCTAGCACACCTGGAGGGACGAGTTGCACACGGCCACAGTCAGTGGTGGAACAACTCCCTCGGAGACAAATGGAGAGTGTACATGTACTGTATGCTGTACAATGTACATGTGCATGAAAAGTGTAGCGATTTCAGTGCAGCAAGAAACACTGGCGCACAGCTAAGCACTGCTCGGCGTGTCCCTTTGTCCTCCAGTCACCCAGCCATGACAAATGTAGAGGGCTACAGAGCACGGCTCGCAACCGAACTCAGACAGGCCGTTTCATTAACGTGCCCACCAGGCAATACTACAAATGTATATGACCGACAATGAACATGATGAAGCCGAGAACAATTGCAAGGCTTGCGATGAGTGGGCCAAAAAACCAAGTCCTCAACCCGGTAGCATTTGCCGCGGTGGGATCGGTGCAATAAATCCGATTAGAAGAATAAGAATACAGCCATTCCCGCCTGAGAAATGGACACCATTTGTCTGTTGACATAATGCTGTCGATGTGTTCCACACACACTTGATCCAACGGAAGTTTGGGAGACTCTTTGTCACTGTTAGATGTGGAGTCCCTCCTTCGCTTGAAAGATTTATGATAGGGCGGAGGGGGCTCATGTCCCTCTGCAGCAAATGGAGTTCCCTTTCCATGATGGACAGCTGCTGTAATTGGTCTGGTTCTTTGTCGTCATCGGATGAATCAGCCGATTGCGAAGGCCGAGTTGACTCCTGTGAAGGAGAGCCGTCTGGAGGGGCGAGTTGTACAGAACCACACGGCGGTGGCTGGGCAACGCCCTCGGGGATAATAGACATAGAAGGGTGAAGACTAAACACGGGCGGGGATCCTGGCACACGGTTAACTGTGTGCGGTAGGTCCCGTTGTCTCTGGTCCACCCGACAGTGGCCCACAGCCAGTGAATGTGAAGCGCTCGCTGTAGGCCAGGCCTCCGGTGCACGCAACCATGTGTGGTATACGTGAACATACATGTGCATGTACATGTACATGCATCTCGTTGTGCTTGGGCCATGCAACTGTAACCAATGAATGATAACTGTGAAGTATTCACTGCAGGTAGGGACTCTGGAGCACGGCTAACTGTGTGCGGTATGTCCCTTTGTCAACAGGCCACCCAACCGTGACCGGTGACAGAAGACTGTGAGGTGAAACCAACGACCGAGGGTTGTGGGGCGTGGCTCGCCGCTTCAGGGGGGCCACCAATGGGGCCCACCTGCAGACAGAGCCGATAGAGTAGCTGAAATCAACTGAACGGCCCAAAAGGCACCTGGGCATGGGGACCCCCGAACAACAGAAACAATCCGATACGAAAATGGTCCCTCAGAGCAAGATAGAACGGGAACCGTCGGGTCGGGGACACCCCCAGGCAACCGGCTCTGCGTCGCTCACATCATACCCGGCCGACAGCACCTCAGGCCCCGTGGGCTGAGCGAGTGCTGGTCGGTCCAATAGCCCGTACAATAGCCCGTCCCGGCAACCAGGGGTACTCGGCACTGTGTCGGGAGGGCACGGGTGACTAGAGTCCACTGAAGCGTGGCGGTTAGTCCCCTCGGGCTGTCCCATGATCGAGGAAGGGCACGGGTATAGCGGCGCTCGTACCTGAGCCTGCCTGCCCTGTCGGCCCATTTTAGGCTTTGCTCCGGCACAGGAGGTATATTTTGGAAGAACCTTGCTGGAGCGTGCCTTTTGTTTGGGTGTTCTGCTTGAAGTGACCAGAGAAGAAGACCGAGGTCCCTTTAACTGGTCAGCGGAACTGTCAACGCCCCCAGCCGGCACTGGCTGAGGGTGTTGGACGCAGCGCTAACAGCAGAGTCCTCGGCCTGCCCCATAGGAGAGCAATCCCCCCCCCCCCCCCCCCAGTTTGTGGCAGATCGGTTCTATAATAATTGAACGCTTTATAATAATCGAATAAATATAACGAACAAATAAAGAAGACGATGAGAAACTCTCAGACTGTTGTTACTAACTCTCTTAATCAATAAACTTCTCTCAAGCGAAAAAAGGGTAGTAAAATGACATCCATCCTACCCGACCTGCCACTAAGAGAAAAGAGGAAGCTCACGAGGCACGTATACCGCGGGGTATTATGGGTAGGGCACCAGAGGGCGCTACTGTCTAAAAGTCTTAGCAGGAAATACCTGCTGGTCTAGGGAATATGCATTTAGTAGATTGCTCTACAGGCAAGTTGAGTAGACCCTGTTTTACAAATTCCAGAGAATTGGGAGTTTGAAACTTAATTTTAAGATAAAAAACTTGTTCCAGATTTCCATTCCAAGGTTTAAGGGTGGTTTATGGTACCATTATCTAACTGAATGAATCTAAAGCTCATCAACAAAGAAGTTTGGCCGCATTTCTTGGGAAAGTGCCCAAAGGTAGGCTGCAAATCTGAATTCTCATCATTTTCATTCAACCACTACAACCACAGACATTTATCCTTTACAGCATTTTCAACTAACACTTATTTTTAATTTTCACAAATTAAAAAGTGCTGCATTTTGTACAAAATCTTAGATCTCAAATCAGAGCTTGGTCATGTGTTCTACCACAGAAAATGTGTGCTGGTGACAACTAGAAGAGATTACAATTGCACTTGCAACATGGGCATGGCATTTTCATAAAGCAGATTTTCAGGGTTAACATGTTGGATAAAGATCATATTACACTGTATTAGAAAGACATTTGAAAAAAATATAATTCAGATTAAAATCAGAGAACTTTTATCTCTGAATAGTCATATTTGAGACTTAAAAATCAGAATTCAAATCAAATTTGACCAGGATGACGTTCTCAATAAATTTAAAGTTGGTAAGTGCAGGATTTTGTTAACTGAAAATGTTTGGGAAATATGGAAACATTCTCAAGTCATCTTATCTCTACTTCACTGCATACCATATCAACTCATGCCTACACTGTACATTGTACAATGTATTAATGAACTCTTACCTACCGAAATATCAAAATTGACCAACTACTCGTTCAATCAATGAAGAAAAGCAATTATTCTTATTGGACTAATAAATTTCTTTTCTCTCTCCAAATGTGAATATGTACTTAACATGATTTTTGGCATGGAACAGGGCTTCCTGGGAGTGGAAGTAACTAAATTAAAACAGGCTTTCTTAGTAAAGAATGAAATTTACAGGCATATTGGGACAAATTGTATGATTCCTAGATCTACCACATGTCCACTCCCTAAACGACTGGTCATCATTCAGATTACAGTAATAAAGTAGTTGCTGGATACAAACTCTTTCTCATGAGACGTGAAATATATATCCACAAGACCACTCATCAACAGTGAGGGAGACAGCAGCAAAAGTGACAACTTCTCGAATCGAGGATTGCCCGACGACACAGTTACAAAAGTCTTAAGATGTTTATCATTGTAACTTTAAACCTGAACTTAAAACATCAGTTGCCAATGTTGGCAACTCTTATGCCAACATATTAAGCACGGTTTCTCTGGCTGGCTTATCAATCTTTTCTTTATGCAATGCACTCTTTTTTTAAATAAAGGTTCTACATGTAATAGATATAATGAACAAAACTGGACATTGTTTTCATAACTGATATTATTGAAGAAAACATTATAACCTGGTACCCAGGGTATATGTACATTAGTATTATTGAGGAATAGGACAGCCAATGGTAAATGAACTATTATTGCTAGCTCGGTTACTTCTACCATGGTCTTGGTCAAATTCCCAGAGTTTAAAAAAATTCCACACAAAAGTCCAGAGCAAATATGGCTAAAATCAATGTGATAGTATACCAAATTTCAAATACAGTAGAACGTCATTATAACGAACACGATGGGGTTCGTAAAAATGTTTCTTATAATGGTCGTTCCTTATAGGGATTGTGCATTATAATAGAATTTACTATTTTGGGAGCTAAAGGAGATGTTTGTTTGAGCCAAATGTTTGTTATAGTGGTGTTTCACTCTACATGTATGGGCTTGAAGCCTGTCAGGTTTAACAGTCTTGGGAGCTTTGTCTTGTTTTATGTATCCCAGCTGAAGCATGTCAGCATGACACCTGAGTCAGTTTATCAGGGTTTACAGAGTCTTGGGTTCTGTACCATGTTTTGGTATCCCAGCTAAATCAATTAGATTTCCTGATCAACAAGAGTCATCTGTGGTTTTCTGGTTTGGATTGGGACTAGTGTGGGAAAATTCCTGGGAATTCTGAAAGAAAGAAATTTTCACTGAGAATTACAGGACTTTGCAGGAATCTTGAGAATTTCTTTAACTAATGTATATGAAATAGCTATGTAGAAATGATGTCAAAATTCCAAAGGAGTGTCCTGTTAATGGAGTCAACAGATGAAACAGCATATCTGATTTCACTTACATGACGGTGAAGTGGACCTCAATGTGGTCCCAGATTGACAATTGACAAAATGTATCCATATGTCACATTTTAGTATATGTTGATTCAACTTCTTACCAGACCAAAACAAATTTCCTTCACAGGTCTCACACGCATCGCTTCCAGGGCCGCTGCAAGACTGACAAGTGGAGTGACAGTCCTTACAAGTCCCATCACTTCTATCTACGTACGTGGTGTAGGGGCAATGGCTGTCACAGGTAGAGGAGTCATAAAGGAACCGATTCTCATTACAGGATGTACAATCCTGGGAAGATGCCCCACTGCACGTCTTACATGATGGATTGCAACGTACGCACTCATCTGTGAGGATGTGTAAGGGAGAAAGAGATGTGGATACAGCATGATGGATAGCTCACTCTTTATTCAGATACTTGTTTCCTATAGTCAAGTGCATGAAGATTGGATTCGTCATTGTTGGCTTATGTTTGTTGTTTCTGGAAAACAGAGAGAGCATGTACCGTAGCGGCTCCATATGTCTCCCACCATGGGCTGAATCCGAGAGGGGAGGGGGAATTGGGATAAAACCCCACATCCTTTTTTTTTTTGGATGCGGAGGATGGGACACCGGATCATTACCCAGATTAGTGCACTGAACAAAAACCTTGTTGGGATTTTGGAGTAACAAATTGTGAATGGCAAGAGAACATCCAAGCCACTAAACACCCCCCCCCCCCCCCCCCCCCACACACACACACACAAAAACAACAAACATCAGCTTTTAATTGGGATGTTCTGCGCACAGATCTGCCCTGCACATACACTGGTTCACTGTGCCTATATTATCAATTTCAATATAGGGGAAACCCAGTCAACCACCTAAAAACCTGAATTATTTTGGGGCTGCAAAATATTTGGTATAATTATCTTATATCAAAGCATTGACCTCTCGTACCAATTTCATCTGCAAAGTAGCCAGCTGCACAGTTGTCCACACATTCAAACTCCTGTAGGTATTTGCCGTCATTACAAGAACTACACCTATCCTCAGAGCCATACATGCACTCTTTACACTTTGGGTCACAGTATTTCCCTTCTTGCTCCTGACAAACATCTCCATTGAGAAGAAACCCATCATAGCAGCTCTGACAGTTGTTAACTTCTGATCCACTGCAGGTTCTACATGTCTCATCACACTCCTCGCATTTGAGGGTTTGTTGGTCTTCATATTGACCCTCAGGACAGAAAGGAACACAAGCACCCTCCAGAAGGTAGCGCAGGTCAGCCTCCACTATCAAGGCAAGAAATGGGTTCAATGTCAAACACTGTTAGGGATGTCTTTTTTTTTACAAAATTTAGAACAACAAATGTCAATTTAGAACTCTTGTGTTGGTTCTAATTATATTTAGATCTAATTTAAGATTATATGCCACACAAATCAAGCACGAAGCGTGACTAGTATACTTTTCCTAAATTTATGACTAAATTTAGTATATTTTATATTTTAGCCTTAACAACAAATGAATATTTTGAGGACACTACAAAAGTTTAATGAAATCAGCATGACTTCAGGAAAGCCAATTGTAATATAGTTCCTGAAAGCACCCTACACTTTGACTTTTATTTTTCCAATTCTACTCTCCAAAATTCTTTCTTTTTAGCAAAGCTTCAGTCATACAAAGCTTTTACCATGCACTTTGGAATAACAGATTATTACATACACAGAATATACGCAGCTTTCACAAACCTACTTTGCACCTGTTGCACATGCCATGTTGCTATACCTCACCTTTTCCATAGAGGGACAGGCATGTGGATCAAGTATTGTAAATACGTACAGTATTGCATTAATTTCACGCAGTAGAACATCATTCCGTGGGAGGCAAACTCCAATGTCAACCCAATAATGATCACTGACACAGTGGTTATTTAGCCAACATTAGTTAGCAGAGAAGCCTGTCCCCTTATGAAACTTCAAATCTAAGTTGGCTTACTGTTACACCCTTCTGTACACTGAGATTTGCCATACGGAAGGGGCACACATGCTTGTTACCATGCAGCTGAAAATTTACCAAATATTCCTGTTCCATAGGAAAACATATGAATCACAAATGACCTACTTTGTCTTTTTATGCAATATATTGTATGCGCATTTGAGGTTATCTTTGTGAAATATTCATTTATTGCGATGTCTACCACTTGCATCATTAATTAATGTACTTACAGAAGGACGATGTTTTACAACAGAATATTGAAAATGCAGTTTTGACTCGCCCACCCCCTTGAAAGACTGTTGCAGTAAAGTACCCTTAAGAGACATGCCTAGGGTAGACAGCCCATGGAAGTGTGTTGTGTGCACTTACTTAGTTTGCAGCTGGTACAGTCCTTTGGCCCACCACCAATGCATGTCTCACATAGGGAATGACAGCTCAGACAGGAGCCTTCATGTTCATAGCTTCCATCAATGCAGCCTTGCTTACAGGTTCCATCAACCAGTACACTAGTCAAAAGACACCACATTTTTGTTAAGTTTCAGAACTACTCCCACAGAAGAGTGGGTCATGTACAGGGCTAGTCAAAAGAAAATGACCAAGTTAGAAACAAATTATTTTTCAAAAATATATATGACTCACTCCAATTGATACATGTTATTGACTAGTAACTGTAAACATTTCAACATGGCTTTAGAAAGAAACGCTCCTGTGATACTCAACTACTTGACGCAATCCATGATTGGAGTAGCACCTTAGAATCTGGCTCCAGCATTCACATTGCTTTTTTGGATTTTTCCAAGGCCTTCGATACTGTTTCACACATTCTCCTTCGTGAGAAACTAAAAAGTTTGTGTCTTGGTGATCGTAACCTGAATTGGATTATGAATTTTCTTGAAGCTAGAAAGCAGAGAATCATTCTTAATGGTTAATTTTCCAAATGGAGTGTCGTCAAATCAGGTGTCCCCCAAGGGACAATCCTTGGTCCTATTCTTTTTGATTGTTTTATTAACGACATAACTAAGGATGTGCATTCTACGGTACTATTAGATTATATATGCAGATGACTGCATTGTTTATCAGCCAATTAAGTCTCTAGAAGATTGTAATGTACTCCAGTATGATTTAAAACTCTTAGGCGATTGGTCTAAAAAGTGGTTGCTTGATTTCAATATCACCAAGTGCAAAATTATGAAGATGTCAAAAAAACGCAATCCCACTGATTACGTTTACTTTCTACAGGGCCAAAAATTGCAGGAGACAGATCGCGAAAAATACCTGGGAGTGATGATAAACAAGCAATTAAACTGGAACGACCAGTGTAATGAAGTGTACAATACCGGTAAGTGCAATAAACTGTTAGGTTTTATTAGAAGGTCCTTCGCAAACTGCTCTGGCCAAACAAAAACACAGCTCTACGAATCACTTATTCCACCTCATTATGACTGTTGTAGCGTGGCTTGGGATCCTTATAGGAGTTCCCACTGTGCCACGCTTGAGCGCATTCAAAAACGTGCCAGAATGGTTTGCAGGGACTGGGAATCCGGATACAATGTCTTAGTACAACAGTTAGGATGGACGTCACTAGAAAACAGACGAAAGTACTCGAGACTTGTAATGGCCTATAAACTAATGAACAACCTTATTGATGCCAATAGCCTTTGTAAATTCAGTCCTCCTGACAGAATTTCCCGAAATGACCATGCTTTGACAGTCCAGGTTCCCTTTGCTAAAACTGACTATTTTATGAATTCATATTTTGTTCGCACTGCCAATGATTGGAATGCCACTCCAGGTGATATCACTCAAAGTGCCTCCTTAAGTATTTCTAAGTCTTCACTGATCTGTCCTCATTATGACTTTTGTAGCGTGGTTACAAAAACCATTCTGGCACAACATTTTTTAACGCGCTCAAGCGTGTCACAGTGGGAACTCCTATAAGGATCCCAAGCCACGCTACAAAAGTCATGATGATGTCGGATTATTTAATCTTTTAACTTAGCCCCAGGTTTCAAAACTGTTTTAACGTTTACTTTAAAAAATTGTGTTCTTGTTCTTGTTGTTCACTATTTATAGTTTATATTTTAACTAGTTATATTTCCTAGCTTTTGATTTACACATTTTTATTACATTTGCTGTTTAATTTTTAAGTTTAATTTGTAATTCTTTTTTGTATTCTTTTGTGGTTTTTATTCTTTGGAAGTATCTTTTAATTCATTTATACTATATTCTACAATATTTTTTATTGCACCACCCGATTTTAGTTAGTTTATATATAAATACTCCTGTTTTAATATTTTAACACAATTGTGGATTTTATATGGGTTATATAACCTTTTCCACAACCTCGGACAGAAATGTCAAAGTAAATAAATATATACATATTGACTATCCAAACTTCCCAAAGACTGTTCAAGTCGGTCGAGATCATAAGTGGGTGCAGAATTCTAAAGCCATTTGGCCTTACTGAGGTCGCCTCAAGCTCCACTCTGAAGGATATTTTTGAGAGTTTTATGGGGATCGAAGCGTCATCTGCATCATCAGCCGACATTTAAAGAAACAAAAAGTGCGGGGGGGAGGGGGGGGGGGAGAACACGTCACCGCACCACTTTTGGGGTTAGCTCCATACCAGAAACCGGAGACTTTTTTTTGGCCTAAAGAAACATGTAAGTGGATGATGTTTGCTGCTGGTTGTACATATAGTATGGGACATACAGATTTAATATTCATATTGTTGTTACACCAAATCATTGATCTGGTTGGATTAATAATAATAGTATTTTCAAAAATAGTCATTCATAAATTCATAATGTTGTTTCCATGACGCTCTAGCCTTGACCAAGACCATCAGCTTGTTCCCATACAAGCTTGTTCCCGCTACTGCACACCGCGCACGCCGCGAAACACTGGTATACCGTTAGCCTGAATGACCCCTGCGTGTGCTTTGTGTGCATGTACGTACGTCCCACACACACTTACGCAAACAACCGTTCAGTAAGTCAAGGCAGAGGATAGCCTTGACGCAACCATGTATGCTCAATATGATAATCAGTACTCGCTATGGTAAATAGTCTTCTCTCATTGGATAATGGCTGACCAAAAAAAATGAATATTTATTATATTGCATAATGGGACCAAAGGTTTAAAAACCAGACGGCATAGTGATAACAATAATTATTCTAAAACACCCCCTTAAAATCTTAAATCACACAGTAGAATACTATCTATAAAGTTATACATAGTTGGGTCAAAAATGAAATGAAAAGGATGAAAAAATAGATCTCAAAAAACGGCGAACGGTACAAACCGCACGCCGGCAAAAAAAGATGTCACCGCACACAGAGACCACGTCGGAGCCGTCTAGTGTAGGCACCGACCAGGCTTGCGCTATGCGGTAAGACACGCTGCGCTCTCGGTCAGCAGCAAAAAAAGCGCTCACAATATTGAATAAATCTACTGCTGAGTTTTGGGGGGTATTTCTACTAGGCTGTCGAGGGGATATGGGAAAAAAATATCTCTCCTTCAGCTAACTTAAGACTGATTTTAACTTGTATGAACGACTTATAAGTTATATGTCGAATGTACGACTAATATATCGACAGGGTACGACATATATATGTCGACAGAGTACGACTAATATATTGACAGGGTATGACATATGTACAGGGTATTATCAAACATATGACATAATGTCGACAGGTGCCGGTCTGACATATATGTCGTGCGTACGATATATGTTGAGTCGACAGGGTACGACATATGTCGCATACGACTTTGTCGTATGCATACATGTAAGTACGACTTTATATCTCGTGTGTACAACATATGCATTTTAACTCTTATGTTCGACTTGTTTGGTGATTATGTCATACATACGACATATCTTGTGAGCACGACTTGTATCTCGTACGTATGACATATGTATTGTAACTTGTATGTATGATCTTATACGACATACAGGTACGATTTATATTATACCTACGACTTGCATGTCATACATGTACGTATGTCGTACTAGGTACGACATTCAATTCGTACGTACGCATTAAAATACATATGTCGTATGTATGAGATATATGTTGCACATGGTACGAATTCAGGGAGAGATTTTTTTCACCATGTCCCTATATGACAGTTTCGTGTTTCCATCCCAAAGTCAATAGCTCGTTTCTTGCAGTTAATTCATACGGGTGCGACATGACTTATAGATACGAGTTAACCTGCATCCGATTAAATGGGTACGATTTGACTTGGGTCCGAGTTGACCTGTTACCTACATTCGCTGTCAGAATGTCACGGGTAGGTACGAGTAGCGGCGTGATAGTGTACGCTGTTGCACCGACAATAAACGTTAGCGGATATAACTGTCTTGATCTGTCGAATTCACAATACTGTACATTGGAAGTTAAGTATCATCATTTTGAACAAAGGTTCATTCGTATAGCGGCATATTTCATTTGTTTGGAATAAAACTGGAGAAATGGTTTAAAATGGGATTGAAATACCTGGACATTTATTTTTGAGTGAACATACGTGGTGTATACAGTAATTTGTGGGCAACATGAATATGTATGTCACGGGTCAAAGTTTACAGGCTTTGATTGGATATCGTGTAATATATGCGCATCAGAAATTTTCGGCCGAATTCAACTGAAAATATAAAAGAAACACATAAGGAATTTGCCACGGTTGCGTCAAGGCTATCTTCCGCCTCGACTTACTGTACGGCTGTTTGCGGAAGTGTGTGTGAGACATACGTACATGCACACAAAGCACACGCAGGGGTCGTTCAGGCTAACGGTCTAGTACGCAGCGCGCACGGTGTGTGGTAGCGGGAACAAGCTCGTATGGGAACAAACTGATAGCCTTGGTAAGGCTAATGATACTCTGGAATGTGCACATCACGGATGAACGTGATCAAACGGACTCGGTACGAAACCAGTCTAGCAGGCGGACATGTAGCACATACCCAATTTTCTTACAGGCTCAGTAATCAACGAATGTGTAACAGATGTGGCAGTTTTTCAAATTTTCTCTTATTTTTTTATCAATTTTCTTGAATGAGAATGGAAAGCATGAATGGTGAGAATAACAGCTTGGTAAGTTTGCGGAAACACCATGTGAAATTAATCCCTTTTGTGAGTTTGTGATGATTCTAAGAAAAAACGGGTTGGACTCAATGTTTGGGACAGCATACTCTGTCATCATCAATTTTCTTCATGAAAAAGCCGGAATTCCAGCTATATCCAGGAAACCTACACTCCTTTAAAAAAAATGCAAACTAGAAGGAAATTCCCACTTCAGCTATTGGGGACCAGAAAGTCTTGCTATTCCCATGGGTTTATGGCAACTACATAGCTACCATGCAGCCATGAGCTCAGACAAATTGCCAAATTCAGCAAAACATCCTATGTCCTGACTGACTGACCAGTGCTTGGAAAGAACAATTAGTATATCTTTCCTACCATTGCATCAACAGTAAAGAGACAGATTTACAACAGCGCCGTGCTGCATCGCATTGTGGGCAGGCACATGGGAGTACAACTACGGTGGTATGAAAGCTGACTGAATTTTGCTTGCTGGGGGGTGAAAATCAAATTTTCTTCAACTACTAATTTTCAAAAGCACCTGTAGCTCACATGAGATATTATTTTTTTTAAAATAGCTAACAATCCTGTTCATTGAAAAATAATGCTTGCCAAAGGTACTAGATCGATATCACTGCACCAGTTCAAGCCTTGATAAAAAAAAGATAATTCCTATTTTTCCCAAGCACTGGTCAGACATTTTCAAACTCATTAGAGCCACTTGCAACATTTTCTGATGTTAGCAAACACCAGAACAAGTATGATTTTCTGTTGCAAATACTGAAAATACTCACAATTCTGACTGACACTGAACACAATTATCTTCTTCGGTACAATGATCACAGCCATAAGAGCAGGTAAGGCAGTCATCATTACTGTCCTTGAAGTATCCAGCTAAGCAATTCTTGATGCAGGCTCCATCCTGTAAGATATCCCCAGTATTGCACTCTGTGCATTCAGACGAGGACTGTCCCTTACAGTTTTTACAGGAAACATGACACCTGTAAAATGTAACAAGAAAGGGATGGATTTATACAAGTTACCACAACTAACTTCTCATTTACAATGAGCATTGTCATTTCATACAAATCCAACAGGTTTTAAAAATTGTCATGAGATATGTCCAATTCAGTGTCTAAAGGCCTTTGCAGCAGTTCAATGATTGTTTACAAAACTATCGAAGGAAAAGTCAGATTACATGTATATTTAACAAGTGTTGTTTGCTGTGATGTGGGACATGGCATTTTTATTTTCAAGGGAAAAGTGCATGCAAGGTAGAGCCGAGGTTGCTATGTGTCCTCAAGGGAGTTAAAAATACCATGTCCCACATCATAGCAGTAAAAAATACAGCCTGAAAGCTCACCCCTGGTGGCCCACTTCCGGGACCCTTGATCAGGAAAATTAATGTGTAAAAGTTCTTCAATTTGCAGTTATCTTTATATTTCATTTAGGTTCATTAACTTCTTAAGAAAATCATCCCAAAAGGGCCTTTTTAAAAACGTTACTAGCATCAATTTACGGAAACTGATAAATTGCCTGACTTGAAAGAGAAATATCGTGCCAACTTTATTGCTAACTAGTGCAATATTGCTAACTAGTGTAACTTGTGGATGCATACCCCTAATCAGCGTCAGAAGATAGAACATTTCTGAAATTTGTGGTGATCATCAGGTGAAAAGTGAGAATTAAATACAAGACCAAGATGTCTTCAGGGTTTTTAAAATCTTGCATTAACTATTTTGGCTCAAGAACCCCATCAGCTGTAGGTAGGTAAATTGGTTATGTAAACAATATGAAAATAAAGGTGGACAGAGAAAGGAGGCCCAGGAATAACAATGATGGATGTGAAATGTCATACAATACATTCATTTTTACCTTTTTCTCAGTAATTTTTTTTTACTTGATTACCATGATTAAATTTCAATATGAGTAATTGTTTGGGTGGTTACGGTAAGAAATCATTCTGCTAAATATCATAGAAAGTGAAAGGGCAACATGACAATGTAATATGCCATTAAGCGGGCCGCACAGGGATCCAGGAAGCTCAACACGTGACCTTATCATTTCAGGCTCTATTGGTTTGTTTTATCATGCCATTAACCAAAGAAGATAAGCATTAACATTCTGCAAGAAACAAATACAATCATGGCATTGCACCTGTGATTACTGTTGGAGGTTTTTTAGCAAATATAACTTATGATAGGTTGCTCAAAGCTCTGCAAAACTTCACATTAAATTTTCATCTGGATTGCGCCCTTTTAGGTACTAAACCCCAATTCCCATGCCATAATAACTTGCTGTCACTGTTGTGGGACCTTATCAAACATATTTGTTTGGTCATATTTATCCCTTTCGATTTTAGGTTACTTTTGGGGGGACACCCTGTAAAGGCTCTCAATCAAATGGAACAGGTGAATTGTCTCAGGTATTTATGAATGTTGATTACATAATCATTCAAAATGAAACACTCGTACCTGAGGCATTCTTTGCCATTGCCAAGGGAACCTCTTTCCACATAATATCCATCTGTGCATCTCCATTCTTCTACACAAGTCCGCTCCTTTAACACACTACCAGGCACACATGACAAGCAGTCATTGTCCTGACTTCCACTGCAGGTGTGGCAGGTACTGTCACAGGGATGGCAAGCGCTGCCTTCTAGGTACTCATTGGTAGAGCAGGTAGACAGGCAAGTGTTGTCACTAGAAAGCAAAGCATGAGGTTCACATGCTGAACAGTAATTAGGGCTCCCCTCGCACTTGCTGCACAAAGGAGCACACTGGATGCAGGTGTTGGTCTCGATATCTAATACGGAAAATAACACACAAAGACAAAACAAAACAAAATAAACCAATAATCAGAAAACATTCGTAACAGTTATGGTTATTAAAAGTTGCATTTTGTTGGATACACAACTCCAGACTGAAATCTTTGTGCCAAATTTCTTTGGAATATGACTTCAGAAATTGTATTCAAAGTCTATGGGGCTAGAACAGGGTTGTTGAATTTTTGGTAAAATACTTCATGTAAGTGTCCAAGGTCCAAAAATGTGTGTGTTTTTTAAATAATTTGTGAAATGACAGGACTTGGGGAATAAGAAACTAAAATAGACTTTTAAAATCCGATCAGGTTCATTGCCATGGAAACGAGCCAAGGGTGCTTCATTGGCATTTTGCTGAAGCGAATGATTGTTATCACACAACTTGCACTTCATCTCCAATTTAGGCAGTCCAGGTTGTGCAACAATGGTAGAACTAAAATGAGAACATGTTGAGAATCTGAACAAACAATTTGGCTTTGCCAGTGTAGAATGAAATTTAGACTGTACAAAAATATGGACTCATTGGTCAAACTGTGCATGCCTTAGTAATCATGACAGTGATAAGGTCACATGTGAGGGTTTGACTTCACATAAGATAAAAGATACCAGATTTATGGCATTGGCCTATGTCCCAAACAAAAGCAACACACTCTACAAAAAGTTCTAAAAAAAACCAAAAAACAAAAAACAAAAAACAAAATTGCTGAACGTTAGCTTACCTTCGTAGAACTTCTGATCACAAACTTGAACACATTCTGACCAGCTCTCCATGAGAAAGAATGGATTACGACATGACAGGCAATCAGAATAACTGGGCCCAGCACATGTCAGACAAGTGGGTGCACAAGCCTTGCATCGGGTATGCACTTCAGGTGGATCATAATAACCATCTGGGCAGTGAGTTATACATTCACTGCAAGGACAGGGCAAACAGTTAGTGGCTGCATTCACTAAGGATTCACAGACATTTTATGATTTTTTTTAACTGCTTGAATATCCCTTTCCGTGTGTTTGTGAGATTTTCCTGACACACAGTTACATTGTAAAAGGTACTGCAGATCACTGGTTTTGAAGTGTTTTGATGAAAAGCAACTTCTCATTATCTTTTTGCTATAAATGTTTACTGTTCATGTTATTCACCAAAGCACATTTTCAACTAAAATTTCTCACGAGGAGACTTTTATGCACCATTTTCCTCTGAGGTAAAACTTCGTTCCTACTAGTTTTCTCATGTTCCAGGGGAGGGAGGTGGGGGGTACAATTAAATACATTGTCTTCATTGGGCAAATTGATAGTTAGTGCTGTAACTGATCCTCAAAGTTTGGTTCGGTTCCGTTCCGTTGCGAACTCTTCCGAACCGACATTTGGGTTTGGTTCGGTTCGGTTCGGGTTTGGTTCGGAAGGCTAAGTTTGGCTATTTTTAGTTCGGTTTGGCGGTTCGGCTGCAGCACTAATGATAGTACATCGACATGTATAATGAAGGCATTTATTATGTAAAAAAAGCACTTGTATTGGTCATGGTTTCACTCAAAACTATTGTCATGTGTGTGCCTTTCCCAACCCAAAACAACCAACAGGAAATTCATCAGCCAAAGTTGTATATAGAAAAATAAACTAGTTTGGCTATTTTGGTTTTCTTCAAAGTGATTTTGCCAGTTACTGGTACCTGCAAATGTTGAGTCGGAGAAATCACCATCTCACTGTATAAGTGAGAAGAACAGACTCACGAAGCCAGTTGCAATATTTTTGTCCCTTTGCAGTATTTCACAAATTCTCACTTGGAAAATAAGCCCTGCAAAATTACTAAACGCCAAAAAGGCAAGCAGTTGTGTTTTCTACCACAAGAGGATGCCGCTTACAAATACACATATGTACCTTTCAAAATCGCCTGAAGAGAATTTTGTTCATCATGATGTCAGGACGATGTTAGATATTCTATCTTAACTACAATAAGGCCTACTACCGGTACATGCATAAACTATCAAATGTAATCAAGGACAAAAATGTGAATTTAAGTAGCGTCTGTGTTGAGATATAATTATCATGGAGGTAGGATAATTGTGAGAAAGAAACAAATCCATATTTAATCAGATGATTACGTCATCATGACGTCACTTCCAGTTTAACACATGCTGTTATATAAGAACAGTTTTAACTCAATCAGTCTTTAAGTTCTCTATACATTTCAAATATTTGCACATGACTCGTGATGACATCATTATGTAACTTGTCCTTGCACCCAATTGAACTATCGTGATAGAATCGCGTTAGAATCCCATCAATGCAGTTTGTGAAATATTGACCAATTACATGATATACAAACGGACAAGGAACGCGAAACATCTCAAACAACACAACTTAGCACACAAAAACTCCATAGGGTTGTCTTAGGGGCATGGTAACTCGCAAATGGCGATAGGTAAATTACTGTGTGGTCTTGGTCTGCATCCAGTTTAGAATCGATCAGATCAAAAACAGTGTCAAATTAACAGTTATCTACATGTACATGTAGATATAGAATTTTTAAATTTGCACATTTAAGAAGACGTCGCGTGACCTATGGTGACACCATGATGACGTCGTGAACTCTTCAGGACAACACTTTGCTATAGGGACCAAGCTTTTGCTGACTTTGAATGATGTATGACGAAGATGAATGCCAAAAGTGGCGTGTAGAAAAATCGTGTACAAAGTCTATAGGATTTTTGGCGACAAAAAGAAAAAAAGAAATAAAATCAGAACAAAAAGAAAGGCTTTTCCGCAACTTTGCAGAAAAGCCCCCCAAAAAACTAAACAAAAACAAAGGATGTTTCGGCAAGTTGCCAAAACAGCAAAAAATGTTCTAGATCTTCATTGTTGGAAAATGATCAATTACATGTATGAAGTAGTTTTACTTTAATCTTTCCTTTATATACCCTGATGTCTTGGGCATATTTACTGAAAACTTCCCAGAATCCTTCATCCTTCATCATGTTCAACTTACAGAACTTTTATCACTGATGACAAGTTCCTCAGTCTAAATCGCTTAATAAAAAATGTTTGCTGAGAATTATATTGCAAAATTATTCCAACGTTTTAACAATGTATTTTAATCGATACACAATTGTAAACTGTCGTAAACACATATAATTTAAGAAGGATCTACGCTTTATTTTTAACCTTACGTGATACATTTAAATACAGAGATGCCACAGGGTCTGCTTGAAAAAACCGAACTGGTTCTGCTTGAAACGGGAACAGCTGCTTGAAAAAACCGGAACTTTTGAGTATCTCGAAAAGCCTCTACAAGTCCGACACAAAGTCCCCGTTGCCATCTTTATCTTGTAGCCAGGCCCAGTTCCGTTCATTGCTTCTATGGCCTTTAAGCTGTCGGTTCGTTCAATTACTTTGACTTTTTCCATATTCTAATATTTATTCTGCCTACCCGAATTTCCAACGTAATATTTAACACAAAACATGCATTATTCCACAATCTGCTGTCGGTGCACATGACCTTTGCACTATGCAATGCATTCGACAAAAACATGGCTGGTACCCAGCGTTTTTGGTATTCACATATATCCCTGCGATTGGTGACAACCGATAACTGAAATGATAGACTTGATTTCCAGGCTGAATGCTATGTGTGCTTAGCGCACAACACGCCCCCACCCGGTGAAACATGCGCGAGGCGTCATTGTATACTGCGTGCAAGTACACTGGCCGCCTGTATCGCATGCAGGCTCGGTGACAACAAAGACTGTTTGTAAGACTACTTCAACGAACAACGTTGTGCCATGAGTGCGCCTAAATGTACTCCATTGAGACCGCTAACGAGGTAAAAATCAACGCATTCCCGCAGTTTTTTTTCTCTTTTTCCGGTTTATTTTGACGGCTGAAAAAAACCAGAATTTTGTGAGATTTTTTTAAAAACCAGAATTCCGGTTAAAACGGGAAAAGTGGCATCTCTGTAAATAGAGCCCGATACATTTGACTGCAACCAACTTACTCTGTTTTTCTGTCCCTGTAATGTAAACATTTCCAGCAATCACTTGCAAGAGGGCCACTGCAGCTATTGAAGCATTCAGGGTGACAGGGAGAATAATCTGAGCTCCTTGGAATGGCAACCCTCGAGTGATCAACATCATCGATCATTTCCTTGATAGGGCTTTTACTACCTTGCCTGATCGCCGGCTTTTTGGGAGGTGTAGCAGTTGTTGGTAGGGAATCTGTGCCACACAGTGTCAAGACCCATCCCCGGAACTGCCCTGTTTACATGCATAAACAACAAAAGTTTGGATTTAAAATAATTGCTGATAAAGCAGATGTGTTCTTTTACCATTATCAGCAGTTAACCCACTATTTGCATACTTGTAAATATCCATGCATATTTACAATTTACACTTCAAAAAGCCACATTTCATTGATTATATCAGAAATGTCGAAGGATTGTTTTTTAGTTTCTGAGAATAAGCTATTTGAAATGATATAAAGCCACTGATGACAGTCGTTCTATAAATCTTAGAACCAAAGGTGAATTTTTGTCTTGAACACTGTGACTAGAAAGTGCATTGTTTTCATAGACTCAAACAATCTACTATAAAAGTTATCCTTGATTCCTTTAGTAAGTGAAGGGTCGGAGAGTTGGTTGACACCACTCGTCATGTTTGGGGTTTACCAGTTAATACGTCCCCTGTGCAAACAAGGAGTCACTCTTTCGCTCCCTCTATCATCCTCCGCACAATATTAAAGTACTGGGATACAATCAAACATAATAACAGGTGCGATCGATCATGCCCAAACGCGTGAATATGTGCCTTGGTTTTCCTTGATATCTTTTTTTCTTTGTTTTTTTAAATAAAGTGTCATCTTTATGGACTTCAACTTTCTCATAAAGATAACTGATATATCCATTATTAAAATTCTGATATCAAGGGTGCTTAACCCCTCTATGTTATGGTATGTGCCTCGCACCAGTAGTACTAAAAATCTCTTTATATGGAGATTGACTCATGCGTGGTGCATACTGTGCAATGTGAAGGCATGCAAGTGGGAATTTAGAAAAAAATGTGTGTTTTTCAATTAGTAATGGCATTCATGAGAAGTGAAAAAGAGGAAAGCAGCAGATCCGAGGAAAAGTCGCATGCCCGAAGTGGTGCAGAACGCAGCGGTGCCAGTGTAGTGATTAAAAGAAGCCAGACAGTGTTTTATCAGCTGTTTAAAACCATCCACATGATGGGCTCTCGACACATTAAGGCATAGGTAACAAGTAGCTCGATCCCCAATTTTTAGGAATGTGGGGGGAGGAAGATAGTAAGAATGAAATGAGAAAAATTACATTTAAGGAATTTACCGTTGTCGGAATGAGTGCAGTTTAAAATTGCTGGAGTTGGCATAGGACAAACTGAATTTTCCATAGTGGGCTGGTTTTCAAATGCTACATGATAGACAAGCAGATGTTTTCTCAAAAGATGGTATGATAAACGTACCACTGCTTGTGAAAAATCGAAATCCCCACCCCCATTCTCCTGGACTGTCCCAAATGCACCAAATCAAAACAAATTCAACTGTTTATGAATAAGACTTTGAGTAACATTCCTCACCTAATGAACACATGGTTTAACAATTATCCGTTTGTGATACATACAAGACCCATGACATCCATTGTTTTCCACTGAAATTGCAGCACAGGATGAGCTATCATTATTATCACAGCCAGGATTAGCCCATATAACTGGATTCAATTGATAACATGTTTTCAAAACTACATGTATTTTTAAAAATGTTGATAAAAATACCTTTGTGAATTAACCGGGTCAATGAAAATACTGGTAATAACCATTTTCATGTATTAGCCAAAAAAAAGGATTTAACTTTCTCTCACAAAAAAATTTGCACGTTGCGGTCACAAATGACAACTATTGGCTTTTGCAGTGTTCTCGTCGAAACCAGGATTGCATTATATTTGGCTGTACATGTATCTCTTTGACCATCTCAAAAACACAGCTATCAACTTACTTACTCCAAGCATGTTGGTTGAAATGACATTAATAGAGTTCTACAGTTGAAGGGTAATCCATTCAACATCTTCAACCTTTAGTTCTCAATCGTGTAACAGTAGTAATTTAAGAATTTCTGTCATTTGTTTAATCTACATGTACGTGCTTTTGCCACTGGAACTGCCTTCAAAAAGATATATCCAAGAGTTAAAGGGAAAATACAACATTTGCAAACATCAAAAAATAAAACTACCAAATCATTTTGAAATACCTTGCTGGACTGTTGGTGAATGACAGTGTAAAGCATCCTGTAAAATCATGGCACCTGGTATACTGTCATTATCAAGAAAAGTGGTATTTTTGTATCAATTTCCAACACTGGTCGGCCGACCAGCATTGGAAAAAAACTGGCTTTTTTTTCAAATACTGGCCCCAATTGACCATCGCATTTGTTTGCAATCAATTACACACCTATGAACGGGAACAAGCCAGCTGGACTGGTTCCCTGACTTACAATTCCCCAATGTATGTAAACTGCTCTGTTTCTTCTTATATGGAGTCAGGGAACCAGACTACAGGAAAATGATTGTTTTTCTTGGTTTTTATAGCATTTTCGAACCCAAAACCTCAAAAAAGTCAGTGTAACTATATTTGCTAATATTTCCCACCCCCCCAATTCCATCCATTTCTGAAAATTACAGCAAAAGCAAATGATGTATATTCCCTTTAAAATGTCTAAAGGATAGTCTCTTGTCTTTTAAGCCAGAAACTGTAAGGTACCTGAGTTGCTCTTCGGCAAGCCGTTCTCCACCTGCAGTGTCCATACCCCTTTGGCTCTCTCCCCCCAGAAGTGGGTGCTCATGAAGGGCCAGGAACTAAAGCTGCCCTTCCTCCTGTCCTTAGGTCGAATGCCCAAGAGCTTCGAGTGAGTTCCTGATGGTGAGACCAAAGTGAGAACCAGGGCACCCCGACTACCAAATGTGACATCCACAGTAGACTGGACATGCTCCAAGTAAATGGGGCCATTCTCACAAGCTGTCGTGTTCAGTGTAAAAGTTGCCAGCATTCCACGGCCCTTGATTTCCCTGTAAATCATGTTTATAAAGAATGTTTTATTTGGCCTGCATTACCCATTAAACTTGTCTATTATCGTAACTAATGATCAATACAAAATGCACTTCTGATATGAATTGAACATCCACACTTTTCTGGATTACACATCAAAATATTAAAGCATCCTCAATCAATTCATTTATTTCACTCGTGTGACATGAAAGTGTTGTACAATTATGCACAGGAACTCTATTTTACTTCCCAAACAAGTGAAAATGCATGAGGATCCATATTAACAATTCTTTCATGATTCTATGGAAATAAACCATTAAACTATTTTAGCGGATAATTGCCGTGTTAATACAGTACATACCAAGACCTGCAAACATGAAAGTAATACCAATTTTGACACACAACTCTTCAATATTAGAATTGTTGCTAATCGGCATATATCACAAACATCATCTATAATAATACACACTTCTGTGTTTGGACGACTGTTTGTCCGGGCTTATTTTCAGAAGTGGCAGGTTGCGCGGTGCTGAATCTCAGTGGGTGGGTGACGCTTGGTCCAACTTAGATTTGGTTCAAGCTTTGTTAAGCAATTGCGACCCCAAGGGCCACCGTCCGGGAGTTCTCTCTCCTAGGCACGTACGTATGTACAGTGTGCGTACGTGTACCAGGGCTACAACATACATTACACAGGTGGGAGTCTGTGATACATGCGCCGTATATTTTTACGCGATAAGCGGCCACAGCATGACATTTGGACTAGGTCGAGTCGAGTCACCAAAAATGTTGACTCGAGTCAGACTCGAGTCGAGTCATTGAATTGAGTCGTTACAATTCTGCATACATGTACAATGTACACGTATATGATACACTGCATCACACCATACACCACATGCTGTAAATGCGCTGAGGGAATGTAACATAACAATTCTAGATTGTTTTTCATTTGCGGTAACACCATGAGATAATAACTACTGCTCAGTAGATGTTCAGTTCTGAAAAGAACTTGTCCTGCTTATTATCAACTCTGAAAACAACTTGTCTTTGGTTTCAACGTTTCAGAAGACTGACAATGACTAGAGCAGGCTGTCAAAACATTGACCAAAGACAACTTCTTTTAGAACCACAGAATCCAAAACACACTAGTAGCTGTTGCACAACATTACAATACCTACATTGTATAAGGTTAATTCCTGCCCGACTATTATGTCAAGTTTTTTCCTTTGAAGTACAAATGTATGTATTAAAGCTACAGTCCATCATTTGCAGCTATACAAAAAGTAACTGAAGTAATTATTGTTGAAAAACATACTTGGTTGAAAGATAGTAAGGGGACTAAACTCCCTGTGAAATTATTTCTTCTGACAAGCTGTCATTTTGAAGAAATCAACGAAAGACGCACCGTTGGAAATTTCCGCTAGTAGTTCGTTTTTTTTATTTGGCGAAGAGTGCACAAGCTTTGGCATGATGCACCCACGCACGGTTGCTATCATTTGTCGGATCGGTGCGCGACATGGCGTAGCTGCAATCGGCTCAGTGAGAACATGTCTTGGAAGCTGAATTCAGGACCAATTCAAAACATGATTCAGAAACTTTTGATTTGAAATCAAGATCCTAGAATGTTGTTTTTCTCGGAATATATTGCTGAAGCTGAGCTGAAACTTCATCAGGTTAGTTGTTCAGCACCCTTCTTTAGATTTTGAGCACTTTTGTTTCTTCAAACGAACAAAATGCAGAAATTACAAATGATAGACTATATACCTTTAAAATGTATGTATTCCAAACATCAATGTCTGCATTCATAGTTAAAAGTGTAAGTATTGAGAATATGTTTGTAAAAAAAAAGAAAAAAGAATGATGTGTTAACAAACACAAATGCCCCACTGAGATGAATTACACTTCTTTACTGACATGCTTGCAGATTCTGTGCACTGTCCTACAATAAGGGATGGTAATACAAATATACACACAAACAACACATAATTAATATCATGCATCAAATGAGGTGGAAGGGAGGATAAATCTTGTGGTTTTTTATCATAACCTTTGACCTACAGGGTCCTAAATCAATAGACTTATTGAGGACTTCAACGCCAATCCACATACCAAGTTTGAAGTTGACATGTCAAGTCCTTCTTAAGTTATGGTGGGCAAACTGAGTGATGTACGCACACACGCAAATGGTCGTGTTCACACCGTAGATCGTGGACGTCCTATTGTCCCTCATTTGTTTGTACTCAAACTTTTTTGGAAGACTCCCATAGCTTTTGCACACGACCTCAATCGTGGATGTATGCTGGGAATCGTGGACGATATTGTTCTCTATTGTTCTCTGGTATTTTTCATTCATGGTTTGAATAGATGAACACGCCCACCCATCTTTGTAAACACCGGCAAACGTGGACCCCCTATTGTCCCAAATCCGCATTCCTTTGTTTGTACTCTAACTCATTAGTTTTGTACACGAATTCCAATCATGGTTGATCGGTCAATCGCGGATGTATTGTTTGTGCCCCAACCCTTTTGCCCTAGGTCCACGATTGCCGTGTTTAATACTCACTCAGACAGGTATCTTTGTAAACACCTTCAATCGTGGACCCTTATTGTCCCTCTTTTGCTTATACTTAAAACTTTTAAAAAAGAACTCCAAATTTTTGTACACACCTCAAAAGTGGACCTTTGGCACCCTATTGTCCTCTACTGTTCAAGGTCCACGATTTGAATGTTGATACATGTACACAAACAAAGAATTTATTGTTCTCCACTTGTTCGTCTGTCCTCGGGGTGTATCTTTTATTCACGTACACCCCCCAAGGAAAGACTAGGCAAATGCAGTGTGCCCCTTCGGCTTTGCCAGGTGGGGCATAAAAAATCAGGGCCTGACATTTCAAACCTGGCAGAGTCAAAAAGGGAATACAAGTCACAAATAGTGGAAGCATAATTGCCAAAACTTGTTAAACACTGAAGGGTAATATTCTTTGCCCTCGCTCGCCCACCCTCTACCCTCAAACAAACAAAAAAAGACACACTGAATTGATCTGAGTTTACCTGGAACTTGATATTAAGCTGATTTCACAGCTCAGCTGCTCTGGCAGGTTGATCCAATTCCTTGCAAGCTGAACCATTGCCCCAGCGTCCATCAAACCAAAGCCGTACCGATGACTAACTACATGGAACAAACAAAACAAATTCTTCAAAATCACAAATTGTGGCTCCAAAAAGCAATTGTCAAATTTCAAAAATTGCCTTTACATTGTATGGTTGCATGCACTGCTTAGCAAGGCACTGAGAGGCATGAACTATATTGCTCTTGCCAGTGTCTCTATGAATTAAGCCACAACAATTATTCTAAAAGGTTCTGCATGGGGTTTATAAACTCAGTCTACCCAAAGGCAAGTCTAAGGACGCATTTTTGGAAATTTCCATTAGCGAAGCCGTGAATGGGTGTGCACAAGCGTTGACACAACACACACGGGCACGCGGTTGCTATAATTCCCTTAATTCAGTGCGTGACATCGCGTAGCTGCAATCGGCTGAATGAGAATGTGTCCTGGACGCAGATTATGGGCGTAATTCAAAACATGACTCGGCAACTTTTGAATTGAGATTAAGATCCTAGAATATTGTTTTCTCCGAATATACAGCAATCACTGAGCTGAAACTTCATCAGGTTAGTTGATAAGCACTCTTCTTTAGATTTTGAGTACTATTGTTGCTTCATACGAAAAAAATACACAAATGACAAATGATATACTCTACCTTTAAGTATAACTCGAAATATAACTTGATAAAAAAAATTGATGCATTTTACTAAAATCAAAAGCTTTCTTACCACATCTGCAGGGATTTTCTATTGTTAAAAAAATATGCTCATCCCCAATACCTATGAATGCAATCCCAATGCGTATGCACACAAAATTCTGCTGATAATAACAGACCATCATGAAATCCAACACAAAGAATGTCCCGCAAAATAACAAAATACTCTCCCTTTTTTATTTTGATGTAGAGAATATGCTAGAAATAGGAGGCATGGGAGAGGGGATAAATATTTTCTGAGACAGAAACCCTGCAGATGTGGGGAGAAAATATGTCATCTCCAATATAGCCTTGGTCAAGGCGTTCTACAATAGTGTACGATAATCAATGGTGGGCCGCTAACATAATACAGTAGCCAAGCAGTGCGCTATGCACTCACATACAAAGCGCAAACAGCGACCTCATGCGACTAGGTTACAATATGCAGATCAGTTGGTGCTGATCTAATGCCTAGCAACAACTATTTGCCTTGGCTAATGTTCGTCATTTTCTCACTGGATTTCCAGAGATGACCTCGTTTGCGAATAAAGTTGAGATTATTACTATTCAGTTCTTGGTGTGGTGGCTCACATTTTACATGGATAGAGAGCTGAACAGTTTAGCTACATTCTCCTTCAAGCTTGGAGTCTCCTGACCAAATATAACTCGATTTAATTCTAGGGACAAAATAACGAACCTTGCCCAAGAAAGAGAGGCAATTGCGACAGGTGTTCCAAGGCGTTCGACCAGCACCAACTGATTTGCATATTATAGCCTAGCCACGTGAGGTCGCTGTTCGCACAGTACATGTGAGTGCATAGCGCATGGTTAATATGGCAGCCAACCTTCGATCATCAGACACTATTGTCAAACACCTTGATCAAGGCGACATCCAATTCTGTTAAAAACAAGAAAGGGAAGGAAGGGACTGCATTGCGATGCCCAGAAAATTTTTTAACTGAATCTAGTACGAACAAATAATTCAAGAAACTGTTAAGACACATCCATAAGCTGGACACATGAACACTTAGGTTCATATGAATGGGATCTCCAGGCTGCTAGTCTTGCCAGTGCTTTCACCCTAAACCTCCAGATCCTTCTGGATGGGAACATCCTAAATCCTGCAAAATCCTCCAATTGCAACCATGTAAAAATTGAATCTTGACCCCGACATTTCTCTGAATGCACCCACCGTGGAAGAGGTCAAGGCAGCCATCAATAGGCTAAGGAATGGAAAAGCAGCTGGACCAGACCACATTCCCCCGGAGCTCCTAAAATGCCCCATTGACCCTATCAGCTCAGCCCTCCAGAAGCTCTTCACTCGTGTGTGGCAGTCTGGCAAAGTCCCAGCAGAACGGAAAGAAGGCATCATCACCCTGTATAAAGGGAAAGCCCCCGCACCGAATGTAGCAGCTACAGATCTATCACACTTCTCTCTGTCCCTGGGAAAGTCTTCGCTCATGTATTACTGGCACATCTGAACCCTCTACTCACAAAACACAGACAACCAGAGCAGTCTGGTATCACTGCTGGGTGCTCCAAGGTCAACACCATTCTTGCCCTTCATTTGTTGTGAGAACTGCATCGGGAATTGAATCGACCCCTGCATGTGGCTTACGTCGATCTGAAGGCAGCATTGGACTCTTGTCCGTCACCGCAGAGAGGTTCTCTTCAGTCACACTGCCTGCCTCGCCGACAATATCCCAGCAAAGAAGGCACTTAACATCGCCATTAACAGCAGAGGCAGAATTCCCCCAGCACCTGGCTGGTCAAGACCCCGAGGCCGACCAAGGACATCCTGGGTCGAGCAACTGGGACCGCCCAGCAAGGTTGACAAGCTTTGGAACCAGGCTTCAAACCGCGGACACAGGAGATCAGTGCGTCGGACCCCAGATGTCTATGCGGTAGAATGAATGAATGATGAAAAAATTGAATACAGCTTTAATCCTCCAAAATCATCCATTATTTCCAGAATGTGTTCAGTTGAGGAGTGACCATTGCCTCAATCTTTCAAAATCATCCAACAATCACTGTTGATGAAGTGCCAATGATATCCAGAAGCAGTGTGGATGGTATCCAGTATACTGTCAGGCTGTATTATGCGTGGCTGAACATAAAAAATGCTAGGTACAGCCTTCGACCTTGGCTCAATACATCTTCTAAAACCAACTGACACTATTTTGCCGTTCATCCTCAATCCTCCAAAATCCTCCAGGTTGATTTTGGAGGATAAAGGAGGGTTAGAGTTAAGGTCTTTCTTGCAGCTCCAGATGCCCATTTGTCTGGCTCAGCAGATTCTGAGCGAGGATTGGTCAAAAGATAGGATGCTTCACCCCGTAGATCTTTGGTGCAGGTGATGTTTAATTCTAGCGCTCTGACTGGGCACCACAATTTGTCTTCCTAAACACTGGCAAGAAATGATAAACCCAGAATATATACAGTTACACATGTACCGGTATTCATGTCAGATTCATTCATCTTACAGAGCCGGGCGATGTTCTTCTTTTAATCTATGTCCGCAAGCGATATCGGCGCAAGATTGCATGGAAATATCACATTTCTTTCATGACCGGAGTTTTAAAAATGCGAAAAAATTGCATGTCGAAGATTATCAACTAAAATCCATATTTCCGTATTTTTCATGAATTTCCGTACAAAAATCTGTACCAGTTGGCAGCTCTGCATAGACCCCTATTGTTAGTTTAGGTTAAGTTTTTGACAAAAATGTGTAACTTCTATATGCTTTCATGAATTTGGATGTAACTTGGATGCAGTGACCCTTGGGTGGGAAGCAGTGTTGTAGTCAAGTACTTTTTCCCGAGTACCACCGAGTACTTAAGTTGCCGAGTACGAGTACTTGTACCTCCGAGTACAAGAACGGGTCTCCAAGTACGAGTACTTGTACTTCCGAGTACAAGTACTTCCGAGTACTTCTGTTAAATGTGTTTGTCTGGACTTGCACAGAAGAAAATCAGGAAATCTCGATTTCTCCACAAGCCAATCTGGAGGTCAAAGGTCATCTAGGGATCATTTGAGGTCGTTGTTTAAAAATGCACAAAATTAACTCTCTTTCAGAACACAAAAGATATAGGGATGGTCCGCGGATCACTTGTTTTCCTTTGTAATGGGGTATATGTGATATATTCTGATCCAAATACAAAACATGTAAGGTACAGCCAATGAGATAAATATATGCTGGTGGTGTTGCTGATATACCGTACTACGCTATGAATCTCAAGACACAATGCAATCAAACCAAGACTCACATGAATATCCAGCACCATTGACAAGCCAACCACCGTCATTCAGACTGTTGTTGTGAGATGTCATCACAATCACATACTGCATATCACGCCATGTCATGTTAGAACTAGTGCAAGAAAACACATACAAAATAAAATACGTAAAGTAAAAGATGTTACAATCAGCAGAGACCTCTAAACCACTGATACAGAGTAGTTAGAAAATAATCCTATTGTGGGAGAAAACTAATGCTAGCTGTTACAGGGGGAGGTTGTTACAGAGTCGATATCTTTCAGACAAAAACAATTGAGGGCTCTCTTTCTCCTCTCATATAATTAACTACTTACACAATTTTTTATATGCATGTTGGAGGTGAAGCCCTCCCATCGTTATAAAGATAAGCCAAAAAAATTGTTTTTTGGCCTCCAAAGTCAAGTTTTGATACGAAAATGTTTTAACACCTCTACCATATGTGGATCGCTAAATATGACTCGACTGTTTTAAGTTCACTCATTTTCTTACTTGAGAAAGACGAGGAAAAATTCTAATGGTCCAAGACAAGTGCACCATTCAATCAAACATATCATACAGCTTCACTAAAACGTGGCACTTCACGTACGTGGGAAAACAATGGCATTATTTTATTTCCCAACAACCGTCAATGAAATGTGTCTTTCATGATCTCTTCACCATCACCAAGATAATCATCTTGATTTTCAAAGCACTGCAACTAAAGCTGAAAACTCTGAAAATAACGCGACCATTTGGCTTTCACTGCAATCAAACTCCACATGCAACATGAAGCTCTGTGTACATAATTTTGATTTCAGACCTGTCACACGTTAATGCTTGACTTATTTCCAGCTGTAAACTACTCCAATCCGGGGCTTACTTATGTGCATCTACCATCCAATCTACGCACTGACGACTGGTAGAACAGATTAAAATTGCGCTCACAATACAGATTTTACTGCACCCTTTTCATCAAATTTGTTGAAATATAACTTTAAAAATCAGACTTTGCAAAAGATAGAAAAATAGAAATTTTGGAAATAAATTTGGAAAAGTAAGATTTGTGATTAAAATTTTTTCTCTCTAAATGAATCCTTCTCTTAGCAGCAGTCCACTAAAGCATGATTTTCTGTATGACCGTTGCCTGGTGCATGCAGCACAGTCCATGAACAGCGCTTGATGAACATGTTGATTTGGGATTCCATGGATGTAGCGCTCAGTAAATACAGTGTGCAGTGTCTGCAAGTGCGAGATGGGAAAGTTTGATACGCGCTCCAATTGCCAATTTGTTTTACGTACCGTGTAATTATTTTCAAGCTGATCAGAAAATTCATTCCCACGTTTTGTTCATTATTGTATTTTTAAGACCTTTGAGGACTCAATTTTATACTTTTTAATGCTCTTGAAGGCCTTAACTTATAATTAAATTTAAGACCTTTTAAGACTTTTTAAGGACCTGCCTACATCCTGATCATGAAGTCATCAAAAATAAAAAAAAATTTAAAACACATACATTGTGTAAAAGGGAAGGTCCGATTGTCATGAAACTTTGTAGGTAATGAGACTGAGTGACTATTATGCAAAACAAGAAGTGACGTCATGATGACACCTTTAATTGACTTTTTATGAATGTTTACAGATTTCATATTGTCTTCTATACATATAAAATATGGCATTTTATATGTATTCAGATCAACGTGAAACTTGGCACAGACAAACAAGACACTAAGTCATTTGCAATCATCCGAAACAGCTGTGTCTGTCCACATGACAAACACACTTCTAGTTTCTGGGTTTTTGGTTTTTTTTGGCCAGGCATTATTTTTTTAACTGGAATAAATTATTTACACCCTTTGAACAAGTATTCATTGGGACATACATGTACTGTCTTTTTGTGTGCAAGTCACTTACTTAGATTGGAGGGCTAGGGCACACAGTCCTGCTGCCAGTGGAGCAGAGGCTGATGTTCCAGTGTGATCATCAGTGCAGCGGCCCCCTAAATCGGTTGTAATCTGTTTTAAAAAAAAAGGTTGTTAGGTGGATTTTCCAATGAGAATACACATGTTACATCTCCTCCTCAGTTAGTGAAGAGTATGTTGGCTTCTAATGAGGTGCAACCCATTTTGTGGTGCAACCTTATTTTTTTATTTTTTTTTATTTACCCAAACTTTCACAAGCAAGTGAAATTCTAAGAAGTTCTAAGTATCCTTGCAACCTGTAAAAAAAGTTACCAGAGAAAAGTTCTTATTGGTAAAATTTTCCAATACTATTTTGCCCAAGAAACCCTTTTAAAAATGAACCTGTGAATATAAGATTAATCCATTGCCCATGACAAGAAACACAATATAGGGGACCACTTTGCGTTCGTCATGTTAGCAGTTTTTTGCAATGGTTTTAATTTTATTTGACAGTGCCTAGAACCACCCAAAAAGTTTTTAAAATGTGAATGGACATGTAGGCCTATAATACATGTAATATGTGTTGAATCATTTTTTTCTTTCCTTTTTAATTTTTAAAATCACCCTAAAATTTCCGTCAAAAATGGACGGAAAATTTACCTAAGTTTTCCGTTAGGTAGGTTGATGCAAATTTGAGGATAATGTCAAAAAGCAATATAAATAATCAACTCAAACTATCTTTAGCAAAAGGCTGTATGTCTATTCATGTGTTGAAATTCTTCTTTGGTGGTTTCAGGTATTAAACAAATAATCACAACCATAGGAAAAATAACAGGGTTGCTGTTGAAACCCCTCAGCCAGGATCAAGCTATCATCCAGAAACCATTTACATTGAACTCAACATGGTGACCTTGACCTTTGACCCCAGAACCAATCCCAACATGCCTGTACCAATGGGCAAACCCAACCAAAGTAGACACCAAAATTTCATTTCAAACTCAATTATCATCCGGAAACCATGTACATTTAACTCACCACAGTGACCTTTGACCTTTTCACCCAAAATCTCATTTCCAACTCAAGTTATCATCCGGAAACCATTTACCTTTAACTCACCACGGTGACCTTGACCTTTGACCTTTTCACCCCAAAACCAATCCAAACTTGCCTGTACCAAAGGGCAACCCCCTACCAAAGTTAAACACCAAAATCTCATTTCCAATTCAAGTTATCATCCGGAAACCATTTACCTTTAACTCACCACGGTGACATTGACCATTTACCTTTTGACCCCAAAACCAATCACAACTTGCCTGTACCCAAGGGCATGCAACCCGCTACCACAGTTAGACAGCAAAAATGTGATTTTTAACTCAAGTTATCATCCGAAAAAACCAATTACATTTAACTCACCACAGTGACCTCGACCTTTGACCTTTTGACCCCAAAACTAATCCCAACTTGCGTACTCCCATAAAACCTCCTACCAAAGCTACAACCCCAAACAACATTTCTAACTCATGTTATCATCCGGAAACTAAGCTGCCCGGATGGACAGACGGACGGTCTAGCCAGACGGAATTGTGGGGTGATAGCATTGTGTTCCCATTATCCCTTTTTTCTAAAGATTCTCTTCTGGGGTGATGTTTTTCTATTGTGAAAATAGTGGGGTGATGTGTTCTGAAAGGAACATCACCCCACAAGGGGCCAACGTACGGACGGATGCCGTAGGCGATGACAATACCACTTGAGCCTCTCGGCTGAGGGTTAAAAACTGCTAACGTGACAGTAGCAAAGTGGCCCCCTTTATTGTGTTTCTTGTCCTATACCTCTTGGGTGTATTCTTCCCCCCCCCCCCAATGTTGTCAGCCTTTTTCAACTTTTCAGTTTTGCACTCCTTTTTCCTTGTAACCCCCCCCCCCTTGTTTTGTTTGTTTCTTGTACCTCTGTCATTTTGCCTTTGAAGAAGAACTTGTTAAGTTCGCAACGTCAGGCCGCACTAATTTTTTTAGATTTGTATATTTGAGGTCAATCCAGTCAGTAAGCAGTTTGCGGTAGTCCTATTCATTTTCAAGTATTAATGATGACAATTCCCTTGTTGTTGTAATAAAAGAGATGCAAAATAAGGTAATAGAGAAACAGGCCTTTAGTTTGGAGAAGAAAACAGAGAAAAGCAACCAAGAATGGGTACATTGTATGAATGGTTAAGTTGTGATACCAACTGCTTATCAGATTCAAACCTGCCAGCCAAATGATTGCATCAGTATTATAAAAGTAGAAGGTTGTGGGTTTGAGTCCCATCTTCCTAATTTGTGATTCTTTTCTTACAATCACTTAGGACAATACTGAGTACACAGTGCTCATATAATACGTCAGTGGGTGCAAATCCAAGTATAAAACTGACCCAGGATGAAATGCAAATGTCAGAAAGATTAATTTCATTTCAAATTTAAAAAATCATCGCTTGCCCATTACTAACGGACATAATAAAACCTGAAGAAAATGGTTAATTAACAGGTGATTTCACTGACCACTTTCTTCTCTTTTGGGCTTCCGCTGCTGTACGTTGTGGCTAATGTTGATGCACATTCTTCCAGATACCATGGGGCTTCACCTCTTTCAGATGTACTGCTGACTGATATTGTATAGATGCTATTAGTGTAGCCATCACACCCACAGTTATCCTTGGCGCGACCACCATTACCTGATGCCCAGACAAAAATGTTGCCTTTACCACCTCGACCCTGCAACATACATCCAAAGTCAAATGGACAACTAATGAGACCACCAACTGTCACAGATATGTCATTTAAATACATACCTTTTCTTAAAATCAACATTTGGATAAGCAAGCCATGAATGAGGTTTTTATTTATCTCTATACATAAACGACAACATGTATACCTTCTTTATTCCAACATTTATATATATAAAAATACCTTCTTTATTCCATCATGAAAGGCCTTTTTAGCTAGACGGCCTGGTCCATCAACAGTCATTCCATTGTCCTCTGGTCCCCAACTTGCACTGTAAATATCAATATGGTTTCGCCGTGCTGCCAACGAGCTTCCTTCAACTCTGTCTGTTACCTGATCATCAAGCATTCTGATACCTACATTTTTTTACATGAAATAAAAGTTGGTGAAAGTTTTCACTAATTATTGTGTGAATATCTGCATCTTTCGTTCTGTTTTTTTTTTCTTTACAGTATCGGTACATTGTTTTCTAGAACAATCAAAATTAAAAATGAGAAACATGCTTGCCACATGGAAAAACACAGCTTTTTGGCTGTTTGTAAAGGCTTCAGCAGAAAACATTCAAGGTCATGTAAAAATAAGGGTACTGACTGCAGGCTTAATTTTCTAGACTTACATGTACAGCTAAATGGATTAGAGTCGAGCAAAAGATGATGCAAAAGACTTGTAGAGAACACAAGTGAACAAAGTTCAAATGCCTTAGTGGAAAATATTGAGCATAAGGGTCTTTGAAATTTCTGAAATAAAAATGTAATGTGAATTTTTTGACCAATGATGATGTGACCCACGATGACGTCATCGGGACGTCACTCTTCAGGACACAATGTCACTATAGGGTCTTTACACGGGATAAGTTTCATTAGAATATGAGTTTGTTTTAGGTCCAAAATGCCACGGGTAACAAAACATGTATAAAGTCCATGGGATTTGGGTTAGAAAAAAAGAAGGAAAAACTAGAGTTATGCCTGTTTGATGAACAGGACATAGGCTTTTCTGCACAAGAAACGGTTATAGTGATCAGAAATCTTTTACCCTGACTCTAGGTTAATTTCCCTCCATGACAAGTGTTGGACTACCTTCATAAAGACTTTTGAGCCAATCAGTCTGATAGATTTATCAATAGAAAACTTTGACAAATGTTCATTCATGATGATGTCACATGCCCCATGATGACTTCATCGTAACAATACTTGGCAGTGCTCATTATTAATGGTGGTGTTGTGTTCAATTTTGTATTAAAGCAGAATTAAATTGTAAATATTTTTTTTTAAATCGTAAAAAATCTACTGATCACGTCATCGCAAAGTCATTTCAAGTTGTGTGTACTAGTACTATTACTTACCTACCCACCAAGTTTCATGATGATCAGACGTTTCCTTAAATGTGTTTTTAAAAAAATCACATTTTTGATGACATCATAATGACGTCACACAATTTTCACAATTTTATGATTAAACCTATTACCTAACAAACATAATACAGAAAAAAATTTGAATTTAGCATCTACGTTCGTGAAATATGGCTTAAAGGTCCAAAACTTCAAAAATTGATATAAAATCACACGATGACGTCACCTCAATTTTTACCTATAACACATTCCGGTCTACCTACACACCGAGTTTTCCACCCAATCCAACAATGCTAACAGTTCTTTACATATAGGGTCTTACAGTTTGCACATTTAAGATGACGTCACGTGACCCACGATCACGTAATCATAACGTCACTCTTTGGGACACAAATTCACTATGGGTTCCTTACATAGCTTTGGTTTCATTAGAATACATCTTTGTTTAGGGTTCAAAATGGCGCGGTTAATAAACTTGTAAAAAGTCTATGGGATTTGGGGTGGAATAAAAAGAAGAAAACAGAAAGAACAAAAATCAGAACAAAAACAATGCTTTTCCGCTTAAGCGGAAAAGCGAAAAGAAAAAAGGAAACAAAAAATCAGAAAAAAACAATGAGCAAAATTCAGAACAAAGACAATGGCTTTTCTGCAATTTTTAGTCAAAAACCAAAGATAGAAAAGAAAACTACATGTAGACTTATGTTTGTGGACAAACAGGGCTGTTTCAGTAACTTTTTTGTGACATGTGACATGTAAAGTTTCAAGTATATGTTCCATCAAGGAAGATATGTGTAGTTCTGTTTATAATAAATAGTGGCATATAATATGTAATTACATTCTCATAGGGCTTTAAATTATGATGTCGCATGTCACGTGATGACGTCATGATGACGTCACATCAAGTTTCATCTATAACTATAATATTATGGTAATAGTAAAGAACAACTCAGCCAGAGCATACATCGTTGAAAGTAAGTTTACATCTTTCACCAATTTTAAATTACAAGGCACTTCTGGTTTCAACCGGAAGAAAGGGTCATGTGATTTTGCAAATAATATAAAAATAACAGCGTTGCTGTTGAAACCCCTCAGCCGGAGTTTGTCGAAAAGGGCAAACTGACGTTCCAAACTCAAATATCATGTCTAACTGAAGTTATCATGCAGAAACCATTAACTCACAACAATGACCTTGACCTTTGACCTTTTCACCCCAAAACCAATCCCAATTGCCTACTCCCAAGGGCAACCCCTTTCCAAAGTTAGACACCAAAATCTCATTTACAACTGAAGTTATCATCCGGAAACCATTTACCTTTAACTCTCACGATGACCTTGACCTTTGACCTTTTGACCCCAAAACCAATCCCAACTTGCCTACTCCCAAGGGCAACCCCCTACCAAAGCTAGACAAGACGTCACGTAACCCATGATGACGTCATCATGACGTCACTTCAATTTTCATCTATAACACATCCCGGTTTAGGTGCATACCAAGTTTCAACCCAATCGGACCTGTAGTTCTGTAGATTCAGCCAAATCTGTCATATCTAGCCGAATTCTGCTAGAAAATTGTCACAACAGAAAAATGGCATATAATGGGACGTCACATTACTCATGATGACGTCATGATGATGTCAATGTTCGGCACACAAATTTAGATGCTGGTGTAAGTATATGCCAAGTATAAAGGCAATCGGATTAATTTTAGTGCCCAAAGTGCTGGAGACAAAAAGACGCATACAAATGCTATGGGCAAAATGACTGAAAAAGAAAAATAATGAAGTAATAAAATAAGAATAACATACCTCCAATGCTTGCATTATATGCCACTCCCACACCACATATGTTGTTACCAGCTTCCATTGCTACTTCACCTGCGCAACGTGTTCCATGCCTAGAAACACAGACAAATAATCGTATCAAAAGCTTAACCCCTATAGATCCAACTTTGCATTATATACAGTCGAACAATGTTGCGGATCCCACACCTCCCAATATAATTTGCAACAATTTTCCCACTCGTGCACGAAGCACAAGTTGTCCCCGCGCCATGCGTGTGTGTTTATGTAATACATGTAAGTAATTGGTGCACAACTTCAAGCCCCCTTATGGCACAAACTAAAATGTTTGTAAATGTATTATGAATTGTAATGTGTGATAAATAAAATAATGAAGAAAGTGAAGTACATGCAATAAATAAAGTAATAAATAAAGACAACAAACAAAACACTACCAGACTGGACGTAGTGGGTGGCCGAGAGTGACTCCATTTATCATTAATGCCTGGATCGTGCGCTTTTGTATTGTATTACGCTCAAGGACAGACAACAAAAGGAGCACAAATGGGCCTTTGATCCTCGGACGACGGTGCCTATTGTTAAAACCGGTCCTCAATCATACGATTATGTGCTTTGTCTATGGGAAAGTGTTACATTACTAGAGGGACAAAGGGAAACACAATAGGTTGTCCTCAGGCGTATAGTAAAACACAACTGTGCATGCCTACATGTGTGCACATCCACCGTACAGCACTGGTACCCGATTCTGCACCAGACAACCTATCTTCCCTCCGGACATGACACTGCTACCAACCAAATCCGTTGTTCTCCATCACTCGACACATTTTAAACTCTGCAACATTGATATTTTTCACTTAAAGAACTTAGCTCAATTTAAAATTTAGTTTTGCGACCAACCCCCATGCCAGCAGTTTTGCACAGGATACCCCCATTATGGCCATGGTGCAGTACTTAGCAGCAGTAGCTGTAGGCAGAACATCACCATGTTATAACATGTAAAATCCTGACAACATGCGAAAGAGTCAGCCAAAGTGTTTGTCAATGTCATGGATTGCTGACAAGCATTTCCTTCCAACGTATTATTCAATTTATTGAGTGAACCACAAAACAATTGGGATCATCAGTGAACTATGAAAGTGCACTAGGAAAAGACGCACAGGTGTATTGTGCTCATGCTCTTATTTTTAAATGATGCGATGTGCAAAACAATAACGGTGTATAACACAACACATAATACATTCTGCAAAGTGCATTTCTTTAATGAAATGGGGGAACTGTCATCCTAGGGGGACCTTTATAGTGAATCTGCAGCAACAAATTATTAAGACTGCTCTTGCAGTTGAAAAGCCCAACAGGTCTGCAATGTCATACACACAGAACTACATACATTAAGCAAACCTCATGAGACACAAAGGCATAAGACAGATCTGATAAAGATCCTTACCTGTTAGTTTGGTCATAGTTAGCACTTGGCATCGGGTCATCGTCATGGGAATTGATGTCACAGCTGGCAAGGGGGTCCTAAGAAAGGCAGACAAGAATCAAAAGTTTAAATACAGCTTCTTCTTTTTTCAACTTAAAAGCTTAAATCTCCAAGCTCAAAGTTACAGAAGGTGAACAATAACTAAGGACTGTGTTATTGCAATTCATTTAAATATATAGATTGTGACAATATGAGACTGGAGGACTTGAGATGAACTTGTACTGGAATCAACTACACCACTGATATTTTTCCTTTTGCAAACTTTGCAAGTTTGTTTAACAACATTTTGAAATTTAAGATTCAAGTCAGTCACTGCTGAGCAACAAAGGTAGCAACTTACATAGTTTTTAGCCAGATCTGGGTGAGTGTAATCAATGCCATCATCCAGTATGGAGACCACAATGCCTTTGCCAGTGTAGCCCATCTCCCATGCAGGCTCCACATTCATGTTGGGTGCATCTTTGCGGTTCTTTTGTATTAAGAGGGAGTGTAAAAAATATCCAAGAATAATCATTGGAACAATGACACAAACTCTGCTCACTTTAGATTTTTTTTCCTACAAGCTCTCAGACAGCATGCATGGATACAACATTTTTATCATTAAATGAACCAACATGACCAATGCTTTATTCTCAGAAATTCTCATATGGTGTTTTAAATCACTCGTTGGAAATAATGCCTAAGAAATTGCCTAATAAGACTCCCACTTATATATCACACATCAAATTAATTAATTGATGTGTATACAGTTCACACTATTAAAGAGATAAGCTGTGATACGTACAATTTACTTAGCATCTTCGCCATTGAAGAATTCCACTACTTGGAAACACACATACACTGTGAATGCACCCACTCTTGAATTACTATACTCCCAAGGACAATGCTTTGTGTTTCCCTTTGTCCCTTTAATATAACACTCTGGCATAGACTAAGCTCACAACCTACTACAGAGGACTGTTTTGAACAAACTGAAAGGATCCATTCTTTCTTTGTGTGTCTGTCCTCGGGGTTATGTAGAACAAGTACATGCCAACCTGTACATGTATGAATACATGTGTAAATATTTACTGAGCAAAATGCCATTGCAATCTTTGTGTCACCACAAGATCCTGAGATGTCATGAGAATGTCATGTTTTTGTGAAAAACAAAAACACAGGATTGTAAACGGGATCCAATGCTAATTTATGCATACTGTGTCAGCCAATCAAATTAGGAAGTTTGGGCCAATGAGAACTAATGTTACATGTACATCGAACATTCAGTCAATGGGGCAGCTAATTATTCTGCTGGCTTGTTTTAGTTCAAAAAGAAAGTGGAACTTTAAGCCCGCCGCACAAGAGAGCTAAGTACTCAGCAAATAGCTCAGCACGTACCTAAATACATAAATTGATTACAAAGACTGCTAGAAGACAAGGTTTGGTGAAAATGCAGAAATGAACTGGGCCCAATTTCATGTCTTTGCTATAGCCACAGAATTCCGTGATGACAATCACCATTTTGGGCTAACCACGCTAGCAGAAAAATTGTGCTACTAACCCTGTAAGCACAACATATGCGCATAAGCCAAAACTCCTCACTAATCCGTGAAATACATGTACACTTACTGTAATCACAGAATTTTCTGCTATTGTAAGCAGGGATTTTTCATTGACAGTAAGCTGAGCCAAGAAATTGGGCATTAGACTTGCCATGACAGGAACACTTGCCATAGCATTAGAAGAAGTGACTACATGTGCATGACATGTACGTCAGGTTTCTGAGGGCTAATGGCAGGTCAATACATTCACTGTACAGTAGGGCATATTGCCTGTGAAACAATTGGTTTCATCCGAAACAAATTTTGATATTCATTGATCTTTGTCTATTTATTTTAAATTCATAAATACCTAAGACAGTTATACTAATTCCTATTGGTCGAGAGCCTGTCACGTGGCCGGTCTTAAATTGATTATAAAGACATGGCTGGCTGGTCTTAAACACTTTTCCAGTGTCACATGAAATTTGGACTCCTAAAACTCCAGTGCCTCTTGTTTTATTGGTTGAACGTTCATAATACTCACATAGGCATGCGCAATACTACCAGTGCGTCAGTATTTTATAGTCCTAAATTCACAACGCAACGCCCCAGGTGCATTCTGCGCGATGTCGCGCACTACGCGCGATGCGCGCGTTGATCTCCTGATAAGGTAAGTAATTGTAGAGGGACATTCCATATTACAGTCAGAGGGGTGTTTGTTACAACATGAAGAAAAAATTGTTGAGCAAAAAAGTTAGCAATGTCTAGTTTTTGACTTGTTTGAGTGATATTTTGACCGAAAAGGTATTCATGAAAGGGAATATATGTGTGTTCGGTCGGTATTAAACACTCGGGCTTCGCCTCGGGTAATTATCGCCCATCCAGACTCAAACTGATCTTAAACAGAGTGTTATAATCCCAAACCTCCCAAACACACATTTATTCCCTTAATCATGGGTATTTTCATGCTTTCGTCTAAAAAATCATGAATGCATCTAAAAACAGATGAAATTATGTTTTTAGTTATTTTCAAAGAGTGACATGTTTCTGGAAGCAGAAAGTTTACCGGTGCCTTTAAATAGCGTAAGACATTATCTACTCATCACATCACAAGCAAAACTAACATGTGGTTGTGATGCTATTTTCTTGGGTCCAAGAACACACAATTTGCAATGATACCCATACTGCTCACAAACATGAGTTACTTGGAGTTTAACACACTAATTTCCATTTTGTGTGAATACAATCGTTTTGCCATTACTTTCTCTCTGTCCATTTAGTCCATTGGCCAGAGGCCAAAATTTGACTTATTGGTACCACCTGAGGTGGCAAAATCTAAATACATTTTTTGAAAGGTCTATGTCTAAGGATGATAAATTGATGTGATAGCAATCCCAGGGTGGTAGCTTAGTGGTAATTAATGCCCGCTTTTTAAGCCTAGTCAGAATGAGCTTACTACATAAATCCTTAGCACTTTGGTTAGGATATGGTTGTACAATTCGCAAATACACCATTATGCTTTGTTGTGTAACGATGAAACTTGGTCATTGTACATAACTGTCAATACAAAATATTAACAGACAGCCCGACTTGTTGCTAGGACTGTGGAAGTGGGAAACATGAATCCCTATTGACAATATCTTCCATCCAGAAAATTTCAGAATTTTGGCAATATTGACAATATCTTCCATTCAAAAATTTTCAGAATTTTGCTTTAGAAACAATGCACGTCTAGACGTCAGATTTTGGAAAGAATTCCTCATCAGTTTTGATGGAGTTAAGAAACTAATTTTTTAAATGCAATTTTGCTAAAAATGACTGGAACGGTATTGTCTTATATGTGCAAATCGCGACAGTTTCTCGCTTGGTTCAACATAAAAAATATTTTAAAAAAACATTCTAAATTAACTTTTCATTCAGCCAATTTTTTAACGTCTGTCAAGTTACCAGAAACAAAACATCTTTTTTTTTGGTCCAATTACCAGAAACAAAAAAACTTGTTTTAATATTGGCATTGTGATATCTTATACAGTATTAGAAATAGTGCAGATTTAAACACATCCTTACTTTTATCATCAATGTTAGTGTTTGATGACTTCACTGTAATCGGCAGTTGTTAAAGCTCTTCTGTTATTATTTTCTTCAGACTGACCTGTCCAAAGAACTATATAAATCATAAAAATGCAAACTTTGTCATGGGTGCTCATTTACATACCATGTACCACTGTTGAGGGTACTTAGGATCATTGATCCGTTCAACACCACGTTTTACTCGCTTCCGTATCTTCTGCTGCTCAATCCAATTTACCTGTACAGAGACAGAGGAAAAATGGAATATTTTATACATGTGCACAAATTTGATACAGGACACACTTGTGTTACAAAATAGACAACAGATACGATACAATGAAACATGCGAAGTTGTTGAATACGTTGCATAGGAACGTAAAGACATCTCAAAGTAAAAGATACATAATGTAAATTTGCACTTGAAGTGAGTCAAAGGAGCCTTTTTCTGTACATACCTTTGTGCCTTTCACATTGTTCATACTGTGCAAGAAAGTTCCAAGACTGAATTTGTTTTATGAATCATTTGGAACTTTTCCTTTTGTTGCTACTGATATTTGATGACGTGATAGGGTCAGTATGAAAACTTAAAAGCTGAGTTTTGCACACACACAAAAATTAATTTTAAAAAACATCCAGTTTTCGAGCCTCCTTTTCGTCTCCTAAGTTCCGTGGGAAAAAAATCTTCAATCTTGTAAAGTACGTACATGTACCAGTACCTGGCTTTCAATTCAATTCAATTCAATTCAATTCAACTTTAATGGTCCTACCATGAAGGAAAATTGCTAAGCATACATGCAATACACGAAAAAATTAATTAATTACACACAATCATAAATAAACTACTAAAAAATTAAATTAGATAGCTTACATACTTTAATATTAACCAGTTTTCAATGAAATATTGGAAAAGATACATACATGTACATGTACCTTACATGTACATGTACTGTAGCTGATATCAGTATTTTGACTCAAGAATCACAAAATGAAGGCTTTTAATTTAAAAAAAATAAATAAAAGCAAAAACAAAAATGTTCTGATTCTCTCTACAACAATTTCCAGTCTCTGACAATTCCATAAAGAAGTGGACAAAGTCAACAAATGGAAATTTGTTATATCTTTAGAACTACTGGTACAAGCATCACAACAACAAACAAGTGTGGCATCAAAAAAAGGGGACGACGACATCTTGCATTTGAGTGTTGTGACAGTGAGATGGAATTTAGTTTAGCATGATTTGGGGTCCAAAAAACTTGTGTGTTTTTGGCTGATTAAGTCATGGATTGGTAGTCATGGTAATCATCTTTGCACTTTGTTTCAATAGGCAAAAGTGAGTGTTATTGTGATATTTTAAGGCATAGAGAAAGGTTCAAATTCTATGCCGAAGCAGCTTTTGATCATTCATTTTTTGTTTATGTTTAAATTAGTGCCTTGAAGATGGGCCGACAAACTGTAAGGCCAAAAAAAAAAAGTTTCTGATTTCTGGTCTGCACGCGTATCGCCATAGCCTTGTGCGTCGGCAAAATTTAAATGTTTTTTTTTTTCAATGCAAGATGATGATTCAAAACTGCCAAACTCCCTTGTTTAACTAGAATCCTGCTGCTGCACATACATGTATGAACATGTTTTTAGCTGAGGTTAAAAATGATAAAATAAACTATTGCAATAGTCTTAAGCAGGAGGTGATAAATGCGTGAACAAGTTTCTCAGCAGTTGACTGATCAACGAATTTGCCCGATCCTACGTAGTGCCAAATTTGCAGCCCGACATACATTGTTTATGTGTGTGGTCATGCCAGCATGTTTATCAAATGTTACCCCGAGGTTGCGTACAGCAGACGCTGTGTGAGTGACATCCAAACCAACTGTGCTGACCGCCTCAGGAACTTGGATGTGATGTGCAGAACCTCTGTCATCCCACCATTGAGTTTCAGCCTATTCGCGATCATCCAGGATTTCACGCAGTTGATGCATTGTTCAAGTTCCGAAATTGCAGCAGTCTTCTTCGATGAGTTGATGACCATATAGAGTTGTGTATCACTCGCGTATGACATCAACTGGACACCATCAAATGATGCAACCACTTCTTCAAGAGGTGCAATGTACATTGTGAAGCACAGTGGTCCAAGTACGGAGCCCTGTGGGACGCCATTTGTCAAAATTGCTGGGTCAGACTGCGCTGCGTCAATCACAACTGATTGAGTGCGGCCGGAAAGATATGACTTGAACCATTGGAGAGCCGTTCCAGTTACACCATAATGGTTTGACAATCTTTGTAAGAAAATACCATGGTCTATTGTATCAAACGCGGCTGTCAAATCCAACAGAACAAGAACAACCTCCCCATGTGTATCCACAGCTCGAAGAATGTCGTTCGAAACACGTACAAGAGCTGTCTCTGTAGAGTGGTGTTTACGATAGGCAGACTGTCTCTCGGCATGTTAAGTTATGCATGTCAAGATGTCTAGTTAACTGAGCAGCGACACAGCGCTCAGTAATCTTAGACAAGTAAGAGAGGTTTGACACTGGTCTGTAGTTCTTCAGACGATCAGGGTCGAGTGATGGTTTCTTGATCAATGGTGTTAGTTAGGTTGCTTTGAAACTACCAGGTACTTCCCCAGATGTGATGGAGAAGTTCACAATATCAAGAACAGCCGGTAGAAGTTCATCTAAACACCACTTCAGCACCCAGGTTGGAATGGGATCGAGAGGGCAAGACTTTGAATTCGAGTCCTTGATAATTTTGCAAATCGCGTCGGGTGTCAACCTCTGAAAATTACAGAACAAGTGTTGTAGTCGAGTTCCAAAACTCGAGTACCAAGTTTTCCGAGTACACACAGTGCCGAGTACAGGCCAAGTCCGAGTACTTTTTAGTCGAGTCCTGGGCCAACAATCCGAGTTCGAGTTTTTCAGAGTCCGAGTACGGGCCGAGTATGAGTACAAAGATATCGAGTACATCCCGAGTGCATTTTTAAACCAAAGCATTGTGGAAATTAGCACCGTTACTTACATGTGATATGTAAAGTAATTACCCAGTATTCCAAGAAATTAACACGTACACATATTAAAAAGTGTCGTTTTTGCTTGGTCAAGTTGTTCCAGACTTCTCCGAAATCCGCAGCCCACATGACTTGCATACTGCGCTGTGCTGCTTCTGTCCGTTAGCGAAATATTCCTTGTGATCTCTAAACCCCCAAGATATAATTTCTGACAAAGAAGACATGTCTATGTCTGGATCGAACTCGCCGCCATGCGCCAGAGAATGTGACGCGTTTCCAACAAAGAGTGATGAGCACAACCTCTTCCCCACGGATACGATCATTCCGCGCCTTGTTAGTTAGAAAATGCCGCGTGTGATGAACGCACATGCAGCCCATGGAAAGAAGGTTGCGATTTATTTCACTGATATTCTTGTAGTATTCAGTAGGAATAGGACAGTAAAATATGTGCACAAGTGATACTGCGAGCGCTGCCAATACCCATTCACGAATACTTGATTTAGAGTTGATAAAGAATACAGTGCAATACTTTCATCATTTTCATATACACTCTGTGAAATTTTTGGTCAAAGTTTAGTATCGAAAAATTTGTATCGAAAAAATCTGAATTATCTTTCGAGTACTGCGCGACTGGGATCGACTGTTCACCGAGTACAATTTGTCAAGTTAAGGGACGAGTCCGAGTACAAAATTACAAGTACGTGCCGAGTACTTGTTTTTTTCAAGTACTTATGATCAAGTATGGGCCAAGTACTTATTGGTACTCGAGTTGTACTCGAGTTTGAGTTCGAGTACGAGTACTCCAACACTGTACAGAACTGGTGAACATCTCTTTTTGCGTCATGAGTAGGAACAATAGTTCCGATGAAGCTATCTAATTCAGTTTTCACAGATTCAATCTTTTCACAGAAGAACTCGGAGAATTCTCCTGCAAGCTGATTGGATGATTCATGCAATGGAAGGACTTTATTGGGTCTAACAGCAGAGTTTAGTTGGCTCAAAATTCTTTTTGAACATAGTCCAGGGCTTGAATTGAACAACGGCCACGACAGCCAGTGCCCTCATTGCCTTCTCACTGGCCAAAGTGCCCCACAAAAAAATCCCCGTCTTCACGGCCAGTTTTGCCTTGCCTTGCCGTAATCTTTTTGCAAAAACATTCATAAGACTATTAAAACCACTACAATCCTTGATTTCAGTTGTTTTTCACACATGCAGCCAGGTAATTTGTAAACACAGGGCAGGGTTTTGAATTTATGAGGGAAATTTGGGAATAAAATGACGATGACTTCGACAAAACGTAAAACAAAAACAAAGATGTCGATCACACAGGCACGGCACCACCCATAAAACTGTGTTCCATAAAACGTAATTTGTACCCAAGGAAACTGTTCAAAATTACACAAAATAACAGCGTTGCTGTTAAAACCCCTCAGCCAGGGTCAAGTTATCATCCGGAAACCATTTACCTTAAACTCAACATGGTGACCTTGACCTTTGACCCCAGAACCAATCCCAACATGCCTGTACCAACGGGAAAGCCCTACCGAAGTTACATGTAGACACCAAAATTTCATTTTCTAACTCAAGTTATCATCCCGAAACCTTTTACCTTTAACTGATCACCACGGTGACCTTTGACCTTTTGACCCCAAAACCAATCCCAACTTGCCTACTTCCAAGGGCAACCCGCTACGAAAATTTGACTCAAAAATCTTATTTCTAACTCGTTATAATTCCGAAACAATTTAACTTTAACTCACCACGGTGACCTTGACCTTTGACCCTTTGACCCCAAACCCAATCCCAACTTGCCTACTCCCAAGGGTAACCCCCTACCAAGGTAAGAGACCAAAATCTCATTTCTAACTCAAGTTATCATCCGGAAACCATTTACCTTTAACTCACCACGGTGACCTTGACCTTTTGACCCCAAAACCAATCCCAAATTGCCTACCCCCAAGGGCAACCCCCTAACACAAAAATCTCATTTCTAGCTCAACTTATCATCCGGAAACTGTTTACCTTTAACTCACCATGGTGACCTTGACCTTTGACCTTTTAACCCCAAAACCAACCCCAACTTGCCTACACCTAAGGGCAACCCCTTACCAAAATTACAATTCCAAACAACATTTCTAACTCAAGTTATCGTCCGGAATTTAAGCTGCCCGGACGGACGCCCTAGGCGATGACAATACGATACCCCTTGAGCCTCTCGGCTGAGGGGTAAAAAAGGTGTC